GGAGTCGGTGTGACTGGAGGAGTCTTCACAGCCTAACAGTACGCAACCGAGGATAGCTCTGTCTTTTTTTAGCCTGTGTCGCTCGAGGTGCCAGGCGAGATCTCTCGACGCCCTGAGCACATTCTGTCAGCGCTGAATCGGCAGCTTAAGGAACGAGCTGTCATGGTTTCTGGAAATATGGTTTCATATGTACCCACATACACGTTTCATAAGCCGGTTGCAAGGAGTTCATATAAGGAAAAAGCCCCTAATTTTTCTTGTAATTTCTGTCCTACTGTTAGGACATGTTTATATTATACTTTCAGGCCTCGCTTGGGTTTATATGGTAGTGCAATAAAAGCCTTGCTGCTAGACGTTTCTGATGTGTGAGGAGCTGTAACAATGAACAAACGGAGAAACGATCTTAAGTGATTTACAGTAACAGTTAACAGTATAAGTTAAGGGGTTTCAGTTCAGGTTTTGTTTAAAAATAACTTAGGCACTTATAAGAGAAATGTGGGTTGTCACTTATTCATTCTAGATAAATATCTTATAAGATCACTTTATTGGCCATAAACAATTTCTTGTATTAGGAATTTGTCTTTTCGCATATCCCAGCTTGCTCTCCATGAGACACACAGACGAGGAGAGAGAAGCTTGAGGTCAGATTTATACGGCACCCCTGGAGTAGTTGGGGTTAAGGGCCTTGCTCAGGGGCCCAATGGAGTAGGATTCCTCTGCCAGCCGAGGGATTCAAACTGGCACCCTTCCAGCCACAGGCGCAGATCCTTAGCCACAGAGCCACCACACTGCCCCCTTATTCTTTCACTGCTACTGCTATAGAATATAGTCTGCTGTATTCTTTTTAAAGATGGACCTTTTTGATACATTACTCATCAGTGGAGAAGAGAGGGGATGACATAAGTGGTTGAAGCAAGATGACAGAAGCACTTCCCCTGACTGTACACATTTAATTTTTTTGCCCTCTGGGGAAAACAACCAAAGCCAGTACTCTTCCAAAGCTTTATCATGTAGATTTTTGCCTTTCTAGACGAAGTGACTCAGGCTAAATCACAACTTGCAGTAAATGCTTTAGCGAAGTGACTAACGGCACTCCTCTGTGGTACCAGCTGTGTGGATAGCATTGCAAGGTAATGTAATACAAGAATAGTCTGAAGTTTTAACTATTGCCACTCAGGCAGATGCTTGCAGATGCTAACTTTCCAGTGGGAATGTCCTTTTAATCCTATGAAACTAAAGAGCTTGGCAGTTCACAGCAAATAAGAGCCGGGTGCAGTAATGATGAATTCCCTGGGATAGGCTGAGCATCGCGGTGTCTTTATGGGGTGTGTGGTATAATTTCATTGTAAATATCCCTGCCTTGGGGGCAAAAAAATTACCAGCAACTTAAAATACGTCCGCACAGTCTACTATCGGGAACATTTTGTGAGTATTTCTTGGCGTTAAACGCAGTGAATCTTGCGTTACCTTGTTTAGGATCATGCTATGTGCACAGAAAGTGGCATTATCCTGTACTGCAGTGGGCGCCTCACTGGGTGAGGGGCCCTGTAACATTACCCTGCGAAGGAGTGTGTAAATCAAACATCTTTACAGCAAGGGGGTATGGTGTCAGTGTGTGATCGGCAGAGCAACAAGGTGAGGCTCATTCCTGTCTGAAAAGTAACGAGAAAAAGAAATGCTGTGAAGTCAGCTCAGGTGTGTATATGTAACCTTACGGTATTTAAACGTTTACAGTAGGAGTTAGACTTGGCTGATTGTACAAAATGAACAGTCTTTTCTGCTTTCTAGAAACCATTAGGCCTGCTTTTCTACCAGGTGCCCTCTGCTTGCTGGCTTTGGTTCGCTGTAGCCTTTTCAGGACCAAGCAGTGACTGAAAATGGATGGATGAATGCTTGTTATTCAGGGGGTGAAAGAAAGCTATTACCATTTGAAAAGCTGGATGGGTATAGTCAAGGAGTGTACAGACCCCCGTGACTGATTTGCTTTTTACTTTTTCCTTATTCTGCCTTCTAAGTCTTTGACTTTGATGCCATACAGCACATTCTTAAAATACCTCATGTACAGTATTAGCTTTCAGTAGTCCTAAAAGTGCAGTAAAATATGAAGGCTTTATAGCACAAGCTCTAAATAGTGCACCTGATTAAAAGTTGTGCTTTGCAAGCAGCATTAAACGGGCAATATTTTAACGTCTTTCAGCCTGCTCATTTCCAGACCACTGTGGTTCACAGAAATGCAGCCTGTGAAGATGAAAGACTGTCATCTTGTGGATTTGTGCTGTGACTAAAAATTGTTTCGAACCGTTTCAGACAGCCCAAATTTCACCCGGATGCTTTCTGTGATGGCTGTAGCTACCACCTCAGTGTATGGAACCGAGTTCCTTTCTCATAACGTTACTGGATTCAGACTTGTGGGTGATTTGGAATTTAGTTCAGCAGGGAAGTGGTTAAGCCACAGTGGTCTAATGTGGGAACTGAATCTCCTAAAAAGTTTCTGTGTCCTCTTTCTGTCTGATGATAGATGTCAGAAAAATGACAGTAGCCTCCAGGATCCTGGTGTTTCACAGTACCAACCTACTCGGCACCTTTTTTTTTTAACATGTATTTCAAAGGTCGCCACTGCTGGGTGAGCTGTGTCAAAGCACCATGAGGATCAGGCCAGGAATAAAGCTGATCAGTTTAAAATGAGACTCGTATTGGTTGGGGAGTTTTTACAATGGACAGATCTGGGTGATCTTCTGTTAAAGAGACATCAAAACCACGTCTGAACTCCTGTATTGTATCTAAAGCTGATTCAGATACTGGCAGGTTTCTGGGCAAAGGTTTACTTCATGGAATCACTAAAAAATATTGCTATTAGCCTAGAAGCCTTTTATTTTCCAGTACCATGCAAAATGTCCTCTGCTACTGAAGACTGACAAGAATATAAGATACATGCTGTATATAAAATAAAATGCTTCATGTGATCTAGTCCTAAAAGGCTGCTTCTGAATTGTTGATTTTCACTCCCTGCTCCGAAAGGGATGGAAGTGTAATGAACTTATGTTCTGTTTTAGAAGTGTTAACTTTTTAAATATAAATTGTTATAGTTTGCTGGAGGTGGCATCTGAATAGACCGAGAAACACAATCCAGAGAAGATGGGTTTTTCCCAGGATAAGCTGTCTCTGTGGTCTTGCCACAAAAGAGGAGAATCTGCTTGGCTGAACGTTCTACAGTAAAACATGCAGTTCTCTGGTTTACATAAAACAGACTGTACTGCACATCTGTATGAGATGCCTTTACAAGGAACTTACTTGTTGTGGATTTTCAAGGCTTTTCATTTGCTTTTCTAATTTCTTAAGACTGCAAGTATGATGAACATCCTGACTTACTGGATTGATGTTTAAAATCTGTTTGAGGAAGTCAAGATGTCAAAGCCTTACAGTAAATCATTCAGAAGATCTTGCTAACACTTAGATTTTCTTCTACAGTATTTCCTGAATTCTTGAAACCAGTGTTGTTTGGAGTCTTTCATATTTGTTCTTTTTATGTACTTCAAGTTTTATTGCATGATAATGTTGTTTTTTTCAGCAGTTACATATAAAGATTACTTTCACTCATCCAAGAATTCTGCTATTCTATTCCTCTCTCCAGCTGTCTGGGCCTGCTCTACCCTGGCTCAGTTTTGAGATAGTCAGAAATGCTAAAAAGCCAGAAAGTCTGAGAAATTGTTCTTCTCAAAACATAAAGTGCACAATAAGAATAAGTTATATTTTAACATTTTAAAATTCAAATTCAGGATTTTTTTACTGGGAAATTGGTTTGCGGTCCAACCCCAGCATACATCAGGACAAACAGTGCTTCAGGAAATAAAATGATTTCACTTTATTCAGAAGTCGAATTACAGAGGAAATAAACCATTTTCTGACTCTTATCCTAAATAAGCATCTAGATATCAAATGCTCTTTTTAAAAAAAAATTGTATCAAAGTATTACATTAAGTGCAGTTGAAATGGCCATGCCCTCCAATGGCCCAGTTGAGTTGAGATGAGAGTTTTCTGACAAACATACTTGTCAACACGTGTTTGAACAAGAGGAAAAGCAATTTACACCTTTTAGAATGAACAAACTGGAAGAGGTGACATTTAGCACTTTTTCACATGTTTAACATCCCTTCCTTAACCTGTTACTGTGTAAAACTGGTGTGATTCATTCAAAGCAATGTCTTCAGAGAAGGATTAACACCAAATTAAACTTCAGTTATGTGTTTTTTTTTCACCATGAGGTTTGTAGAGGGGCCAGGCAGCCATTTTCTGAGTCAAACTTGGTTGTGAAAACAGACACCTGTATTTGTCACTTCTTCTGTAATCCATGTGACTGAAAGCAAAACTTATCCCACTCCCAGTCCTTCCTTCTCCTGTAACACAATAACTGATGAATAACACAGAAGGAAGTGTCTGATTTTAAGGGTAACATGATCTTTTTTTAGCCTTTAAACTTTTGAAAATAAGCAACAAGAGATTTACCACTATAAATTATAATATTTTAGGCTCATTTTAGGAAACTGATTAGTTTACGAGGTAGTTTAACAAACACAGTACTTTGCTTTTATTTTTTTAAGTTAAAACCATTTGTAAAGGTACAGTAGTTCCTTCAAAATCAGTCATTTCTGATAAACTTTATCAGTTTGCACTGTTAATGGGAAATTTACAGTTTGATACCCACAAAGGTCCTTTTTAATCTTTGAATTTTTCTGCAAAGGGTTTGTCAAGCATCCCTGAAGAAAAAGCTTGCTGAACACATGCAGTGATTTCATTTCTTAGATCACTGTAAGGCAGCATATTGCTTACAAAGCAAACTGAGCCTGTTTCCTTTCACAGGCAATGCAAGAAGGCGCTCAGCATAGTGAACACCCAGTCCCTGTGCACTAGGATTTTATTGCTAACAGGTTTTCAGGTTTTCTTTGTATAGTTAGAGAAATGGAAGAGGGTCAGTGAATAAGACTGAAGCAGCAGCCTGTTAACACTTGCATCGGTGTCTGAAATGTGATCGCTTTCACTGGGTTTCTTCAAAAGTTCTAAGGGAAAAAAACTGAGCAGCTCTGAGTGAAGCGCACGTTTATCCACGATGACAGTGCTTGGTTAGAGGGGCTCAGCTCAGACACCAGAAGTCTTGTATGGCTTTTGTGCTGTTGTGTAAACAGCTGCTGTCTTTTGACTTCTCAGCTGTGTGCCTGTGGAAGGGATCACCTTACTTCATTCATGCCATTGTAAACAGCCAGTTTATCAGATGGAAGCCATGCCCCCAGTCCTGCTTACTCACACCATGACATCATGTCTAAGGAGGGTCTAGTCTCAGCACACTCATACAAGTTACACTAGTGCAGTTTAAAGACATAGTTTACAGCTACCAGAACCACTCTCACTCCTTAGAGCTGGGAATATTCTTCTAGAATTGAACCAAGATGAAAAGCTTTTGCTGAGGTAAAGTTGCTTTTATTAAATACGTTTTTGAAGGGTTCTATGTGCAGGAAGAAGAGGGCGAAAAGAAATGATTGATTGATTGATGATATTGATTTAACTGCTGTCTGATTTCTGGCATTTTTGACATTGTTTTTATGAGATTTTTTTCATTGTGTTGATTTTTAGAATGGGTTGTTAGAAATCACATTGACGTGAAAGTGAATCTCTTCTTTATTTCCTCATTCTGGAAAACAAACTAGTTTTGTTTGTATTAGCTGCTAATCCTCTGCTGTTCTATAAGAACTTATCTGTTCTACTGCAATCATTCATTTTCTCTGACTTCTGAGTTGTTTTAAAAACTACTTGCCTTCTATGTCCTTTCTGTGGATAGCCCCATTAACTTCCTCCAGTCCGAAATAAAAATAAGTATAAAATACCTGTGAATCTCTCATTAAGTAGCTCTAATATGGATACAGTCATACAGTTGTCCTCAAGAGAAATCAAACATTCCATATTTGTGTGGTTAGTTATTAAATGTGAAAAAGCCTAGTGTAGCTTGCTGTTTAACCACATTAACAGCCAAAACTAACATGTTAACTTGCATAATGGTGTGTTTTGGGGGAACAGTGGAATATCTGATGCCACTCCTTCTGAGACTGGCCCCTCTGTCATGTGCAGACTGACCACAGGGTAAACAGTGACTGGGCATCTGGAGGTGAAGAAAAACTTTATTTAAGGTGAGAACCTCAGAACAGAAGGATCGGTGAATGTGTCCCAGTTTTAAGGCCAGACATGCAGTGCTGGGACATCGTATGCCAGGGCTTTGAACACTAGACAGCAGCATTTTATCCCATGGCACTGGTTTTGAGTTATGCTTAAATACAGCTGTAGCCAGGTATGCAGTCAAACTAGAAGGATTCTAGAAAAAACCCCACCAGTTCCTCCTTATCAGTGTTACTTAATACAAGCTTTAAGTCGGTGGATAAATTGTCCAAAAAAATCGGCTTACTAAGTATGTAAGTAACTGCCAAAAACTGTTGTTGCTTTTGTCAGAATTTGAGTTTTTAAAAGGCCCATTGCTTTCATGTTTATTATATGACGTGTCCCTAATAATTTAGCAGTGATTCCTGTGGGGTTTGTCTTCTTCCCAGTTTTGTAATGGCTTCTCCCTCTCTCTGGTCACTGTTACAGCAGGAGAGGTTGCGGTCCTTGAAGATGTCTGATAATGGGGAAGTTGAAGACAAGCCTCCTGCCCCTCCCATGAGAAACACCAGCACTATGATCGGAGCCATCAGCAAGGACACGGGGACCCTGAACCATGGCTCCAAGCCCCTGCCTCCCAACCCCGAGGAGAAGAAGAAGAAAGATCGCTCCATCCGTTCCATCTTGACTGGGGCGGGAGACAAGAGTGAGTTGGGGGGCTTGGCAGGGAGCCTGGAAGATCAGACTGGGGTGTGTTCCTTGTAACAGCCAGATCCCTCGTACAGTGATATCAGATGTCTGACGATGGAAATAGCAGCCGAAACAAGCACAACGTATTCTGAAACAAGCAGCCAGTCTGGTTTTCAGAAATGTATTTCTTTATTCAGAAGCAATGAAGAGATTCACTTTCAAGTTTTTTTATATATATATCCACACTCAAGTGAGGGCTAAGTCAAAACTTCAGCTCCTTGGCCAAACAAACATTACAGGTCCAATATTAGATGACACTTTTTTGCGGGCAGGAGAAGCTACATGCAAACAACCAAATGAGCTGGATGGGCTAAATGATCTCGTTTCAGACCTCTTCTTATGCTGCATATGTCTAGTCAGTGAAAGCCCATTCTCGAAAGCTGTGTTTCACGAAGGGTGGGTGAAAGTTACACATCAGACTTTTGTATTTAGTGTAGATTGTCCTGGCTTTTCCATTCAGTTCCGTCATGAGTTTCAGCTCGGATCTGCACAGCTGAGAAATTAAGGATCAATTAATTAGTGCATTTGTTGGAGCAGTTACCTTGTCACTGGAAGAGCCTAAGCCCTCTATCCCTGGTCAGTGTGCTTGAGTTTCAACCTCGTTCAACTAGTTTTTAAAAAAACAGCTGCTGCCTTCTTTAATAGTGTTACACACAAATAGCAAAGCTCCTCTGGAGCATGACTCTGAGGAGGAAGAGCACACAAAGGGAAATGAGAGGAGCTGTGATTGCTGTCGTCCAACAAATGGCAGGGAAAATGTGTCAAGCAGGAGAGCACAGAAGGGGAAGGATCTCCCTCACTGTGGTACCGGAAAGGCAAAGAAATCTGTCTCTTTGATCTGGGCCTCTGAAATATAAGCCCACAAGCAGTGTTTGTTGGAGCAAGAGGAGGAAAAGCTCTTTACCACAAGACAGGCATGTGGTTTTGTTTCAGAAATCTTGTGTCAAATCGGATTCTAGTATCAAATGGACGGAAGATGATTATAGGGGTGCTGGATGGTAATTTAAAACCTGAAAGAAGCTGAGTGACATGCAAAAGCATGATAAATCACAATGAAGAGCTTATCCAATTGTGTTTGGATGTCAGTTGGGCCTTTTAAAAACTTGACAATAGTTGTCCTCAAGACGCATCTTTTGGAATTAAGACTGTTAGAAATGCAAATTAAATTATTAAGTCATCTCCTGTTGTCTTGAAACGAAATGGTACATTACATTGATAAGGTTATTGCAAAGTAGTTCAGAGAGTCAGTACAGACCAGGGATCTCCCACTGTTTCCTATTGCACATCCAGATCTTATTTCCTTGGTTACGTGGCTTGTCTTTGAACTCTCCTAATACCTTTTCATGGCAGGCAGACAAATTAAAGGACCTGAAAAGTAGTCAAACCCACACAGGCAAGGGGTTAATTTTAACAGTGTTGAGGAGATGATAGCAGTGAAACACAATACCTCAGTCCCACTGGGTATTTGGATTTTATTAGATTTCACATACCGCTGAATGGGACCTACTAGACAGACTTTTAATAAATGTCGAGACTAATGTCTGCCTCTTTTCATGTTCTCGAAAAGTGGTTTTCTAAAGAGCAGTTATTTTTTGCTGCAGCATGCAGAAGGTGCTTCAGCATATTGTTGTATTTGAAAATTTTAATGCTGTTGGATGAGTAATAACTGAAATGGCAACAGACTTATTACTATTATTAAAACATCGTCCATTACTGCAGATTGGACAATACCACTGCAGTCTATTTACTGTGGGGGAAAATGGCTAGGAGTTCCTTGAACCTTTCATGAATCATGCAGGGCCAAAAGCTGTGGAGCTATTATTCAGTCATTGTTCTCACAGAAGCACATTCTAGCCTGAAATATGTTGAGATAATGAAGCAAATATTTAGTTTACCTGATTCACTGTGTTTTTCAGTACAAGCACCAATGTCAGTAATAGCAAAGGCTTCCCTCTGAGACTTTTATTGCTAGTTTGCATCTGTTTGACCACAGCCTTTCCACCTTCTATTCAGATCTCAAGAAACTAAGAACAGTTGACCAGGCTGGTCACTACTGGGATAGGAGACTGCTTCCATTTGCTCTGGATCAGATTTTCTAAAATCCCAATTATGAGTGCTGAGGACAGTGTGCTCCTTTGGATGAGACATTAAACCAAGTCTATAACTGCTTGGACAAGAAAGATCCCATGGCACTTTACTTAACAGAAGGGGTGATGGCACTGGCACTCTAATGCCCACTCTGGCCCACTCTGGCCAGTACAGTTCCAGTTGCACAATATAAGACTCCTCTTGACTCAATTGGTGAAGTCAGTCCTCATATCTTCCGAGCTATGAAATAGTCGCACATTAAAAATTCTTGTATATTGTTTGAACAGTCACATAGTTATTGCCTGTCTATGGCAAATGATAGCATGTGTTTGTGTGGAGTTTGATTCCTGTTTGTGTTTCATGGAAGTTTCCTCAGGATAAGCGTCAAATTGATGTGATAAATTGAACGAAATGGTAATGGTAGTTTCATAAAGAGGTTCACTGGGTTAGGTTCCTAAGGCCTTTGGCCAGTTCAGCAATTTCCAAGAATTCCATCTCCTTTAGATGTAAAGTAATTAATATTTTGATAGATCAGTCAATCCATAAAACAGGTCTGTGACATCCCCAAATATAAAATATGCAAAGAGGACTTTTTTAAGTGCCTGGTGTTCTTTCTTTATCAGTCAAGTTCCCACTGAACCTACCTCTGTTGCTCACAAGAAATCGTAAAATCCCTTGTCCTGTGGCTCACAAGAAAATGTCTTTCTGAAAGAAAAGTCCTGTAGTTGGACATATAAGAGAGTTTTCAAAAAAGAGAAGGCCATTTGGTCCATCTAGCTTGTTTTGTTTTTAGTAACTAATTGATCAGAGGGTCTCATCCACCTGTTTATTGAAAAAATAATGGTTTTGCCCTAAACCGTGCTTGCTTGCATATCTTGGTGACGAGGGCAAAGGAATTAATTATGTTCAGTTTTTACCTGGACATTTTTTGCAGAGGAATATAGATGAGACGTGAACATTAATCTTACACATGAATGTGAGATGTAAAATTGAAGAAAACCTCGCACAAATGTTACACAGATATTGACGTTTTTATTTTAGTTAAATTTCTGAAGAATTGAAATAATTGTTCTCTGGCAAAGTGGAGTTTGACATCGTTCTTCAGTATACTTTGTGCTCAGGAACAAGTGGTAGTTAATTCCCCTCTGAAAAATAAGAGAAAAGAGCTCCACAGCCCAGACATGTTTTTTCTGCTCACTTTGCAATTAACCTCCATTTATTCCAGACTGAGACAGCTCCCCGTGTAGATTTTACCTCTCCTGTACTCTGTACTAAACTGCACTTGTCTTCTTACAGCCAGAAACAAGAAGGAACGGCCTGAAATTTCCCTGCCCTCAGACTTTGAGCACACGATACACGTGGGATTCGATGCGGTCACTGGGGAATTCACAGTAAGTACCCGCCACCATAGCGTATTTCTTCCACTGTAGAGCACAGGGTGGTTTGTTTCCCTCACAAGTGCAATAAAGTTAGTTTGTCCCTGCCTCCCACTGCCGCTATTGTGACGTATGGGGCGGGGAAATTTACATGGCTGGTAAAGGAAAAATCCCTATTTTACATTCCAGGTATTTTCAAACACGTTACAATCTGTGTCTTCCTCCTGGTTCACTTTTTAATCTGGCCCAGGGCTACTTTTACGTGTTCCCTAGTATTTACATTTGCCATGTCGAAGAGCTGTAGTCCCGGTCAGCTGTATGCTGTCCTCCTAATCTGTGTGCAGTGTAGACCCCCTACTGCTTTCGCTTCACGTCAGTCTGAATGTAAGGATGGAGAGGATCATTTTGTTCAGTGATGTTGAGGGGTCACTCTTATTTAGTAAGGTGTGCTCTTTTCCAAAGCCACGCTTTTTGATGATGAGGGTGGGATTTAATAGGCCCTCTGCTGAGGCACCTCTGGCCCAGCTTCTTTAGAAACCAGGCCACAGATTCCTTTTAGCTACTCTTGTTTTGTCTTGTTCCCATGTCTCATTTTTTCCCTGGTTCCTGCTGTAAGGCACAATCTCGCTCTTAATGCAGTAATACAACAACAGTTTGTATATATATCCTGTATGTCTGAGAAAAGCAACCGACTTGCGGATGGGGATTTGTACACATTTCAGTTCATGCTAGCAAGCAGGTTGTTAGCGTTTCTTTTACATATTTCAATATGCCAGTAGATAAAATCCCAAAATAAAAATTGGCTCCTGTCAGGCAAAGCAGGGATGAGAGCGCTGACCCAGTTCTGAGGCTGCTGCAGTAGAAGGTACAGTATCCGCCACTGTCCCTAACTGCAGCCTCCCCCTCTCCTAACCACGCACTGTTTCTATTTAAAGGGCATGCCTGAGCAGTGGGCTCGGCTCTTGCAGACCTCCAACATCACCAAACTGGAGCAGAAGAAGCACCCAGATGTTGTGCTGGAGGTCCTGAAGTTCTATGACTCAAAAGAGACGTCCAACATTCAAAAGTATATGAGCTTCACAGGTAGGAAGAACACGCCATTTTAAACCCAGGTTCAGGGTCCCGCCCTTTCAGCGGTGCTGCTTGCTTCCTGGATTTAGGATGAAAGTGGAGATAAGGTTAATTGGTGTATGTCTTGTTTTGCTTTTTTTCTGGCATTTCGGTTGTAGGCGAGCACTTATAAAACAAAGTCGTTTTTCCATTTCAAATCTAGTTTTGTAGCACAAAGCAGTTCTACACTGTTAGTCGAAGTCATCGATGATCCTATTTGTACGAATTTGTTCATACAGTTGTATTTGTATTTGTTATGAAATATCCTCTTTCGTCAACAGATAAAACCTCGGACAATTGCAACTCTTCTAGCGTTCTGGTGAGTGTTTAGAAAGATGGACGCATCCATTTTTTTTTTGTGTGTTCCGGTCTAATCTGGCTGCATGCTTGGATGTGTTGTCCTAGTTTTGTTTCCAGCTCTTTTGCTGGAATTCGCACGCTGTCGACTGTGATGCTGTGAAGTGAGAGACCGTGAATCAGCTAGGCACGCTAAGCCCCTGTATCTAGTTTCAGATGTGCAGGTGTAGGCTAGTGGACTTGTTCGTCTCCTTGTGTCAGTTTCCCATAATTATCTGGCAACTCCCCCACAGGACCAGCAGGCTGCTGTGTCCCCTTTCATGAGGAAAGTCATCCCTGCGGTATTTGATCAAGATGATTAAGGGGCTGCTCAGCTGAAGCGTGTTTAAGCTGTTGATAGAAAGAGAGCAGCTCTCATCTTGCTTTCGAAGGTGTTGCTTTAATGCCACATACTGTAAGATGGCCTGGATTGTGCAAACAGCTGCGTTTGCTTGTTAGTCCTCATGTTGGTGTGAAACAACACCACTTTTTCTTCTGACTTGTACACATCAGAGTACCGTTGAGTCAGCTCTTCATTGGGCTCTTTGGCATATATAGACTGTAAACCCCTGCCCCTTGCACTGACATCACATTTGTATTTTGTGCTGGTTGCTTTTTTGAATGTATTTTCTTTTCCTTAAAAAAAAAACAACTATATATTTGTATGTTTATTTGTTTCTCTCTTTAAAAGAACTGTTAGGGTGAAAAAAAACATCTTGGCACACGGATATCTGTAGTAAGTCATGAAATTAGCAGTAAGCAAGGATTGGTTTGTAAAGACTGAAACATAGAGCTATATCATTAGAGCAGGCCCTTGAATTCAACTAGTGAGTAACATTGGAAACGCTGAGATCCAGTGATCACCTTGTTTGATCTACACTACCTGTTGTCACATTATGTTGATAATTGCCCTTTTGAAAAGCTATAAATTGATTTAACCTGAACTGATTTTGAGTGCTCGGTAAAAAGGGTATAAAGAATAGAGCTGAATCTTTTAACAGACAGAACAAACAGTTGCTGTAGATTCTACATAACATTGGCAATGAAATTTACCACCTTCCTGCAATCCTCTTCTTCTTTCTAAGCATGTGACAATGTTTTATAGTGGCTGGGCTTCTCTTTAACCATATCCTTGAAGTAACAAAAATAGTTCCTGATATCTTAAGAATGAGAAGAAAACATTTTCATAGCCAGTCGTGTCCCTCAACCCAAACAGAATCCTTGAAATACAGAAGTCAGACTGAGGGTGACTTTGCTTGGCGTTTTTAACGTGACGTACTGTATGATCATTGTGACCGTGCTGCACGATGCTGTATTAGCAAATCTGGCCCAGCCATGGGTAATATAGTTTGAAGCATGCCCTTATAATCAGAAGCATTCAGGATATCACAGAAGCAGGCTTTTTGTGAAATATTTCACCGAGTTCCCCTCTCCGTTTGCTACAGAATACGAAAGCTGTGTCGGAGACCCCTGCGGTCCCTCCTGTATCGGAGGACGATGATGAGGATGAGGCAGTCCCACCACCTGAGATCGCCCCCAGGCCTGCGCACACCAAATCGGTGAGTATCCCTGCCAGAGGCGTCTGGTTGCTGTCCAAATCACTGTTTCATATCCCTTAGTGTTGAGCAAGGTGTGCTTGCAGATTCTGTACACAAATTTTGTTTGTGTTTCTATGTTGTATTTCTTCACTTCGTCATCAAAACAAAATCAGACTTGTTGTTAGTTGTTAGTTGTTACGTATGTATATCCTTTGTATATGTAGGTAATGGAGAGTAGGCTCTGAAACATTGTCAGAATAAATGATTTGTCATAATTTCTTCTGTTTATTGAGTGTAGGATGCTAGTTGCGGCAGATGTTTTCAAACCGCTTCCCAGTTCAGTAAAAAACATTTTCAAGAAAAGGTGTGTTTTGTTCATTCACATTTTAGGTAAACCTCTGCAGATAGTAAAGCCTTCACTGCAGTTGAGCCTTGCTGTGTAGGTTAAATAAATGTTTGTTGCCTCTCCTTTCCAGCCTCTCTGAATTAGTTGTGGGTCTGACACTGGCAGCTGCTGTTATTTTCCGTGTGGCGTGACAGTTCAGCAGGGGCGGGGGCGCTTATTAGTCTCTCCCGAGTCTCGGTCACCCAGGGAAACCTGCAGCAATCGGCTGTAGTCTCTGCACGGTGTTCTGATTTCTAGACTCCATATCTTAGAGACAATTATCTGGATTCGTGACAGTTTGATTAAGTATAACTGCACTTTTTCATTTTTATTTTTCTCCTCCTGTGTAGAATGCCCACCTGTTTTCTGTCCTCAAAAGCATATATCCCTGTACTCACAGAACCTTAGCTCCAGTGAGACTGCTCTGAAGCTGTGATCACACTGAGAACTACTTCCTACAGAGCGCCTGCTTACTTCCCTGCCTCTTAGAAAATAAAAGCAATGAAGAAATAACACTGAAAACAATGAACTGGAAGCATTTTTTTGAGATTATGGAATTCATATGGCTGAATGAACTGATATGCCGGTACGCGCAGGTGACCGAAGTGGGGCACTTGGCAGAATGCTTGGGTACTTCCTGGACTATGAATTTTAAAACTTCGGTTTCTGCCAGGCTAGTTCAAGGAATGGCCACAACCAGCTGGGGTTATCCCAAAGCGAGCACAGGAATCCCCTTAACTATACTAAAGCAGTAAGGATAAACGTGCTGCATTGGCTTTAACATCCTTGAAGTCATTTTGCTCACTGTGAAATAAGGTGTCGACAACACCTGAAGAGGAATTGACTGTACCTTTACAGTAGTAAGCTCTGGTTATAACTTTTGGTCAATCCTACATCAAAACTGTTAGCACTGCTGCACAGTGGTGCAGTGGTGAGCATTGCTGGGTCACAGGCTGGGGCCCTGGATTCGATTCCTGGGGTGCTATCTGTGTGGAGTTTTGTATATTATCCCCTTGTTCATGTGAATGTCCTCCGGATGCTCATGTTTCCTCCCAAAGTACAAAAACATACTGGTAGGTTACTTGACAGGAAACGTGGCCCTAGTGTGATGAACTGGCGTCCCAGCAAGGGTGTATCCTGCCTTGTACTCATTGCTTGCTCTGGGTCCTGCACAATGCTGAATTGCAAGTGTTATTAGTATTATTGTAAATCATAAAGTATGCTTGCAGTTGAGTCATAATGCGGATATTCTATGTATATACTGCATGGTACTCATTATGTACTTAAAGGAGGAGTGAATACAATACATTTTCACATGAAACACTACACACAGCCATGGTTTTCGGAGACACTGTTAGGTAGTAACGTTGTCTTTCAAATATTACTATAACAAAATTCTTTTACTGGTTTGTTCTGTTAGATCAACAGTTTGTTTCTTGACTTTTACAGTAATATGGTTAAAAGCTCTGTGCTGTTTTGACAGCTTTAATCCAGTACTTCTGTACTTTGCTTAATCAAATTTTCATATCAGATTCACTGCAGCAGAAATAGAAGCAATTTGTTTATGGTATCCTTGCACATTTTCTTTTATAGAAGCGTTTGAAGTTAAGGACCAGCAGTCAAAGACTGCAAACTGATTTTTGCGCAGTGCTATTAGATAAATGATGTGCCACTCCTTACCGCATTAAGTTTTGGATTAGATTTAATTCCAAGTTTCTAGTCTTAAAAGTAAAATATCCAAAGGAAATTCTTAAAATGGCAGGCTTATTAAATAGAAATATGATGCTCTTATGTTTGAGGCTTTGAAGTCTGAAGTGTTTTGCTGTTTCTGGTCTCTTGACCAAACTTGTATTGTTTTGCTGTTGGGGGGAAAAAAGCGCCTTTCCCTTCAGTATAATTCCGGCTTCCTTGGAAAGTCAATCCTAAACTTCAGCAAAAGCTTAACAATAAACAGAGTTTAATGACAGGAAATTGATTCCAGTTGTCAGATCACGTATACGCATACCTTAGCTTTGTGCAACAACCTGAAACTTTCAGGTACCATAAATAATATTATTGCTAAACATATGCCATTCTAATCTGCAAGCGACCAGAATATAGAATATGAATTTTTGTATAAAAATGCATTAAGTCCTGTTCTACACCTGCATGCTTTGGAAGCACTGGCCTACCTGTATACAAAATATACAAAATGCACAATACCAATGTAACCTGGGAAAGGAAACGGCACCCTGTGTATTGATGCAATGGGACCACTCTCGGATCCTGTCAGCTACTGTACAGTACATTGGCGCCATACCAGCAGGATCGCACAACAGTAACCTAGGGTCTTATTCCTCCTGTCTGACAGATATATACCCGCTCGGTGATCGAGCCCCTCCCACCTCCGCCCACCAAAGATGCCGCGACTTCGCCCATCTCGCCCCCGGCGGAGAGCAGCCCCGCCCCCTCCAGCCCCCTGCCCCGCAGCACAGACAAGCAGAAGAAGAAGACCAAGATGTCAGACGAGGAGATTTTGGAGAAATTAAGTACGTTGATGTCGAAAACGTGACGTTTTCAGCGCAGGGTGTGGCGAAATATGGTCTGCTTTGGTTTTCAAGGGGGAAATGGTAAAACGTGGGGTTTTGCCTCCCCAGCTCAAGCTGTCCTTCCAGTGTTCGGAGTGAAGCACTCTGTCTAGAGCACTGAAGGCTGTTTGTCCTCACAGAAATAACTGCAAAACATTTGACAAGCATGTCCTGTTGCTTTCATTGATTTAGTGGGTGTGAGCGATATGATTTTATAAGTCCGTTTAATGGTTTTATAATGAGTTTAATGGTTAAGCTAAATTATAAAATGAGGCCTCATGGAAGTTTTTACTGTGGCGTACTTCCTGCAGGCGAGCTTGCAGTCCTGTGGGTAAAACAAGCAATCCACTGTGATTATTGTGAATTGTATTAGTATACTTTTGCTGATGCAGATGACTCTTTACTGTAACTTTTGGCAACACTGGTAACTTGCAATAATGGCAAAAGGTTGAGGGAAATGCAGTGCCAACTACGTGTATAAATATTGGAGATTTTAAAAAAACGTGAAACATTTCCTATTCCAAAAAAAAGACCTATTGCAGTTTTTCTTTAATTTGTTCTTTATTGAATGCTCCATGCTACAGATGGGCTAAGGTCGCCCTCTACTGGTAAGACGTAATGCTGCCTACAAGGCTGAGCATTTTCACTCCCCTCGTTTTTGTAACGTTCTTTCGTGATCCAGCTTCCTCTTGATTCCTGTCACACCTACCTTTGAGTGTGCGATTTGTGAGTTCTGGGATTCAATTTCTACTTTCTGCAGCTCAAAAGCATGCATTTCCCAGCATCCATCCAAACCCCCGTGTCCTTAATTCCGGTTGTGCTGCAGAAGCAAATGGGGGGAAAACTATTCTGCCCATTTTGCGTCACTGGATTAGTACTGCCGCTGTTTTCTCTACAGTACTGGTCTTTCCACATGATGGAAAGTGGCAGTCAGATCCCCAGTTTGTAGAACATCAGTGCAGCAGTACCTTGCTGTGCACTGAGGTTCCGTTCCATAGAAAGGATTGTGGGGTTCAAAACTAATGGAGACAACTCAGTGGGTTCATTGCCTGGACACCAGTACATTCAGTTGGAGCTTGTATAGGTTAACCACCCTGTTTTGGAGTGAATAAAATAATGGTCAGTAAAAAGAAGGCTTTGTCAAATAAGCTCTAACGAAGTACATGTGGTATTGCTGTAGTAATGCCTGTCATAGAAAACAATGGGTCTGAAGTCCTAATGAATGAATACAGGACCAGATTTATCAATTGATATTTTAATCTGACTGCTTGATGGTCTGGTGTGATTACGGAATGGAATCGGCTCATACACACGTTTGCTAATGTTGATTGCGGTAGCAGTTCCCTGCTTCCTGTTTTCAAAGCTCAGGTCTCATACCTGATTTTTGAAGTTTGTGGGTCAGACCTATTGGCTGCTTTGAGGATATTACTTAGACTGCTGCATATTTAGTTTCTGGTAAATCACACTGAGGCACCCCACATGCCTTGACTTTCCCAACTTTCCACGTTGTGAGTTGGGCTGCATGCTATGAATTTGTTAATCTCTTCCCATCGGCCCTCTTTCCCAGCTGTCCCTCGATGTGGAGTGACTGACAAAGACTCTCTGCTGGCCCTTAAGAGCTCTTTATACATCTTGGTGAAGGAGTTTGACTGAATTCATTCTAGAGCCCTGAACCTCAACATCTGCCTTCTGCTGCTGTGGTCACTCTTCCTTGGACAACCTGTTTGTTTCTGTTGCAGGAAGCATCGTGAGTGTGGGCGATCCCAAAAAGAAGTATACGAGGTTTGAGAAGATTGGCCAGGGGTATGTATGGAGTTTTTGCCGTATTTCACACCACCTCTTTCGCGCTCTCGTTAACTGTAAAACACGTGGGGCATGTTGTGATTGTTAAACAAGGGTCATAAATTGCGGCTTTTAATTTATAACAATCCACGCGCACATCCACATGCTTGTGTATGAAGGAGAATGATGGGTCTTTTGTTTGTCACTTTCTTTAATTACAGCATTTCCTCTGGCTATTTTTAATGCCAAAAGGTTGCGTTCAATTACACTTATCATCCCATCCAGCTTTGTCTCGCACTTTCTACGGTGCCAGGACTGTTCAAGAAATATGGCTGTTTAGAACTGGAAAAATGAAGCATTTTGAGTCAGTAGCAGCAGTATTCATTTTCTGCTGGAGCAAAGGGAAGAAGTCTATCTTAGAAACTGTGGATTTTGCGTGGGTAAGCAGAATAGCAGTGCATGAGCAAGTGTGTTAGTCAGATAAGCAAGGCAGTAAACAAGACACTGTTGTCTGCAAACACTGAACAAGAAAGAAACTAATGTCAGTGTCCCAGTGTTAGTGGTATCCTGTTAGTTTTTTAACAGAAAGCACTGTATTGATGATTTTTTTGCTTTGCCAACAGAGCGTCAGGAACAGTGTACACGGCAATAGACATAGCTACTGGACAAGAGGTAAGAAGACCTATATGCCTTCAGTTTTTCATGAAAAGCTTTCACTAACATACTGTGAAGTATTATCACACAAGCATCTGTAAAAACCATGGGTAATCTCAAGAGCCATTTACTTCTCTTCTGTGACACTGAATCTTAGTGTTATAGCTCAGTTTTACTTTAATTAAAAGACGTACAGTATGTATCCTCAGCCAGAATTGGAATATCCATTTTTTAAATGTTTTTTTTCGAATTTCACAGTTAGTGGTATATGTGATTTATTAAAATATCAAAAGAATCCTCTTAATAGCAGTAAAGTCCTCCACTGGTAAAGCAAACTAGAGATTTATCTTACTGTTTTTATATCTACCAATGTGGAATTGTCCATTGTCAAATGAATCGGCTTATTGCTACAGATCTCGTGTCTGCATAAAGAGGGGTGGAGACCACGTTTACGCATCCTTCAATATGCACCCTGCTGAGGGGCAACTGCGCTCCCAATTTCTCAGACCGGTTATGAAATTCCGGTAACAAAACAAATTCATTGACAGTATAGAAAAATGTTACAAAGTTCCCGATGTTTGTGCTTAATTCGAACTTTGTGAAGTACTGCAAGTCGCCAGGTTATCGCAAACCCCTGGTCTTGGCATGAGCCAGTGTTCCCTCGAATTGTGACGTGATGCCGGCCTTCCTGCTCGCTAGTCACCGTCATGACTAATGTACTGCAATGTATGAGCGAATAAGCACAGAGTGTGGGGCAGATATTTCACCGCAGAAAAGTTGCCATTGTGACCTGCATGCAGAGTTAATGAGTTAACGGCAAAACCATCTGGAAGTCGAGAACAATATTTCTACTGGATTAAAAGAGATGGATTCACAAGCCTGCTTGTTTACAATGTAATAGGGCTGCTTCACATCACCGGAAGATTTGTTGGCTCGTTCTGAATTGCAGAATATGGTGGAGGCCACACGTAGGTGTTTCATCTATTTTGGGATGTAAATTGGAGGTTTTACAAGCTCCTGTGTACATTTCACTTTGCTAAGGTTTGATGAGGTTTCAGCTCATCAGTGCATATTCTTTCTGACCCCTGAAATCTTAAAATAGAGCTGCAGTCTCCCATTTAAGTCACCCTCCCCTTTGCTTTGTAAGCCTTAAGCACCAGTAGACAGTGGTGGAGCCAGTGGAGGACTGGTGCAGCCGTCATGGACAGCACTGGGAGAGCGGTGGCTCCTGGAAAGCTTCTGGGTGGATAACAAGCTGAGTCAGACCCACCCAAACCTGGTGGTGCTTGAGCAGGTGTTCTGCTCTTTAGGGAAACCCGATCGAGGTGATGTGGGCCAGGTTTAAACCAGTAATATCTGGACTCCAGGGGATAGCCTTCACTCCCCATGAGCTCTCTGTGCTGGTTAAGTCACGAGGGAATCCCCTTAATCCTTGGACTGTCAAACCAGACTCCAGCCACACCATTCAAAAGGCTTCCCCAAGTTACGATAGCATGTGAATAGTGAACCCTTTAGTGTTGAAAGGTTCAACTTTCAGATTCAAGTCTTAAATGATTATCCTGTGGGGTTCGGATATATTGTCCTTAATAGTGGGAAAAAAAAAGCCAGCCCATCACGGAAGTAAATCTTTCTTGAAACAGACATCCATCAGTTGGATAGCTTGACCAAATATCCAAGTCAAGACCCTCATACATAGTTTCCATTTATGTGCTCTGCATTCTGCTTAGTTAACAAAGTCCGACATTTTCTGGAATTGTCAGAGATGAAGATTTAATTATAGCAATGTTTACTCTTGGCATATAAGATCACATGAGTATCCTAGAACTGGTGGTTGAAATCTTGAAAATTTAATGGAGTATCTTTTTTTTTTGCGCAGCATCATGCTATGATGCTGTAATCCTCTGTGTACATAAAACCATTTACAAGCCTTGTAAACATTTGCAGTTCTGTCAAATTAAAGCTATGAATATTAATGAGGACATGATTTTACATAGGCGTGCTGGAGCGGACTTTCAAAACTAGTATTAATAATGGAATGGCTGCAATCGAGTACATTCTGTCACATCCTGTTGTGGGATACTGGGCGTCATAACTTCTTACCTCAGCTGAATTTCAGTCCATGTATGTTGAAACACTGGGTCATTCTTCAACATTTATATAATCAACCTAACTTTTACCCGGATTTGCCTGACTTAGTGTTCTTTGTTGTCAGGTGGCCATTAAACAAATGAACCTACAGCAGCAGCCTAAGAAGGAGCTGATCATCAATGAAATTCTCGTGATGAGGGAAAACAAAAACCCTAATATTGTCAATTATCTAGACAGGTAAGAAGAATAAATGGAAACGCTTACAGAAAGCAAATGAACACTCACTCCACATTTTGCTGATACTCCTGCAGGTACTTGTTCGTCTTGAATTGAGGGTTTCGTTTTCACACTCAGACATTCACAGTCCGCACATCCTACTTATAATTTTGTGCACAAATCCCCTTAAGACCCTGCTGAATTGGAAATGAGGTCTAAGGCCAATAATACTCTAAATAATTTATGAATACCGACCTCTTTCCCCACCTCTCTTGTTATTGCCACATTTAGGACTTGGTCATTTGTAACATCCTGGAATCATCTTGCACTTGTTTTAGTGCCTTAGTACCATCTATTGTGGGACAAATCATCCTTATGCCCATTTAATACACATGGCCAGCATTTGAGTTTTAAAACTGGGGGCTCATAATGAATGGCTGAGCGATCGTGTGTCAGTTTCTGGAGGTGTGCCCATTCTTCCTCTCTGTCATTCGCCTGCAGTTATCTCGTGGGAGACGAGCTGTGGGTGGTTATGGAGTACCTTGCGGGAGGCTCCCTGACCGATGTGGTGACAGAAACCTGCATGGATGAAGCACAGATAGCCGCCGTGTGCCGTGAAGTGAGTCATATTTATCGACACGTGTCGCTCATTAGATCTGCTTCTGGCTGCCTGGGCCCTGATTCTGTAGCTGCTGTCTGGAGCAGGTAGGATAGCTACAGGGGCGCCTGGCCTTCTGGGTAAAGGAGGGAATGCACCTTGCCGAAAACACACACCGTCATATCCAAGAGCTGAATGGTGGGCAAGATCCCCGTGCTTTCGGTTTCAGTAAAAGTTCAAGGTCTTTTAAAAGGTCTTCTGAACATGATTCGATTTTTTTAATTTTGTCTCTGTCCATATTGTGGTATGTGAGAGTTCATTATTAGTGCTTGGCCCACACTGTGGTCTTTTATTTTGTGATATGTGTTTTTCTGCCCTCAGTGTCTGCAAGCACTGGAGTTCCTTCATTCCAACCAGGTGATTCACAGGGATATCAAGAGTGACAACATTCTCCTGGGAATGGATGGTTCTGTCAAGCTCAGTAAGTCGGCTGTTTGATTCGGACTTTGAAAAATGCCTTTCTGAGCCATCTCTACCAGTCCTCTGATTGATAATTCCAGCTTGATCAGGTTCCCTTAAGCCTAACCCTGACCCTACCCCCTTTTTTGTTCTGTGCGTCTTCATTCTGCACTTATTCTTAATATGTAAAAGTCTCAAAGCTGGTTTCAGCTAAAGAAAAAATGCAAAGGAATATGTAAGCAATTGAATGTTTCCAACAGCAGAGGGTGTCAGTGTAGCAAGTCCTGTTGCCTTCAAAGTTAAAAATTAAAATTGTCTGCTGCATAAAATGTTTTCTTTGATTAAAAATACGCTATTGGCTGAAAATGTACGTTTAAGGCAACGTGTACTTGAACGTAATTAATTTCAAAAAGATTTTCTCCAGTGAATTCAGGAGTTTTGCATAAAGTAGCAAATTGTCCTCCTGCTTTATATGTTTTTTTTACTGTTGGAAATGATTTTTAAAGAGTTGTTAAAATACAAAAAAGACAAAAGAAGTGTGAAATGTCCCATGCTGTCTGGATGTGGAAGCTGCTGGAAACGTTGGTTGTGTTATATCTGCCTTCTGCACCGCTGTGTTTGAGAGCAGGACCTGCTCGGCAAAGGCCACTCCTGACTGTCTCCTGGTTCTGTTTCCCCAGCGGACTTTGGGTTCTGTGCCCAGATCACTCCGGAGCAAAGTAAGCGCAGCACCATGGTGGGCACGCCGTACTGGATGGCTCCTGAGGTGGTGACCAGGAAAGCATATGGGCCCAAAGTAGACATCTGGTCCCTGGGCATTATGGCCATTGAAATGATTGAGGGAGAGCCACCATATCTTAACGAGAACCCCCTGAGGGTAAGGGAATACCGTGATCTCTGCTATTACGCAAGTTTCCAAAACGAGAATTGGCTCATATGCGGTTGATAAATAGGGGAAAGATGTCTGTGTAACACGAAACTGGCGTTTGCTTGTCCGCAATTTCATCCCTGACACCTTTACACTTTGCGTCGCGGAGTAACACAACTGAACGTGGTGGTCCGCAGAGGAATACACAGTTGTCCCACGTGCTTTGTTTTGGAAGTGCTAACATGGAGGTGCTCCTCACTTTTTTTGCATTGGCGTAATATGAGTGGACAAGATTGACAAGAATGTGTCTAAGAAGTGTGCTGGTCATCAAATTTCAGGTGGTGAACTTTTTTTCAAGGTAAAGTCCTACAATTACTGTAGTATTTATTATGAATTTAACATGTATTTAAGCTCTGCTAATTTTTTATTAGGATAATTATTACATTTGGTAAAGCTTTGGTTAGACATTTGGTTAGGTTTTGAGTGGTCTGCCCCTAACTCTCTTTTTCCCATAAGCACTGTTATTTTTATTGTGTGATTTTGTATAACACAAGGTTTTACAGGAATGCATCTATCGAGTTATCGCAGAGACGCCTGTCCAGCACTTTTATCAACGTTACTTGCATCATACAGAGGAACAACAGCATGAATGAACTGTCTTATTTAATGTCATCACCTGATTTCTTATACATGAATTGAAAGGGTTGTTTGAGTCTCATATGCTTCTGTGTCTTTCATCATGTGCAAGTGCAAGAGAGCACATTTTTAAAGTGAGACGTGTGCAGTACATCAGTGTAATTGCTCTGTGCTCATACACCCAAGCTGTAGTACACCTGGTTATAGTGTGCTGCCCTGCTCTCCTTTTTTAATTTTGCTGTAAAGCTTTGGTGCATTGTAGCATGCAAGCCCTTTAATCACAGCATTGCTTTGTTTTCTGCTGATACCGAAGCAGATAAGTGTGTGCCTGCATCATCACTGAGAATAATCTGTTTCTGATGGAGACGAAGGGCTGAACAGCCGCATTTTTGGCGGCGTCGAGAGAGTCGTCTGATGCACGCTGGGAGCAATGTACCTGCCACCTCCAGCCCTCCACACGCCACCTGGGTCTTTAACACCTGCCAGTGCAGTGGTCCCCTGTAAGGGCCAGGGAGCAAGACTTGCAGAGCTGGAAAAGGAGTATTGCTGGGAAGGGCTGCTTATTTGGCAGTGGTCCTGACCAGAAGAGGTTGTGATGTTACAGATTGAAGAGGGGTAGTTTTTTGAAACAGACCATTTCATTTTATTAGTCTTCACACTGGTTGGGGGGTGGCAGGAACTGGGGAACTATATCTGCCCTACGCTTGAATGCTGAGGAAAAACGAACTGCAGTCTTTGGTGCCACACTGTCCTATTTGGACCTAACAACCTTATTATCAATTACTAGGTTGTATGTCAAACATCAGAATGGTGTTCTTATTCATTGCCCTGAATATGTAAACATTTCTATTAATTACTTTAGTTTCACTATCTGTTAGTTTTAGAGAAACCAAGTTTCTCAGTAATCAAACCCTGGGACTGCTTAGATGATATACCTCTTAGATGATTACAGCAGACTATGCAATCTTTTTTTCAAAAGGAAAACTTCAGCCAGTGATTAGGTTTGGCAGGGCTGATGTGAAAACTCATGACTTCTTTGCTCTTGTTTTGCTTGCCAATTCCAGGAAATGTATTTCGTTTTAGGAAGAAAAACAGGATACTCTAATGCAAATTAATGTATGGGAAGGGGCATTTACACTGCCGCACCTGATATAAACAGCGACTGTTAACAATGTTAGAAGGATTTAATTCTTCCTAATGAACACAGTCAGTTCTCTTCGTACAACACTCCTGAGAGATGCAGTCAGTCAAATTTGTGTTCCCATTCCCTCGCATTAGACTTGCATTATTTTTTTAGCTGTATTGTAAAAGTGTGATCTAAAATCTACCTAAAAATGACGGTCTACATAAATGGGATTTTCTATTAATACCTGATATTTGACTTTGTCAGTGTTTTTTTGACTACCTGTAATTGTTCTGTGCCGGAGATTAAATTGACATGAAATACTCCGAATATCAAGTGGGAATTGAGAGGAGGATATAATGTTCAACGTTTCCTTGCTAATTAGTAATAAAGAAGTATATCAAGTAGGTAGCTGTGTCAGCATGTGTAGTCTGCAAAGGAACAGGTAACAGGTTTATTCCATGCTGAAAAGAAAGGAAACACAATGTTTCGGCTGTGGAGCCTTCTTCCAGTGTGAGGAATGTTGCAGCATGGAATAAACCCATTACCTGTTCCTGTATAGAAGTATATATGAGACATATTGGCTTCTTTCCTGGCTTTTGTTCATTTTAATGAGGGATTAACTCACACACAAGGCAATCTATCTGGATAGAAATAGAAGTGAACCATGACATATGCACTTTCAGTTTTTCTAACTTGCGTTTTGTAAGAAGTTGGGGGTGGAAATTATGAAGGCATGTATTACAAACATGTCTTATCAGTCAGGTGCTGCTACCTGCGTGTAGATATGTTTGGGCCCCTGAGCTGTTTCTGACTGCTGTGACTGCTTCTGTGCAGGCACTCTATCTCATCGCCACAAACGGTACCCCAGAACTTCAGAACCCCGAGAAGCTCTCCTCCATCTTCCGAGACTTCCTCAACCGCTGCCTTGAAATGGATGTGGACAAGAGAGGGTCTGCAAAAGAGCTCTTGCAGGTGAGATCTCAGTGGTGACAACACTTGGAAGTGCTGGGCCAGGACATTGATTCTTTAGCTGTCTCTCTGGAGTCCGCTATGCCATTGACAATCGATCTGTCTGCTACCTTCCCTTCTTGTCTGTAAAGAAGAGATAATTTCCTCTTAGTACAAAAGGGGTTAAGATTGGTGACCCAGATACACGGCAAGAATCCACAAACTGAAAACACTAAGTTAAGTGGGACTTTGAGATTTGAATGTCTTCTGGAGTCTACAACAAAAGATAATGATAATGAGAAAAATATTTGAAATTGCCTGTTCAAAGAAACCCTGTTATTTTGGCCAACTATTTTCCACTGGGCTCATGGAGTGATGGTCGCTGGTAAGCAGAGTGAGCATAATAATCACAATGCTTCTTTGTTTGCTTAGACGGACTTCAGGTTAAATGAGGACAGAATGCAGTCTTCTGGGGGGGCTTTCAAGGTTACAATATGAGCAGCTGCTTGAATTTACAGTGCGTGGCTCTCTGTGTGGAATACGTAATTTGTTCTTCATTTCTTATTTGCATTATTTTTGCCTTTATTCTGCTAGGCCGGTCTGCCCGAATGATAATTTTTTACTTATTCATTAGAGGAAGGTCTACACTGTCTTAAACATTGTGTCCTGGAAGCTTGCTGGATGGTTTTATAGTGTGTTATTTATTATATTAGATCACAACAATGGTGAAGAAATGAAAAAAGGTTCATTTTTAATTTTACAGTTCATATTTATATACAGTTTCATATATAGTTATCAGAAAGATAAATAGGAGTCGAGAGCTCAGATGCATCTTCAAGTGAACCACAACCAAAAAACATTAATCTTCCCTCTGTAAACGAGAGCATCTAATTTTTTTTCTCCAGAATGCAGTTTTATTTTTGTTAAAGTTTTTTTTTTTTAATGTGAAGGAACTAACGAACAACCAAAAAGTGTCAAACCCCTGAGGTGATTTTGTTTTGTGTGGTTCTGCTCTCTCTTCAGCACCAGTTCCTGAAGGTGGCGAAGCCCCTGTCCAGCCTCACTCCGCTCATCCTGGCTGCCAAGGAAGCCGCCAAAAACAACCGTTAGACTGGCGTTTCCGGCCTCCTCCTTCACCATCAGCCTTCTTGATTTTGCAGGGACCCCACACAGGACAGGGGCCAGCTGCCTCCTCTCTCCTGCACAGACACTGGGCTCCAAGCTGTTCATGACAGGGTCATGAATAACAGACTCTTAGAGGTCTAAAGGAAGTAAAGTAAAACAAATCTTAAATGAACTTTATACCCGTAAAAGGGTGTTTAATTGTTTTCGGTACGTTTTAAAAAGAAATAATAATAGGCCTAAGGAATACGGAAGCCTGATTGATTGGTTTTCATGTAGCAAAGTGTTTTTGACTCCTCTTCTTTTTTTAAAATTGTTTTCTTTAGTTTAAAATTGAAAGGTTGATCTTAATAAATTAAAACTTGTTTGTTCAGCTGCAGTCTTGAGTGGTGTCGTGACTCTTGGACTGTGTAGAAAGTGGTACGGTTGTGATTCTTTTTAATAATCCAAGGATGTTATGACCAGAAGCAAATTGGTCTTATTCTCTGGAATGTAATAATTTTTTGCAGTAATAAAACAGTACGAAATTAGATTCACGTAGGACCTTAACTGTCTGGTCCCTTTTAAAAGATTGTTGTTGGTTTTTTTTTGTTTTTTTTTTACAGGATTGTACAATTTGTTAACAAATGTGGAAAATTCAGGTCATCTGTGAAAATCATTACATGTTATTGTATATGCAGTGCATTCAAAAAAGACGTAAGGTAGCCCAGATTTGAGATATTTGTCTAGATTTGCTTGGTATAATTTTGTGGTACTGCAGTGGGTCTCTGTTTTAAAAAACTGGTACATACCCCCATTGAACATTCTATCCATCTTGTGGAGATATGGAGAACTTTTTATTTAATATAATCCTGTTTATTTTTCATAACTCATTCCTAGAAAACAAACAAGATGTATACAGTATATGATGAAATGTACTGATTATCATGAAGTTCTTGGGTTTTCCATAAATTGAGCCTTAAAGTATCTAAATAAACGTTCCTGATGTTTCTATCAGTGAAAACATAAACGGTACAAATTATGTTGTTTTTTAGAAGATTTATAAGAGATAAAGTCCTGTCTTGTGATGCACAGAATAGAATCCTGTTTTTTTCTGTCTGATCTGTCTTTTTTGCCTATCTTTCAGTTTTCTGTTTCTTTACATAAGCCTTATCAAAGTGACAGTTATCGCTAAGGTCTTATCTAATTTTAATTCATGAGAGTTGAACTCAGTTGTGGAACCTGTTCCTTTTGAGTTTTTACAAAATGATTTAGAAATGTTTTTTTTTTTTTTTCCCCCAACACTGAAAGTGTTGTTGAGACTTTTCGGTACATTTGAATTTCATGCCTGTTGGTTTTGTTTCATTGTTTTTAATGACTGTGCTTATCCTTTCAGCTGGTCTTTAGCCAGATTTGCTCTTTCGGTGAACCAGTAAAGGTTATCTGCTTGCTCTATGTGTTTTTTTTTTATTATTTTGGCGAGCCATAATTTTTAACTCCAAGAGACGAGAGAAAAAAATGTTGTTATTCGAGCCCGGTTTCCCATAATTCCTCAAGACAGCATACTGGTTCTTCACAGGTTCAGCTCTTTATTGTTGCATCATTGGTTTCAGTGCATAATGTAGTGTTGCATTTTGTATGTTATTTTATTCTGTATGTATTTTTATCCTTAATGTACTGAATGAATCATGAAGGCACAGCTTTATAGGCAACGTTAAATTCCAGGATCAATTCATAGCTCATCTTACAAGCATGTGGTGATGTGACTTATGACCTAACAGGTTTTTGACAAATATGGCATGACTCTTTATGATTGTGCTGATTGCTTTTCCTGTAAATGATGAACTACTTTGGAATGAGCTGAGGAGGGTCCATTATCATTACAGCACATACCTGCTGGTAAGTGAGGAATATATAACATAACATCACTTTATTCACCCTATACAATTTCTTGTATTAGGAATTTGTCTTTTTGCATACCCCAACTTGCTCTCCAGGAGACACACGGACAGCAAGAGAAGCTTGGGGTCAGAGCGCAGGGTCAGCCATTTATACGGCGCCCCTGGAGCAACTGGGGTTAAAGGCCTTGCTCAGGGGCCCAACAGAGTAGGATTCCTCTGCCGGCTGCGGGATTTGAACCGGCAACCTTCCAGCCACAGGCGCAGATCCTTAGCCACAGAGCCAGAAAGGGCTGTTTGTACCGCGTATCTCACGGTATGGGAACAGCACAGGAAGAACAGAGCTGTGGTTTCCACCTGTGACAGAATGAATTGATGTTGACATGAAATCACCCCTATTTGGGTTTTTTTACCCCCCAATCTTGGAACCAGATGAAGGCATGCCCTGTATCTGGACTTGGACAGCTTCGGCTTCAGTCTCGTGGCCCAGTTGATGGCTCTTCCGGTGTAGGCGCAGTCAAACTAGATTTATGAGCTTTGGGGGAAAAAAAATCCCTTCCGTCTCTTTGGACCTTTTGTGCAATGTCTTAGTGTCAAGTGACCAGCATGGACTTTTGTGTTAGACCTCACATTCAGTGTATGAGTTTTGGAAAATGTCAAATCTTGGTGATACCCACTCGTGGTGCCCAAGTAATATTTAGATGAAAGCATCTTAAACATCTTTGCATCATGCGATTGGAAGTAATATTGGAGTTACCCTGGTCTGGTACGGATGGAGGTGTTTATGGAGACACAAGGAAGGACACCCTTGGGAATCTGGGTATATGTACGTGTTCACACAAAAAAAAAATGTATTATAATAATATGGTTTTGTCTGGAGGGAAAACTTTTTTTCCATTTTGGTATTGTATAGCAGTATCAGTCTGACTTGAAATATTTTGAAGGAACATGAAATCGACCTGTTATACCTCTTGGCATATCCTTATTGTTTATATTCTCTTGAGCACATGAAACAACATCTTTTCTCTTTTGCGAAAGATTTTTTTTTCTCTTCAAATGAATCCTCTGCCCTGCAGCTACTGGAAGTCCTTTATGGAGCTGTGTCAAACAGAGATACCCTGATATTGCAAGGTAGCTGCTGTGTAAAAAGGAATTCCTGGATCAGCATTCTGTGCAGGCAAGCCTCTGACACTCCATTCAGTGGTCTGCGTGTATTGCTGATGAATGTTCTACATTTATACTGTATAGCAGAGTTTGAAATAAACTCTTGTTCCAGTTGTAAGATGGCTGGGGTTGTTTTCTATGTATGTTTTAAGTGTTGATTTTCTATGCATATCATCGTAAAGAGAGGACATGATGCATATGTTTACGCCTGGGAACACCTTGTAGAGGGTTAGGTTAAGATTTGTTAAGGTTGGAAACTCCCTGCATTGCATTGTAAGTGCACTCAGTACCCTTAACCAGTTATCAGTTGTTTCTTTTGATTAGGTTCAAATTCTGTATGCTTTGATGATATTGAAGTGTGTTTCCTGCAATCAAATAAGAGCCCTTATGAAACTGCTGAAATTGGTGTTCTGTTCCGTGACACATTCAGTGGGGAATATTTCATAACCCTTTTCTCCAGCAGAACCAAATATAACAGTAAGTGTGCAAGTGCTCATTGGCTGAACATCAGAAGGTAGCTCAACAAAGTCCTTGTCGTGAATAATGCTCACGTTAATCAAGATGCATTAAAGTGATTGCATTAACCAAAAATTCATATTTCTAGCGTTCTAGCATTTTTTTAAATAAAAACTGTTATAATGCTATGGGTTTATTTATTGCTTTCCTTATTTTGTGAAAGACATGGGAGAATGAGTGAATTATGAATGGGCTTTACATGATAGTTTCTTAGTTTAGCATGATAGTGTTCAGCCTTTTGATTTAGCTTTTTCCTTGTGTTTTTAACAGCTTCATGGAAAGGGTTTTCCTAGCATTTTACCATGTACTCTGCACATATTGTCAGGAACCTGCAACTAACCTGTTATTTTACCGTACTGACAGAGAAATCCCCCCAAAAGATCTTTTTGAGGACCCAGGATCTCAGAACTCCACTGAGGAAAGGGGATAGAGCATGGTGTGTGCATATTGAGTTCACCATAAGAGATATCAAGCATGCTTGCAAATTGTCATAGTCTCCTTTTTAGTATGTTACAAAAATAATTTCAATTCCACTTTTTATATAATGGGAGTCCCAGTGTAACACAGTGAACTACATGGAGCTGTAGTCTACCAAATGCTCATCCCCAGTTTAATTCTGCAAAACAACGCATGAGGAATGTTCCAGTGTCAAGATTTTGCAGTCAGTTTTTCTTTTACAATTTTTCTAGATAGCATTTGTTATTGCTTTATAACTTGCTCAAAGCTGGCAATAAGGTCATAAATCGACTAACAGGCAAGCACATCTTGAGTGAAAGTGTTTAATTTTAATTTGGGTTTACAGATTTAACCTCGGTGTAAAGCTACACTGCATGGCATGTTCTTTTAGAAATGTTTAGGAATGCCCGTTTTACATCTCATTTCTATTTTGTAAAAGGGTCTATATACTGTATAGTCCAGTTAAAAATTATAGGTATTTTTACTTTTATATCAAAAATGAAAATATGAACACCGTTTCAAGAACCAGACTTACACTTCTGCAGCTGATTAAGCAATCAATCTTGCATGATATTGCTGAGATTTGCCAGTGCAGTCCAGTTTGCAAATGCTACTCTGACAAGGACAAATGACACCAGAAAGTGAGGAGAAACCCAAGACTCTCCTGAAAAACCCCTGAGCTTGCCTGTGTTACTTCTCTCTCTGCTGAGGTTTGCAGAGCTTAGGGGAGAGGCAGAGCTCTTTTTTAAAGCAGAGCTTATCATTGGAGACAACATGATTCCACAAATGTATTGTTTAATTCAATCTTGTCTCTCAAGCCTGAATCACCATGTCATATTGTGAAAAGGAATGCCAGAAATTCATATGCCTCAATGTATTTTCCACCAGAACTAACCTTTTCTCTGCTGCATTGCAGGATCCCAGAGCAATGTGCTTATTTTCCTGCTCAACCCAGAATTAGCCTTGATGAAATTTCAGTTGCATTTAGATTTGAAAAGCCATGGTTCTAATTAACTTGTCTCTTGAGGTTGGTGTATTTTTTCCCCCCAGTTGAAAGAATAAAATCATAAGACTAATTAAACTTTTCACTGGAGAAGACCATCATAAAACAAATCATAAAAGAATACTATGTACAGGACACAAGTGCAAGTATACATTTCCATATCACTACAGTATGGACTACTTCGGGGATTTTTAAATTGTTCACAGTGTGCATTGCTTTAGAAGAAAATACTGCAATTTAAATGCTGTGCTGTGTTTTGGAAACTGATTTTATGGTTTACACAGGCTGGGTTCTGTTCATGCTTTTATCGTTTTTATAGAGGGATTCATTACCATATTCTTTGATAAATCATTATTTTTTTTCTGAAATAAAAAGTAATGTGTTGATGGCAGTTTAACCTATACAGCACCAAATTGAAGAGTTGTATTGTGAAGAAGTTTCTGGCCCCACCATAGCAAAGTATTGTGTAAATTAGTCCTGTGGACAGAATTTTCATTAGATATCATGCTTAGTGTACTATCAGCATTACCCAAAGATGTCAGAGTAACTTTCTGTGCATTTATGAGAAATAAATCATTAGTTCTGTCTTAAGAGAGATGTATACTTTTTATAACATTAAACAGGATCAAATTCACCCTTTTCCCCATCTAGCTATATATACAGTATGACAGGAGAATTTGTCTTGAATGTTATTTAAAAGTGCTCTTCTGTAGAACAGTTTCACCCATGCTTTTTCAGCCCTCTGCTTTTCATTGCGTGTTGGCAGTTGTTTTTAACTTGAGTATCTTCTTCTGCTTATTTTGCATCCTGTTTGTTCTTCTGTACTGGTATGATGACTCACATGCTCAGGCAAAAGTGATCTCCAAAAATGGATTTAAGAAACCAATTATGGCTCTAACTTTGGATCAACTAAGTAGTTCTCATGATACACTGGTTACAATTTCTTCATTTCTTGGTCAAGTGAATTGTTTCCTATAAATTATTAGCCTGATAGAAAGTTGGTAGTACTGTATCTGTTGCTTCAGCCAAACTAAAATTCAACTGTTAAATACTGCAGTCAGACAGAAAATCGGATGTACATCTTTATTATGAACTGGTGTTACGTTTGCAGTATTTTTTAGAATAAGTAGGGAAAATACTATTAGGCCCATTGATATATTTGTTGTAAGCTGTCCTAGCTCCTGTAGAACCTCTCTTTATTCTGATTTATTCTTTACTTTCTCCATTATACCATTTAGGCTATATTCTTATTTTAGGGATGAATTTGTTTTGAGGCTTTAATATTGTTTCGGAAATATAATGACCTGTTCCCACTTCACCATTTGTAAGTTATGCCTTATTCCTTCACTGACTGCTTTTTTAAGAGACCGTGATTTAGATTACCAATTTTAATGTAATTCTATTCCATCCACTCCACAGATTTTATCCTGGGCGTCTGAAAGGACTTGGAAAATAAAGCCATCTCACCCTAGTTAGGTGCATTGAATAAACTGGGCTAAGAAGTAATCATGAACTATTTCATCTGTGTCAGTTTCAGCTTCTTTTTCCACATCACAATCTTCCAATTCAGATGTGGAAAATTAAAATATCCTACTAATATAATATCCCCACTAATCCCACATACATCTTCCTGACTTTTACACAGTAAGCTACTTGCATCCATCTTTGCATTATGTGGTCTGTTGCTTCGCCTGTTGTTAAACCCTTAGTATTTTTTTACAGTTTAACCAATGTATGTCCTAAACTCTCTATAGTTTATTCCTTCAGTCCCCTACAGGTTATTTCATCAATATTCTTACTCCACCATCTCTTCCATGAAGTTTCAAAACCTTCATAATCTTCCCCCATGTTTCAGTTATACAGTACCTCTTTTGTCATAGTTAATGCCGCAGCTTTGACTTTTCATCTTTTATTACACTTGCTCCTAGCATTGACGTATATGTATATCCTGTAAGAACCGAAGTGTTACTTAAGTTTGTTCTTAGTGTTGCCTTGGGCTTCTGGATCGCGTTAGGATTAGCGTGTTGTGGCTCCCTGCTTCTCAGTTTGCAGTTCTACAGTAACTCTCTCCTGCAGCTCTGCAAGAATTTGTCGGCAAGCTGGGCGTCGGGTCCATAGGTCTCACACTCTAGGGGCTTAACTAGATGTCAGGTTTCACAGAAATCTCCCTGGATGTCTCCAACCAGAAAGAAAGTCCTCTTTGCTTTGCATTGGCCTTGTACTGTTAGTTGTTAATTTGTTGACTGACACTTTTATCCACCGTGACTTATATTTGTGCCCTGGGTGTACATTATATACTGCTGGGTGTTTTACTGCGGCAATCATAAGTGAACTGCCTTGGTGAAGGTTCCCCGTGATTTAAATCCACAACCTTCCAATTACATGGCCAGAGCCCTCAACTCTACTCCCTCAGTTCCTTTTTACTAGTTAGGTAGCATATAAATATTGTACAAGGAAAAGCTCGTCTCCCTCCCCCATTCCCAAACAAAACAAAAAAACACAGCAGAACATGTGCACTGATCTTGAAGGTTACAGCTTGCCTTGGGGGTTCGGGGGTGTTTGCTTTTGACACCCATTTTCCCAAATGTCTCAAGTCATCATTCGCTTTGTGTTGTGCTCCTTTGTGGAGCTCCCCCAGCACAGCTACCATATGCAAGCATCAGCTCTCTTTGGTTAAGTCATTTATCTCTGCCTTGCAGGTCTGACAGCCTCATTTGTGAAATACAACACTGAAACTTACTGAAGTTTCCATCCCGCTGTGGAACACGGTCTCCTCGAAATCCTAAACGGTAAACGATGTGAAATACGGCTTGTTTTGTTTTGGGAGAAACATTTAAAACCAGTTTATTTTTTATTAGAATACCTTGAGTGTCTTTGTACCTCTGGCAACTTTTTTCCCCCCATTGGATAAAGTGCCTGTATTCTTCCCTTCTTCCTGTCCTTTCCTCGTCAGTCTAGGATGAAGCAGCACTCAACCCCGATAAGGCCTTCATCAGTGTCTTCTGCAGGACAGGCATAGAATATAAAATGCTTTGATGAAATTGTGATTTTATATGCAGGCATATCATTCCAGGATTTTTTTCTTCAAACCATGTCGTAGAGCAGTGGTTCATAACCAGTACTGCAGCCCTGCACTCCTGTTCTATTCAAAATATGTTCTCGAACCCTTTATCAAAAATCTTTCTGAAAAAAATCTGGAATGTCTCACACCCAAAAAATCGCATCTCACCCCAGGTTAACAACCATTTATGGTGATTTATTATAGTCCGAGCAACAAAAGAAAAAATCTGAATCTAGGCTTATTCAGGAAATGTATTCATTCACACTCCACCCCCCAGGTTAAAAATCGTAGGTATCACGTACAAAATAAGGAACAACCGTTAACACTTTTACTGGTTAACCCTTGTCCTCCCTGGATGTTGTTAAAAACAACACCTGAGAATGGAATGTGTTTCAAAGGAAGCGGATAATTATATTTCATTTGCATTATGGAGAAGGCTAAAATAATTCGGGAAAGTCCTCTGCAGTTTTCATAAGGGGGTGAAATGCTGTATAGCTACGGGGATTTTTTAAAAAGTCTACCCGTCCTTTAATATATTGTGAGGCATTAAATCCAACACGAGTACTGGAATCAATTATACATGCAGTAATTAGCTCCAGTTTCAGTTCCATGAGTCAGCACTGGAATTTCCTTCTTATTGCTATAGTATTAAAGTGCCTATACTGTAGGTGTCTATAGTGTATGGTAGGTTTGAGCTTATAAAACCAGACCAAGTCGTCCGGCGAAAGACTGCGCCCTTAGCATTCCAGTTACTTGGAGCGAAGCAATCAAAGCTCACGCACACAGGGCTCGACAGCTCCAAAGTACAGTACGTCGGCTGCTTGGACAGGCCGAAGCTACTGTAACTGCGGCTGGGGTAAGTAGAAACATTCCCAGACCTTACTCAAGCAGATGTATTATTATTTCGCAATGCTATTTTGCAATTTTCTATTCTGCAAAGAGAAAAGCTTCACTCTGTTGCGTTGTTTTTTCGTCACCCCCAACAAAATCCTAATATAAAACGGCTCTGAAGCTTCTGTGAAGCCCTGGAAAAACCGCCCCTATATTCTTATTGAAGCATTCATTTTGTCCAAGAGCAAATAAGCGGTTTTTGTTTAGTTTTGAGCTTAGCCTCGGACTTCCGTATCACTGGGTTAACAATTATTTAATTTATCTTCCGACCAAACATCTTATAAACCGGTAACTTAGATCAAATACTCAAACAACTACAGCAAAATACTGTACAGTACATTGCGTTTTCATTCTCACTCGCGTAAGTGAATTACAACCTTATTTTTTAAATGCTTTCAGTCTTTTACAGTCTTCAAAAGTTTAGACTATTAGATAGATAATACTTTATTAATCCCGCAGTGAAATTGATGTGTTACAGCAGTCCAGCCCAAGACAAGCAAAAACAGACATCAGAATAGTTATAGAACAAAAGACAACAAAATAAATAAAAATAAATAAATTAAAAAATAAATAGATAGGTGTGTGCAAAATGTGATGATGATGATCATAGTCACTGTAAAAACAATAAAATATGTGCAAAATGTGCATAGGTTTATCTAGCATTTAATTATTATTATTAAAGTTTAAGGTGAACATTTAAAACCAAACAGGAACGTGTCTCATTTTAATTTTGGACATCATCACCAAATAGGTTTTTGTAGACAAGATACAAAATCAAACAATACACGACTCACGTTTCCTTCAGCTTTGTCCGCAATTGGGATATGGAAATATGGTTGCAAACAAAATTCAGTCATTTGGCTATTCTAGTTCATTTGCTTTGTGGCAGCCAGTTCTTCTGAGAATTTCATCCAACTGTCTCTTTAGAGCAGCTAGACTTCTGGCTTCATCAACCTGGCTGGGTAGTTTGTTCAAAACGACCACAAACCTTTGTGTAAAAAAAAGAAAGAACCTCCTGTTTTGCACGCAGTTTCCCTTAGTTTCTATTGGTGTCTTGTGGTTGCGTCTCGCTGTTGAGTCAAGTAGCGTTTGTGCATTTTGACTACTTGAATCAGGTCACCTCATAATCTTCTCTGTTGAAAACTAAAAATATTCAGTTGTTTTGGTCTAGCAGTTCTTAGCCTGACATTCCTTTATGTCCTGGAACATACAGTGCCTTATTCTGGACTGATTCCAGAGCAGCAATATTGTTTTTGTAACATGGTTACTATTTTAAATATGGACTCGTATTAATGTACCATACAATTTTAACATAACATCAATTGATGTACATTCTTCACTTTTAACTGTTTTCTAACTTTTTTTTCCTTTGATTGATTCCCTATATTGCCTAGAAGATGTAAATAATATATCTGTCTAAACACTTGAGTCTTTTCCTTCAAGAAATTACTTCTTCATGTTTGGTGTTTCTCATTTTATATTTATAGTTTATGGTTTTGATATCTGCATGCAGTGTGTTGCACCTGACTGCATTAAATGTCATCTGCCCCTTTTTGCCTATCATTTATTGTTTTAAATTAGTGAAGGCATTAGTCCTAATGCAGATTCCTGTGGTAACTATATCATTCCATTCTGAGTATAACAGCATTCTTACCTGTGCTCTTTGTCTAATCGTTAACTGATTACTGCTCAAAACATGCATTACCTTCACTTGTAAGAATTACTGAATCTATATTATTTAAATGTAAAAGAGCTCTTCTATGAGACTTCCTCGTAAGAGACTCTTGCATTACTGAAATGTAAGAATCTTTTATGAGGAAATTCATCAGAAGCCTTCTGAACATCTATATTAGATGTATGTTCAAAGATTCTGAGCATCTATATTAGATGTATGTTCAAAGATTCTGTCTTATCAGAATCTATATTGTACAGATATAATGAAGAATATTAAGTAGTTCTGGACATAAAATTCTATGTGTATCAAATCTAAGCTCTTTTTACTAGTCTTTTGCTTATTCTGCAGGATATGAAATATTACCATTTCAAATTTGGAGCCCCCCTTTTCATTTCCAGTTTAATAAATTATAATTTTTAAGGGCCTATTGACATTATTTGTAGTATAGTAGCACACCACTTGAATTTGTATTTTATTCAGACAAACCTAGTTCTAAAGCTACTATATCTGGAAAGAATTTCTAACAGCTCTGTAACATTTCCTGTACAGTAGGAGTTAACGTCCATTTGAAAGTTTCCATTATCCAGTTTTAATACAAATTTGTTCCTAGCCTTCACCCCCAAACACTCAAGTCTTTCACTAAACAAGGAAGTGTGGGAGGAACATTTAATGAAAAAATGTTACACAACATCTTGTAAAAACAGCACTGAAATCTGTTTAGATTTCCTAACACATAATTCTACAAGGTTGCAAAAACATTGATTGTGCTGTTAAAAAAGATGGATCAGAGAATTCTTCTTTGTCTGTAATAGGAAAGGCTCTGTATTTCCTTTACCACTGGTTTCAATGAGTGGAACAAAAACACTGTACAGTGTTCACAGCAGTAATATAGAGGTAATTTGTGGTAGACAGTACAGCCCATGTGGAGACCTTAAGGACACACTATGGATAAGAACATTTTTGTTGAATAATGTCATATTGTACATCCTGCTCCATGGATGCAATCACTAACTCTCTAAAGAAAAGCATAGCCAATGTGATCTTCAATTGCTCTGGAATTGCGGATACTCATAGTGTGTCCTAATATGTAGTGCCCTATGTAGTATTTAAGCAGTTTTCTGCATCACTGATAAGGAGAAAGAAGCAAGTTCATTAAAACGTGACATCATTTTAGCAAAATTTTAAGCATTTCAGCAACGTTTTAGTACCATGAGATCGTCTTGGGCAATGATCTTGATGCCTTTGTTGTGGAACTTCGAAGGGAGACCTAATTCACAGCAGCAGTCTTTGTGAAGTCTTTCAGAACTACATGTTCAGGTGTATCTGCAGTGTCGCACACTCATCTTTGAGATGCTCTTTATTAAGCAGAAAGGCGAATTCTGTATTGCAGAACTTAGGCGTGGAGCACCAATGTATCTACACAGCTGTTTCACCTTATGTGACCGTTTGGGTTTCTTTTGTGTGACAATATTAGATGAAGGAACAGCTGGCAGCGATTACTTGTCTTTTCACAGCAATTATGTACCTTTTCATCTTTCCTAATCAACAAGGGAACTGGAATAAGATGAAAAATGAATTCATTTTATTTTTAAGTTAGATTGGAGGATCAGTTAATCCCTGGAATAAGTGTGCAATTTCCTTTGTTTTGGAATCAAACACGCAGAGAAAAGTTACTTTGCTCTTCAATTTTCATGTTTTTCTGCAGCATGGGTAGCTTGTCACGTTTCAGAGAGCTCATTGATGTGGCAGCATGACTTGTTTAAGAAAGTACATTTAGATGTGTCCCTATGACATTAAAGAACCCAAATCTGATGCTTTTTTTCATGTTTTATGTTCTTAGGTAGTCAAAGTTTTGCTGGTTCCTTTCCATTTCGGGGATGGATGTGAATTATGCAGAATGGGGTGATAACAGTTGATTATGCGTATGAAACAATTTTCCCAGAGCTAGCACGTGCTGGTGATTGCTGGTGGTATTTGAGGGTTGTAGTGTAATTTTCATTTCTCAGACTGGTTCATGAGCCTTTATAATTTGTTGTGCATCGATAGGGAAAACAACTTCTGAGACACAAACCTGTGTAACCCAATACACAGTCTGAGTGAGTGGCAGAATGCCCTAACATTAAGAAGAGAGACAGTCTCAGTTTTTTCATTCCAGCTGGGCTGTATTTCACTTAGGTTGTTAGCATATTCACAGTTTCTATTATTCAGACTACACCCACACATTTTGACATAGTTTCTTATATAAATCCTATTTTACATGCTATTTCATAATACACCCACTCTACAAAAAGCATGATGACATGCTCAGCTTTGTCAAATCATTATATCTGCATCTGTTTTACAGTTAAGTTCTTTAGCAATAGGTGGATTGTGGGAGGTTACAGTGTCTGACATCAAGGCTTCCTGTCCGATCTGTCAGTCTGGTATATTTCTGGAACTGGAATGCCTTTAACTCAATAGGTGAATCAGGAGTTTCTCACTAAATGAAACAAAATCCTCAAATTATAATGATAATAAATGCACAAAATCTACAGTCTGCATTACTGTTGAAAAATAAAACTGTATTTGCCTTTTGTACAGAAGAAACAATCACACCAAATAGGAACATCTGCATTTTTTATGTATTATTTGACAGCTAATTGATTTTTGGTATTCTTGGCCATGAGCCACTGAACAAATCCATTGGTGCAATTATACTGTGACAAGCAGAAGTGCTTTAGCATATTGCAGAAAATGTTCAGCAAATGGGCCAGGACACAAATCAAATAGAGGATGGTGCAATAAAGCATCAATTACATATGAGTCTTAATTTTGCCTCCATTCATTACACCTGACTTTATGGTTTACATTTTAATTTCTATTGATCAGTGCTGGCACAACATCGGTTAATTCACCTCCCATTGTATACACAAGTACTGACTGATCATTTGAGAAACTCACAAGATACTGTTAATTCACTAAAGCTAGATCTCCTTGAACCAACTGAAGTTACAATTTGGATTTTATTTCAGCCCTTGTATGCTGCATTGGAACTGATGTACATTAAACTTGCCATTTTTATGTATTCTGTTAAGTAAGGCTCTGGTAATTCTGTGTCGCTCTAAGAAAGCAATTGGTAATGCATAAGAAATGAAATGCAGTGATATAAACTTGCATATTGCATGGATGAATAACAGATACATTTTCAGTCTGTAGTTAATTTAGTTTTAGCAACTGGGACACAGTTTGATATGTACATTTCTATCAATTTTAACATATCTCTGCAATTTATAGATTGCTTATCATTAACATACCGTATAGTTATATATTAACATATACTGTATACAAAGTTATAGTTCACCATTGTTCTTACAGATCACAGAAAGAACTGAAGTGATCTGAGTAATGGAGGAGATCCCAAATAAATACCTTTCTATATGTTAAACTCAATTTTAATCAATGCATTTATCTAGTTTCTCTAGGGTTTGATAATAAAAAATAATCCTTTTATGCTGTTATAGAAGGCAAAATGTGTTTCACATCTCAGTATCCTACTCCTTAAGTTTAAGATGACAGGCAATGCTTTGAAACTTTGATCCACCATCTCTTATCTCTTATCTCTTATTTTAACAAAACTTTATCCGTCCAGAATCTCAAACAAAATGTTGTGTTTTTGGCAAATAATTCTTTGTCTTGTAATGATCGTTGCCTGGTTAATTACTTTGTTACCTTCCTGTGCCAGAGAACAAAGGAAATGTACTTAAAAGTGTTCCCCCTGCCAACTGGAGGTGGGTGGTTGTTAATTTTAATTTGCTTGCAAGAGAAGCTGATGTCAGGGATGACACTAATTTTTACCTCTCTTTAATAATTCACACCCTAGAATGTAACAATATGCTGGATGCTGTTTACTGAATAGCAAGCACGACCTCTGTTTATGACTTGCAGTATTCCAGATGGAACTGCCTTGTTCATTAAATGCCATCTGCCCTCTAGTGCTCAAAACTGCATTGCTCATAACTCCTAATAAAATGGTCACATTGCACTTCGATACAAGGTAGATTTCTCCACTCCTGCCTTCTCTTGGAATCGGAAACTAAACGTTTTAAATTATTCAGTCCCATTTCGATACACGGGATTCATTCTAGCTGATACGGTAAAATGTTTTTTTCCCCCTGCTGTGCTGTATAGCATCAAGTGGCGAGGCCTTAATTGAGTAGGCAGCTCATTGATTGTCGCCAGTTCATCTCCAGACAAAATGGGATTCCCCTGACATTTTCATTTGCGCTGTCAAAAAGAAGGGAGGCACAACAGACAGTTTTATGAACGGTGAAAATAACCAATCCTTCCATCAGCCGAGAACATTTTCTGCTTCCTGATGGAATGGGTTGGTGTTGAAGAAATGGAAAGCTTTGTACATTTCCACTTTTGACAGAGTGAACGGTATTTGTTTATAGGCTAAATTTAAACCACAGGGAAAGCAGCTGAAGCCGAGTTTGATTGTATCAGTAGTCCGCAGTTTATGTATTCTGCGTACCGGCTGTGTTGAAGTGAAGTGTATACTTTGGTCTTCCTGCTTTAAAATAGTTTAATTGACTTGCAAAACGCTTATGTATAAGTTGTTGAACTTTTGCATGGTTAAACACAGTGAAATTACTCATACACGCTTTCTGTTCTTACCACTGCCTTAATGACCTGCAAAGCTCAATATTGTTGATCTCCAAACATCACAGATATTAATGTAGCGAGCTGTCATATTGTTTGAGGTCAGGAGTCAATTTGTATTCAGGAAGAAAACAAAAACACAATCTGGTGCTGCTAAAAGACAAAAGTTGAGCTGACCCATTTTAGAGCAGTCTGATCGCTTATTAATACACCAAAGACAAATAGTTCCATATATATCATGTGTGTGACATAAACATTAGGACGTCTGTCTGGTCTGGTAGTGCAGAATGGTCTTAATTCCATTCTGAGCCGCCCGTAAGTGGCCTACTTGGAACTCGGGGAATGTCGCGGGCATTAAATCAAAGCCTGATACACAGTCTTTTCAGTTATAGGTCACGGGCTTAGACAAATGGTTGTGAAATATCGCCAGTGTAATACCTACATTAAACAGAACCCAGTTAATCAAATACTGTAGTGAACATGGTGTAGACAGTCTCTAACATGTCTGAATTCCAACGTTTTGATGTATTAAGAGGGTGAGGATCTGGATTAAAGAAAAAAAAGTCTTCGGTGATGGTTTCAGAAAGCTCAAGTCTCCTGTTCTGTTTACTAAATTAATAATTTTAAATCTTGAGGTCTGAAATATGAATTGTAATACAATTGTATTTTTCCACATTCGCCCATCATGCTGTTTCAACTCATATTATGTTGGAAAATCTGAATCTGTAGGCGATATCTTAACTCTGGACTATTTTCGTTGAACTTCATAGTACCGGTCTGTACGTTGTTGTGATACTGTTTACTTTATCAAGGAGATAGTGTGTTTAAAGATTGTTGGGAAAAAAAATACTTCTTTAATTCAAACGCCAGCAGATAAGAGATACCAATTTTTTAGGTTCCACAATAATGACAGTTGAGCTATAAAATACACATTTCGATACTGACATCTGTAGTAATTTATTCTTTACAAAGTATACAACACGTTAGAGGTTGTATGTGAAGATAATACAGGTTGGCTAGCCGATATTAATAGGCAACTTCATAAGCTTAGACGATATTAATTATTCATGTCATGTTACAGGCGGAGAGCTTTTTATTTTTTCTTGGCTATTTTTCACACATAAAAACCCTTCGATTCGTACAAGATCGACCTTGGCAGCGGTTTCTTAAAGCTGTTTGAGCCTTGTGACTTCGTCTCTTGTCGAGAGGCTTAAACGTAGCGTCTGAGGTATAATTATAAAGGAGCAGCTCACTTCGGCTCAGTTGAAGTCGGCGGCATTGCAGAGCGCAGACGAGTCCACACCTTTCCGAGAAAAGCACGAATAGGCGCAGCGACGAGGAGTTGGCGACAGGTGGGAGTTCCCAGCCCGGTCTCTGGAGCTGCCTTTACACAGCTCTGTATCAGGACCGCTGTGGTTACTAGCTGAGCTGCTATACCATCTCGGAGGAACTGCGCAACACTGCGGCTGTTAATTCCTGGGATTCAACTGAAGACTCTTCGGTGTTGGTGCGTAAGAGCTCTACAACGGCATAACTTCTGTATATGTAAGTTTAACGTTTGTATTTTTAGATGTAATGCATATGCGTGTCAGTAATTGTTGTGTGTGCAGAAGTGTTGTCCTCTCATGCTGTTTGTGTGTACTGTATGTATATTTGAGGTTTTGTAACCACAAATAATGCAGTATAAGTGTAATGCAGTGTAACTGATCGGATTTATTGCTTTTATTAATACTTATTTTGGCCTCGATGGTGTGAATGTGCAGGTTTTATACTTTAGCCACGTACTGTGTTGTCGTGTTTCAATGAAGCAGTCTTGCACTGCAGTCAGTGAAGCACAGCGATAGCGCTTGCGTTGGGTTAGTGCTGGAAGGGAGAGACAAAAACGTTTTGTTCATTTGGTCTCTCTTTGTCTTTTTGTCCTTTTTGTCTGGTGTCATTTTCAGCAGTTCCTGTCGCGTTCTGCAATGACTGCCGGTCGGTTATACTGACGTGCTTTTAACGAATAGAGAAGAGAAGGAGCAGAGAATGTACTAGCTTTTCGCAATACGGTCCTAAACCTAGTACTTTCTTTGTTTCAGTTTTGTTCTGAAGAGTTATCGCAAGCGGGTTTCCACACACTAGTGTTAATAGTGAACCTCTGGAATGTACGTTTGTAGTTTATCTATGATTTACCTTACAAAATACATCGTGGTGCGCTAAATAATTCCAACTCTCACGCCTACAGATATAAACATAATGTCATAAAGGTTTATTTGTTTGGTCGGATCTTTAAATTACCTTTATAAATAGCCGGAGGAACGCTATTATTACATCAGTTGTGGAAACCAAACGCCGGTTTAGCAGTTAATAAAGTCATACAAGTACTGTTTTGAGTATAGTCGCAGTGGTAACAGTAATGTCATTATTTCCGAAATAAAGCACCGATAAATGCAGACCATTTGAACTCACAGTGCATTGCACCGAGTTTATGGGAATCCACAAAAAAAATGTCACGCTGTCATCTGTGATGATTTTAATTACATTTTAAATTTAAATGAACTAAAACATGGTAATGAAGGGGATGTGACACCATTTTATCATTAAAACAAAATAATTGCAGGGGTTATTAAAATGAACTTAAAAATTAACCCCTTCTCCTCACTTTGGCATCTTGATAAATATCTCAGCAAAGTAGTAAACACAGGGGGCATCACTGCAGGTAATAAATACCCTTGTATTTACCGTCTACACTGTCCAGTGAATAAATCTAATTAAGCGTTTGAGACAAGATTTTTAATATTGTAAAGAATTTAGCTGACCAAAGGTTAACTACAGCTTGCTGAACTTGTTGTAATGAGATGTTCTGATTGCATGAAAACGTACACAAGAAAGGCTTGGATGATGGTGAGCACTGAATGTTATTAACCATACTGATGTTAAATATTAATCTGCATTTTCCATTTGTGGACCTAGTTTGGATAGGGGACTACTTCAAATAAGTTGGATTGAACATAGAAATCAATATGTAAAGCATAATGTACACCTGATACAATAACACAGAATTACAATGGTCTGTATGGAGTAACACTTACAGTACCTTGCAGGGGCTCTTAGAGCTGGATACAGAAAATAGTATAGAAAAGACCAGGGCTGTCTACTGCAAGGATCTCTGAGCAAATTCATAGAAGCCCTGGTGTCTTCTCTTTTTGCTTTCAAACTTGGTAGCCAGTGAATGTTTTGACATACATGATTATTTTTTACAGATGATTATTCCACTTTTTCACTTCATTATCTATAAAACACCTCTGTGTCTCACCTAGTTGGGCTTATCACATTAAGGCATATCATTGAATAATTTAGACCATCCATGTAACTGAGAGCTCAGGCAGAACAAAACCCAGAAGACACTGGGCCTTTCACAAATTCTGCTTGAGATCCCTTGTATCGCGTTTTGTTTCTTTGAGGCCAGAAGAGAAGCTTGCGGGGTAGGATCCTGCAATACAATAGGCTCTAATTGTGAAGTATACCATATGATTTTCATGCTGAAGCTGGCCATTGCAGCTGGGAACAGTGACCCTGTAAGACAAATCGAGCCTTTTGTGCTTCTGTGGCTTTTTATTTATGTATCTTGTTGATCTGGTGATGCACAAGAATGAATAAACAAAGTAAGCGCTTACTGAAGAGGTCCATTGTTTACAAAAGTGTCGCGTCCCCCACCTTTTGAGCCCCCTTGCTCAAAACAGCCACTTACTGTATGAGGGACCAAATGCATGAGGGATTGGTTCTAATCTGAGTGCAACTCTTGTGTTAGTTTCTGTTTTGCACACAGGAAGGTGCATGCTTCTGCAAAATCAATAAAAAAGACTGAGGTTTTTGTACACACATTGTTGGGACAGAGATTGCTGTATCATAATTTCCATCTTGATGCCATGTGGTCAGTGTCAGGCTGTGTGTGGGGTAAAGATTGATTAGATGACACGTCAAAACAAAAACTGCTTGAACTCTACTCATATCAGATCAGAACTAAACCATCTCACTTCGTCCCTAAGATGCATGTATATTATTTTGGTGTAATGTGACACTCTGTTGCATTTTTGTGTTGCAGTAGTAGCCTCAGGGAAGTCATATTCCATGAAATGACTGAAGTAGTGTTTATTCCATACAGAATCCTTCTAGTGAAATTATTCAGCAGATATTTTACAGTACAAAACTTTCCTACTGCTGACCAAACTAATTTCTTGCCACTGATATGAAGCATAGTTACATGAGAATAAAAATGACCAATTCTATACTGTGTGTTTCATAAGATCCTTTATGAGAATTTTCGGCTATCACAACATGGTGTAGGCTGTCAGAATTAGTATCACTGTGTTTGCCAAGTACATCACATGTACAACGAATTTGATCTGGTGTCTTGGTGCAAAAACATACTGTAGATGGAAAAAAAATCAATAACACCTTTACACTTTACACAACAACCTGGCACAGGATCACAATTATATCCACACTACCGTACATCCCATATTCATGTATTCGGGGGCAGCAGGGCAACAGGCATGGGGAAAAAGCTGTTGAGGTGCTGGGCATGACCTGAATTTGTATTACGTCAGTACAATTACTATCTCTGTCAAATAATTCTGCAGGTGAAGTTGTAAAATAAAATCTCAGTTTAGCAAATTGAGCTACTGTATGAACCAAATCACATTTTCTGAACTGCAGTGTATGCTGACATTTTGAAAGTAAGACTCAGAACCTAGGGGCATCCACAGCTAAAATTCTTTCAGCATCACAAACATTTTCTACTGCTGCTGCCATGACTTGGTTAGAAAAGCAGTGGTTTTAGAGCGTAGCTCCTTAGAAGCTCTAATGACTTCCTGTGGAGACCTGGATTAAAAGGGGAACTGCAACTCTATTTTCAGATTGTGATGTTTGAAAGAATCAGCATTGATGAGTGCATTTCAAACCACAATAAAAGCAAAATGTACACAGTAACTTGTAAAACCTCCAATTTGCATCACAAAATAGATTAGATTTCCATTTATGCGTAGCACCACATTCTTAGATTCAGAACAAGGCAACAAATCATATGGAAATTTGAAGAGGCCTTATGACACTGTAAACAAGCAGGCTTGTGAATACATCTCTTTTAATTCAGTAGAAATATTGCTCTTGACTTTGAGACGGTTTTGCCAACAAATATGAATTATTTGTTGACTCTGCATGCAGATCACGTTGTAGTGATGAAAATGTGGTGCTACACAGCCTGTACTTATTAACTCATACACCACATTACATCAGTCATTACCGTGACTAGTGAGCAGGAAGGGCCTCATCATGTTGCAATTAGTGGGAACTCTTGTTCCCGCCAGTGGCAAAAACAGGATTTTGCAACAACGTGGCGACATACAGTACTTTCACAAAGTTCACAATTTTTTTGCTTAATTTGAAATTTGTTAAATTTTTCCATATCCTCGATGAATTGAATTTGTTACCAAGATTTGATAACTGTATATTTACATGCTCATAACGAGAGTCTTGTACAGCTGTGGCATGGTGGGATTTTATATGAGGTGTTTTCCAGGAAGTGAGTTGTCATTTAAGGCAAAGGACCCCATTGTTCTGTAGAGACTCTGAGTTTCCAGATGTTTTTACAAGCATTTTGCCTGTCTCATCTGTTGTTCCAAGGAAATACGTTTCTGCAGTTGGAAGGCAAAAATAACATGTTTTCACAATTCAAAGATCAATGGGAAAACTAAACTGTAAGAAAATGAAAAATTCAAACTGTCTCAATCTTCTGTTCCTTGGTCTCTTGATGTGCCTTTAAGAGCTTGGGGCCTTAGGATTATTCTTTTTAGGTCTGTGTAGAAACTGAAAATTAATACACTGTGTGTCAAAAGAAATAATATTGAAAACAAAGAGGCCAGTGCATGTGAAAGTAATTAACTTTTGGAAACAGAAAAATTAATAATACTGCAAACATAAGGCTTTCATAAAAAGGCCATTTTGGTCAAACTATTGTCCAACAAGAAGTATGAAAGACTTAGAGTGTATTTGGCATTTTGAACAAAGATAACTAAAGTATTTGCTGTTCAGAAAGGGAAATTACGAATGAGCACATTAATCTTGGCATCTTCTGTTCTGGGAAGACTATATGCCTTTGACTTTTTTTGTTGCCATAGAAAAATGTCATACAGAGAAGAACTGAGGGAGAAGGACAGTATGTATTTACTGCTTTTTGACATTCAAGGCACTCAAAAATCCAGGATATTTTTGCACAATGTTAGAGGAATGGTCTGACTGTGTTATTGACCACAAGGAGCCAATATGCAGTTAGTACTGGCAAAGCTCCAGTTTTTTTGTCTAATCCTTGAATCTCCCTGTAGAACTTGATTAGAGGAATTGCAAACAACTTCCCTGTGCATAGAAGAACTGAAGTAGCAGGAGGGAATCATTTCCATTTCATCTATCCCCTGTATCATCTAATTACTCTACTAACGAGCACTTGATTTAAAGCAAGTTGCTAATTTTTGTAATGAATTAAGTTATGTTTGTTTAAAAAGGACAGGCTAGGCTATAACTGATATCTACACAGTGGATTTGATGACTGGCCTGATTTCAGGGAAAGGAAAGAGTGGAGTTTGGCCCCATGATTGTGTTCTAAGTGGTACTCCATCTGGAATACTTTGCTACAAATTTGCAGAGAATCTCTGACAGATGGACCTGATAATCAAAGCTACAGTTGTATCCATAAACCCAGGCTAATTCCAAACAAACGAGACCAGTACCTTCCTTTAATTGCCCCTGCTTAGAGAACAGTTACTGCTGTTCTATTATCCCTGTATAATTCCACTTATTGACACGTTTTTATGACACATTGGGTTTTGCTGTTTCTTTTAATTAAACAGTGCCCCCTTGTAGCAAATTTGTAGTTAGGTCTGCCAGTTGTTTGTTCTGCATACCATACTTGGCATCCAGAATATAATGTTTCTATGAGTAAAAAACTAAGGGTGGGTAAGGGAAAGTTGCTGTTGGAAGAGGTGTTAGTAGGACCAGTAGGGGGTGCTCACCCTGCAGCTTGTAAGGGTCCGGATGTCCCTGTATAGTGATGGAGACACTATACTGTAAAAAAGAATTGTGTATCAATTTAACAATTGTGCTTGTTATCACCTACGATCAGTTTTAGTGGGGTTTTTAGGGCAACTTCAAACACCATGTCTGCTCCAGACACAAGCCAGATTGAAAATTCCAGGGCAAGTGATGTATTTTCCTTGTGTTTCAAAGGAGCTGGATGTTTTAAGAATGAAATAAACAGTAGAAGTGAAAAGGCAACTTAAAAGGAGAATACAGTGAGAAATACGAAAGACACAGATGTCTGGATTCTATTCTTTTCTGTTTTTGCTTCAGGAAGTTTCATTTGTTTAAATGAATATAAGTGAATGGAACCCATTATCTTCTCCTCAGTTGATTCACAAATATCTGTGAATGGCATGTTTTGATGCTGACACTAGCACGGCTGGATAGGGGTTATTCATCTCTGCGGAGACCACTATTTTTATTCTAATCTTTCAGACTTAATTCCTTCTAAATGGCTTAGCCAAGACAGGAAGCAGATCCTGCTGCTACTATATCCCTGCAGATGTCAAAGGACTGTGGCAACCCCTTAGGAGAGAGAGGCCATGCCTCTGTGTTGCTCACCTCAGACATTCTATCACATACTGGCCCCTGGGCAGTGGCAGTGTCATCACAGACAAGCTCCCTTTTGTGCTCTTTGCATTCGATCCCCCACTGTGAAGAAACTCTTCTCCGCCACTCGAAAAGACATCGAGGTTGTTATAGCAGCAAAGCTGGTCTGAGTCACCAAACAGCTGAATGAACGTTCGAGTGGATTTTGGTCCCTTCTCCATGTTAGCCAGCTCTGCTTCTCAAGAAGTAAGATATTTGTTTACTGCATCTGCTTATGTTTTATTGCTGCCTTTTTTTATTGTGTATTTTTTTTTTTGCAGAGGAATGGTCATGTTTGGGATTCCTGGTCTTTTGCTGTTGTTTCACCTGCGTTTTGCCTCTTAATCACCACGTAGTGTTAACACGACAGGGAAGGTGGACTGTAAATAAGGATGCATTTTTGTTGTATGAATGATGTCTTCCAATACTGGTGAGATTACAGGATACAGGTATGAGTGTGTTGTAAAGAAGGTTATGTTTACAGTTAACACATAAAGGTTCATGTTTGCCCTATGCCAGTTACCCAGTAGACAGCCCACACAATTGTTAGACCGGGCTATGTGAACAAGGAGTTTTGATTTCATTAATACCTTTTTGTTTCTGTTGTTCAATGATGTTGGAGTTGCAGAGCTATTTACCTTATTTTTAAGTAATCAACATTTTTTTTCTAGGACCCTTACAAGAGATAAACTATTCTAAATGTCTTGAGGTACAGGCATGAAAGAGTTGACTTGGAGACAAACCAGAAACCATATATTTAATGTAAAAGAATGCTAGCAGTTATCAAGGGAAACTGAGCTTTGGAGATCAACAGTGTGAAACTGGTGCTTTATCGAGCTTCTGTTATCTGCTGATGTAACCAACAGATGCTACATACGCTATTACCTTATCTCAGCTTTGAAGGTCTCGTTCAGCATATGGTTACTTAAAATTCAGTAATTATTAATTACATGAACAAACAATTCCCCTCACTGCCTTCCTGTTTATACCTTGTCTTTCCTCAGTAATGAAAATAATCTAATTACCATTTCTGTAGTACAACTGGACATCACTATTAGCTTTCTCTGGAGAACTCATGGAGAAGGTTTTATCGTGCAGTTATACCACTTGTACTTTAGTTTGCTGAACCAGCCATTGTAAGAGTTATGGCACTCATATGTGGTGCATGTTCAATAAGAAACAGCCTAAGATCCATGTAACTAAAACAATGACCACTAAAGTTCATGCCTCATTGTTTCAGTGGTTCATTATAGTAACCTGAAACCTCCACAAAAACTCTGGAATTTATTTGTTCCATATTCAGAACACTTTGTGATGAAGAGCTTAAAGAAATACAACACCAGGTAAAAACAGCTGGAAACAATAGTAAGACGGTATTTACCGACTTGCTAAATATTTAATTCGATTTTGTTTATGAAGTGAAATATTAAATTACCCCAAATAGGCACTTACTGTGGAACAGCCCTTGGTAATTGTCTGGTACGCAAGTTATTTATTCATGGTGGAAATAAGGTTCACACATGATATCATGCATATAGAAATAGTACATCACATTAAAACAGTGACACTCCTGCAACTTCAACTTCCTACAAGTATGTTAAAACGTGTTAGGTGAATTTATGTGGAATGGATGTCCAAGGACAGTACACAGGATTGATTACAGTCTGTGTAACATTAAAACTTATGAGATTTTGCAAAAAGAGATTGTTCATTCTTGAAGGGGGAGACTTCTGTATACTTGCATCCACAGAGCTGAGGAAATTGAGATTTTCACAAGTTATATTGGTGGGTCCACACTGGTAATGGACAGGTTGGCTCTTAGCATATAGTGTAAACAATAATATCACTGTGCTTAAACCCCTCAATTATATTTCATAGGAACAAACCACCAGTATATTTTAAGTGTTTTATTTTGTTTTTATTATGTTTAAATGCATGCGATTCAATAGGATGTCTTTCCAGTGCTTGAACGGTTTAAAGGCTGGACTGAGTTTTGCTACTGTTTGAAAAATGCGGCTAATAGGTTATTTTTTAGAAGATGGGTAGAGATAGAGCTTGAAAGATGTATAGCTAGACCTAGTTCTGTCACTGTTGTTGAATATAGTTTTGTTTATTTTTGGGAAAGCAGTGGCTCATCTCCAGTTTAATTGAAGTTCTACAACTGACAGCTTGGGAGAGAGGATAAAGCTTGTTTTGCTCAACTAAGCATAAATACAAGAAACAAGTACCCCTTTTCCCAGTGTTAGTTTTGCACCCCTCCCCATATTATTGCCCATCTGGCAGAAGCTCCTTGGCTCACTCTGACCAGTGGTAGGGACTCCAATAGCCTCATCCCCATAGCCAGCTTACCCAGGAAGTCACTCAGTAGTGTGGGATTTGTCTGAAGCCCTTGAACAGTTAAAAAGCAATGTGAGGAAACAATCAGAAATGCAAATAAAGTGGAGAAGATTATAAGGGGTCTGATACATGTTATCCCAAATCTTCAAAGGCAAAGCAGCAGGTTCCTTCCGAATAAAGTGAAACTGGAACCAAAGGGCACATTGGACTAAGAACTGGAGGCTCTTCTTCACTGAAAGCATGGTGGGAAAGTGGAACAGGCTACCCAGCCATGTTGAAAAAGGCCCACAATCCCCCTCACTGCCTTCTTGTTCATACCTTGTTCTTCATCGGTGATGAAAATAATCTAATTACCATTTCTGTAGTAGAATAGGACTAAGGACTGTTCTTAGCTTTCTCTGGATATAACTCGTGGGAAGGAGACCTTTATAGGGCAGTTAAACAGCTTGTACTGTACTTCTGTATGCTGAATTAGCCTTGGTAAGAGTGGTGGCACACATACATGGTGCATGTTCAGTAAGAGGTGCCGATATCCCTCTTCTCTCAAGAAACAGCTGGACGAGGTGGTTGGACCAATGTGCTCCTAACTACCAAACAGGCTAGACGGGTCAGATGGCCAGCTGTTGAGAATACGGACCCTCCCTACGTGCTCAAAATGAAAACAGGAAACAAAGCGGGGGTAACCGAGGCAAAGAACAAACAAACGAAAACACCCGTATCAATCCGCTCCGCTCTCCGCAGACTTGTCCCAGCGGCCCCCTCTTCCGCCTCCCGACCCCGCCTGGCGAGGATGGTGCGGCGAGATTAACCCATGGGCAGATCTCCTACCACCCTGACCAAGCTGAAACTGGGGAAGCTCAAGGTCGTGCGGCGCCAGCTCCTGCAGCGCTACGAGCACCAGCCCTTCATCTCCTGCCTGGCGGGGCTCTATGGCTGCCATTGGAAGCGCTACCAGAGAGCCCGCGCCCAGCCTGGGGAATGCTGCTGCAGCAAGGTCTGTATTCCCACCCCACCGCTACCTGCCTGGGCGCCTTCTCTTGCCCTTTGAATGCCTTCCTTACCTTTGGTACAGTACTGTGGCTGCCGCTGTATGAGACTCCACCTCTGATTTTAGGACTGGGTAAGGAGGAAGTGTCTTCTGCGACTTGACCTACAAATCCCAGTTGTCTTTTTAATTCAGAATAATAGAAGCGCTGGCATTACTGGGGCCGATCTAAGGCATTCATGGTTCTGTTACCGGCCCACACAGACGCCGATAGATTCTTACGGTACAGAAATATTCATTCGCTAAGCGATAACTTTCAATTGGCTTAAGTGCGGTGCAAAATCCTAGCAGTGTGTTGATTTTAAGCTTTAGATCAACTAATAAGAAGGTAGACGCAGGTTTCAGTGTACTGTGAATTGAGAGAGCTGTGCTATGTGCTTGTCGTTTATCAAAGTGTTCCGTGAGACTTGAAGGGAAAAATATTTCCTTAAGTTGCTATTAGAACACCTTGTTCTCCTAAAAAGAATGACAATTTTTGGAAAAAAAGAGTAAGACACTGCTCAATTGGGTGCCATTGGGTTTTTTTAAATTTAATTTAAGAATGCAATATGAATACTAATTTTAACTCACTTAGAGAAATTCATTCTGTTTTTAAGTTAAGTTTTGTCCATTTTGATGATAAAGGTTTAATCAGTGAGCAGGTGTTTATCTTATGTTAATATACAGCCTTAACACATATATGTATTTTAATGTATAGTCAATACATGTACAGTATATTGGAAGAAACAATATACTGTACATACTAAATGAAGTTAAAATATGGTATTTGTGACTGGTGGGTTAAGTCTAAATGTAACACTTCACATTCCCATTGAGACATTCTCATCAAAAAGGAAACAGGTTTGACTTCACATTGGAGAGAAATGATCAAATATGTGCTAATTTAACTGGGATTTTCTTGCAGTTGGAATGCAGCAGTTTTGGAGTCCTGATAGTGACGTTTGGGCTCAGCTTGGTGTTTCTGTACTTCTGGAGCGAAGCCCAAAATGACTACAATGATTTTGACTGGTAGGTCTCACATCTGGTTTATTGCATTTTGACTTAGACTCTCAAAGGGCTGATTTAAAGACACGTTTCCAGGAGAAAGTTCTGTTCGTTTTCTCTAGTTTTCAAGAAAACAATTACATGCAAGACCATTGTTAAAATTAACTAGGCCTAAGAGGGGTAAAAAAGTAAGAGTAATTGGAAACTCAATTAAAGTGACTAATGAACAATGTGATTTCTTTTCAGGTTGAGATAATTCTTAGGTTTTTAATGCTATCATGAAGTTCACCTTTTTTGCTTGATTTTTTTTCTTTTTATAATCAAGCCATATTATTGCTAGCTAATTTAAGCTTTGTACCCCCCTCACCATTGTTTTCTCAGGTTCAGTTTTGGAAAGTTTGGGTACTGGTTCCCCTGGTCAGTGGTGCTGCTGGTTGTAGCTGCTGTGCTGTTCACCTATGTGGCTGGTTTGCTGGTGAGTAGCCCATAAGAACAGGCTCTGCTGCTGTTTTACCAGGTCTGGCTAGCAATATGGAAAGGACATTCTCAATATGGAGAGCTTTGTGTGATGTGTCAGATTTCCCTTGAAAAGGTTTTAGTTATGTACTGGAAGTACATATTACTTTCCGCCAGCAAAGACTATAACAAAGAAACATAACGGAAAATGTCTTGGTTTCAGTCCTCATTTGTTGCATTTTTAAATCTGTAGACATGTGTCTCTTCTCACTATGCATTTGATGCACAGTGTTGCCTTGCATTACAGATCCCTTTCAAATATATAGAATAAGACTTAAACTTTCTGCTCTTTGTCAGCATTTGTTCATTGGAGTTTCATAGATTTATTAATACTGCATTCATAGTGTTTGTTAAATTTCCCATTTGCGTAAAGATCTATAGCTACAGCGACCATGTCCCTTATAAACATCATGGTGATGCCTGGATAACGTGGGAAGTAGAAAGTACAATAAGATATAGGTTTATTCCATGCTGAAAAGAGAAGAAAAAAAACAACGTTTCGGCCGTGGAGCCTTCTTCAGGTGTGAGGACAATAAATGACTGATGTACAATAATAGATGACTGACAGTACAATAAAATGACTTATCAGTCCTTTTGTGGACTTCACCAGGAAACTGAGTCTTTCATTTTGTTATCTCTATGTGTAACATGCTGAGCAGAACAAGCTAAAACACGCTGGGGTTTCACATAACGATATTTATCCTTATATGAAGGTATAAGGATAAATACCCTTAAATTAATACCAGGGTGGAGTGGTGGTGGCTCTGTGGCTAAGGATCTGTGCCTGTAGCTGGAAGGTTGCCAGTTCGTATCCTGCAGCCGGCAGAGGAATCCTACTCCACTGGGCCCCTGAGCAAGGCCCTTAACCCCAACTGCTCCAGGCGTGCCGTATAAATGGCTGACCCTGCGCTCTGACCCCAAGCTTCTCTCTCCCCATCCTTGTGTCTATGTGTCTCATGGAGAGCAAGTGTATGTGAAAAAAGACAAATTCCTAATGCGAGAAATTGCATATGTCTAGAAATTTACTCTTTTGTTGCAGTTTAATATATGGCTTGAAAACGGCAAAGGAGATTTTCTTTATTTGGTGTAGAAGTAGAGCAAAAATACAAAATTTCATCATTACCTATTTGTGTTTTCCCTCCAAGGGTAAAGGTTATGTTATTATTGCCACGGGTAACTGATGACTATATTTTGTCTCGAAGCAAATATAGTATTGCTGAAACAATCAGGATTTCCCTATTGCAATGTTTACAGTGTTACAAAACACCTTTTCTTAATGATCACATGTTCTGATGGAACAGTTGTTGTCAAAGAAAAGCAATAACCTGCCTGGCAGTTCAGTGGAGACCATGAATATTTGCAAAAGATTCTGATGGCATCACGTTCTTTGCAGGGTGATATTGCTGATGTATGTAGCACAAAGTCAGAGCAGAGTCAGAGTGGATAATTGCTATTTAGAGCTGTATAAAAAGATTTGCCTCATTGTGCTCTGTTGACGCAACATTTAAGGGGATTAGCAGCATCTTAAAGGGTTCTGTTATCTTGCAGGTATTAGCAGTGTGTTTGCTAACTGAAGGCCAACGGTTGTATTTGCACTGGAGCCACAAGGTATTTTTTTCTCTTTCTCCATTCCGTTAATGAGCTTTATTGCCCAGAGTTATCTATATTATACCCAAGTTACTATAAGAGATCTTCATTCTATATGAGTAGTAGCAGATGGCCAAGTTCACGTAGATGGAATTGAACTGTAAAATGACTCATAAAAGATGTACCATGGTTTATGGCACAGTGATTCTTCCATCTACTGTCCCTTTTGCCTTTTTCTGATTCACTCTCCTCCACCCCTAACACTTCCAAATCTTTACTGACATTGAACACAGATTCCCAGTGATAAAGCTGAGTAATACAGGATGAGTCATTGTGTAGCCAGTCCTGCTTTATTGTACTACTGGGCCTATCAAGGACACTCTTAATATGAAGTCATAAGCAACCATAGCATGCTGTTTCTGTCAGTAATAAAAAAGGTTCTGCACCTCAAAAGATTTATTCCAGTGTTATAAGTGACTATAGAACTAAATTAATCTTGGCATTCTATATTTTTGTCACATTTCCTCATTTACCTGCACTTAAGTAGTAAGACTGCACATTTCTGTTGAAAGCATGGCTAATCGTGTGCAAAAGAAATAATCACAAATGTGTTTTTTACAGATTGGAATTCTGGTCACTCTGACATTCTCTATCAGTGCCATCACAGTGTTGACTGATTTGTGGAAAGAAGAATGGAAAACTCTCTTACTGTCATTTCAGGTAGGACTTTCAGCATAGCCTGCAGTTTGGGAGGTGCAGACAGTCCTCAAATAACGTTTTCTTGCTCAACTTTTATTCTCCCACACAAAAAGACAAAAAAAAAGGGAAAAACCCTCTCAAACTATTTCATATCCTAGTAGTGACCTTCTCATTCCTTTGTTCTGTGTTTTGCTGACTGGTTAGGTCACAGCTCCGTATCTGCATGTGGGTGGAGTTTCGATGATGACCCTATTGTCCTGGCCAATAGCGTTACACTTCTTCCGCATGAACAAAAGAGGTAAGATAAAAGTGCTTCACCTGATCATGAAGTTGTTACTTTAATATTATTGACTTGAACACAAGTTGTGCTGAATCGAAAATTTTGTAGAGCTAATTATTTGATAACACCTGACTTTAATGTAACATGCAGACTTCAGCAGACTTAGTAATATCTCGGAACAATATTGTTAGATATACCTTGATTTACCTGGTGAAGCAATGCCTGGTTCCTCTCCCTGATCTGCTGTGTAGTGGGGTGCTTGCACAGTATGGCTCCTTTGTGCTTAAGTGGTGGATGATGTGGGTCCTCTCCTGTATATAAAGGGGTTTGAGTTCTTTTCGTATTAAAATTACTATATAAATTCAGTTATCAATATTTTTAGTATCACATAAACTTAATATTCTACCAGAGACAAATTATTTGACTGTCTTCAAATCCATACTTAAAACTTTCCTTTTTAAGAAGGTCTGTATCTGATTTCCATCTGTATAAACCTCTATGCTCGCTGTTTATTTTTTTTCAGTTTGTATTGTACTTTTGCTTTATCACTATACTCTATACAACATACTTGGGCTTGGAAAGGTGCTTTATAAATATTATTATTAGAATTTCACTAAATATTAATAAATATAATCCTTTTGTAAACGCTCATCTTAATATAACTAAATGTGAAGTAGTTTGTCATGCCCTTTAGTCAGATGCCTTCATTTGAATTAGTACTACTGTAGCTCAGCACACTCAAACAGGTTTTACCACTATAATCCTCCTGGTTTATCTCTGCAAGTAAAGCCAGTATATTTTAGTGTTTTCCTCATAGAGATCCATAGTTCACAGAGGTAGGACAGTGCAGTAGTTGATCAGTTACTCTTTCATAACTCAGATGACTTATTCCTTCAGATGCTTGTTTGCCCTCTTTGTCTCCATGGCAGCTCTGTTTGTCTGCCTACAACAGCAGCTGTAATGTTGTTTGCGGTTAATGTTTGCAATCTTCAGGGAGCTTTAAACATCCTTCATTATTAATTAGTCAGGCGGAGAGCTTTCTCCAGGTTAGCTGGAGACTCTGCTGCTGTTGGTAGTGTATGTACACACCATCATTTAAGATGTTGCAAATGTTTTTGCCTTTTACATCATCCAGTGTGAAAAAACAGCGTTTCGGGTAGCTTTGGTACAGGACTGTTTTTTTTTAATACAGTAGACTGGATGCTTTGTAAAAGCCCAGGTGTTTTTATTATTTTTTTCTTTTCACTCAGTGTTGTTCCTTTGTTCAGAAACACTATTCTATGGTTATCATCCACTAATATGTTAGTCATTGTATTTTAAGATACCAGTTGATCCTCATAGATATGTATTTTGTACTAAAAAAAGCAGTCTATGAGCTTTATGGATTCATTGAGAGTAGCAGAAGATTTTAATCAAGTCAGCATCTATATCACCCTGAAGCTCACCACTGGCAAACCACTAAACCTCAGCAGGTGTGAGCCTGGCCAGTACCTGGATAGGAGACATCCAGGAAAGGCTAAGGTTGCTGCTCGAAAAGTTGTTAGTGGGAACAGTATGATCACCCTGTGGTCTGTGTGGATCCTGATTCCCCAGCATAGTGATTGAGACACATACTGTAAAAAAGGTGCTGCCCTTCGGATGAGAAAAACAAACTGAGGTCCTGACCCTTTGAGGTCATTAAACATGGCCCCAGGGTGTATTTTAACAAGACTGAGGGTGTATCTCTCTGATCTCCTCCCCACTGATAGCTGATGTCAGGGTTACACATTGGTGGTGGTGGCGCTTAGTCCTTGTTAAGCGCTTTAAGAGGAGTGTCCAGAAAAGCACTGTGGAAGTGTAAGGGATTAGTTATAAGATTACCCTGGCTTGCTGTGATGTGACCAGGTTTTTACAATCCTAGTCAATTTGAATAGAAGATGACTGTGAAACTTGTTTTTCTCTGATCCAACCAAGCCACATTATTAATAGTTCAATTGTTAGAACAGAAGAACACAAGTGGAGGCTCTGAGTAAATTGCTGATGCTCTCATTAGACAAATATGCTGATGGCATTCTTAATATGCACAGATACCGTATGTTCTAATTGAATGGGTGTGGCTCTTTTGCAGTGCGGCAGGTGCTGATTCTGGGGGTGTATCTGGCAGTCTTGTTCTCTCTGTACTTGGTGCCTCTGGGCATGTACTCTCCCTGTATTAAAGAAGAGGGGACCCTGGGTCAACCCCCTGCCCTCATAGGCCACAGAGGAGCCCCAATGGTAGGTGCAAGGTTATGTTGTTTAGCCTGGACTGTTATTGGGTGCTTTTTTCCCTCTGTCATGCTGAAATGTGCTATACTGCGTAAAGCATAGCCATAAAGTCTATCACTAATTTGATCCAGGGAAAAACAATTAAATGGGACTACTGAGATTATTTAGTTATTATGTAGGCCACTAATAAATTCTAGTAAGTCTTGAAATCCTGTCTGAGTAAAGCTAAACAACTGAATGTTAGTTATATAGTAACCAAACGCTATAATATATACATGAACGAGATCTTTGCTAAAACACCTTTTTTTTGTGTTTGAAACAGTTTGGTCCAGAAAACACCGAGATGTCCTTCAAGAAAGCCATTGAGCTTGGAGGTGATGGTCTGGAGACAGATGTCACCATCAGGTCAGGAGATGTTTAATCTTCTGTAGATTATATGTGGCATACATTACACATTACAGTAATGTGAAGACATCTTTTAGAGAATTTCATACTGGAGTATACTTTTTTCTACAACGGTTTTGTTACAATATATTGTTATTTTGTTGTTGTTATTACACTGCAGATTTTATCTCTGACAGCAACCACCAGTGCTGATGATTAATCTACAGTATATTTCCTAGTTCTGGCATTCAAGTCTGTAGTTTGTATTTTCTTTAGTCTGTGACCATTCTTTGAGGAAAGGAACTGTTGTTATGACTAAGGAAGCCAAGGGCGCACTTTGGGTTTTTGTTTCTTTCTTTACCCTGGAAATGTGAAGGAAGGGATGTGAAGGGAACAGACTGGTTTAAAAGTCAGAAATGGCAACGGAAATATGTAGTTGTTGCAAAAGAACGTGCAAAAGAAAGTGACATCATCTTTCTGTGTTTTCTCCTGGCTTTTGTGCTGTTTCCCCACACTGAAAAGGCACTGAACATTCTTTTTGGATGTCCAAAAGGGATAGTTCCAAGTCATGTCTTCATTATGATACAATTGTTCATAATTTCCTAGAAAAAGTTATAAAAAATTTAAAATGCTGTATTATCTTCATATGGTCACTGAGCTATAGTACAGATGGCAAAATATAAAACTTCAGGGCTACATTTTAAGTAACAAGTAATAGGTTTATTCCATGCTGAAAAAAAGAAGAAAGAGCCTTCTTCAGGTGTGAAGAACCTGAAGAAGGCTCCACGGCCGAAACGTTGTGTTCTCTTTCTTCTTTTTTTCAGCATGGAATAAACCTATTACTCGTTTCTTTGCAGCCGACGCATGCTGACGCAGCTACCCACCTGAACTACATTTTAAGTAGTTCATAACTGATATTATATATTTTGTCTTATTCAGTGTTCAGCCCTATTGAAATTTAATAGCAGCTAGCAGTACTCTGTGTCTTAAACAGTAAGAGGCTTGTGGAGTAAATCGGCTCAGTTACATTAGAATGAACTCCAGCCTCTGCAATCCTCTGCTAGCCAGCTAATTCAAAGGATCGGGGCTCCAGTGGTTTGGCGTATTGAAAGTTTCTCTTGTCAGCACTCTACCCTAATTAAATTGAGCTATTACTAAAAATGAAAACCATACAGTTTCGTATTCAGCATGATTATTATCTATATCCTAGTTACAGGCCTTATAAACACTTGCAACAGCTTAGCCTAGCAGTGATCACGTGGTGATTCTGGTATGTTTGTCCTACATATTTGTTGTTAACTTTGTTAATTATCTGCATCTGTTATTAAGATCTGTCTGTTAAAAAAGATTAAATTAAAAGTTCCCTTTTATATCAGCGTACTAGTGCCTAGAATATTCTGAGAAAGTACATGGGATATCTCAGTCCTTGTTTACTGCTCAGAGGCATCAGTAGTGTTAATATGAAGTGAGACTCTGCTATTTCAGAAGTGTGACACAACAGTCACCCAGTTGTATTTTGAATGTGTTGGATGAATGACCAGAAAAGGTCAGGCATGGCAGATAATCTCGCACATTAATCTTGCCGTGTTATCTGCTCTATCAGAGTGTGCAGAATGATACCAGATTTCAGAATCTGTGCACTGCAGATAACATCATGGAAACAAATCTGAAGGAGACCTTAGTTCTTGCCTTCATGGTCTTGAGTGCTTGCTTTCAAAAATGCCGTTTCCTAAAAAAGGCATGATTTGTGGATTTCTGAGAAGTTTGAGAAGGCCGAGCTTCAATGAGGAAGCTTCACATGATTTAGTGTGCTATACCCTGTGCTGCACTTGGTGTTTAAGCTTGAAACTGAAAACGATTTTAGTAGAGAAGAATTAGGTGCAGGCCTATCCTAGTAAGAAGATTATAGAGAATAATCTTGTCAAAGATTACAGCATGGACTTCATGCGCCACATAGTATGCACTATTGCTTCACACTTCTTAATACTGAAAAAGTGAAACTATAGGGAAAAGATGTTCAATCTATCAAATCATTCTACATGGGGCACTTCTCATAAACACATTTTGACAAGCATATCAGAGAACGGTGTTCCCAAATCCATTGGTAATTGTCTTGTTATATTGCTCTGAATATAAATATGACTGCGGAGATGAGTCATACACAGTGCAGCACATTGGTGGGTGTGCAGGGAAAGAGCAGCAGAGAAAACACTAAAGGAATTACTGCTAGGAGTCACTTTTATACATAGCCGAGTGGTGGGTGTATACAAGAATCTACTAAACCAAGCGGCACCTGCTGATTCATCTTACAATTTCAAGCTGATGGAGAAAATCGCCGCATAATCACACTTAATTATCGGATCTATATAATGCCTCTGTACCACTTACATTACGTGGGCAGGCCAACGCTTTTATCACAGCAGGTCTCAGTTTTTGGAAACTCTGTTCTAAGGGTGCTGTCTTTTTCCCCACAGTTACGATGGAGTGCCTTTTCTCATGCACGACCGCCTGTTAAAGAGAACCACTAACATCCAGGAGGTGTTTCCCAACCGGAGCAGTGAGCCGGCTGCCATGTTCACCTGGAGCGAGCTGGAGGAGCTGAATGCCGGAGCCTGGTTCCTCAAGGTGGGCGGCCGTGGGGCCTTTTTGAACAGACTCGCAGAAAAGAGCAAGGCTTGCAATCCGGAGAGGGGAATATGAGCTGGGAAGCAGAGAATGTTATGTAAAAAAGATGTAAAAAAAACAAAACAAGGGGAAGCACGCTTCGTTTTTACATACACCTGCATAAATTGGGATTTTGATCCTACTGGTTTAAGTTTAAAGAACTTTTAACGTACAGTGTACTCTGCAAGTGGATATTTTTGAATTGCACTATTTCCAAGCTGAATGCTTATCCAGATGTCTAGTCTCAGTATGAATTGTGCACGAGATAAAACTTAGCCAGTAAACGTGGCAAGTGCAACACAGAATGGAGTTAATCATTCAAAACCACAGCTGTGCTAGAACTGGCTTCCCCATTCTTGAACTGTTCTGGGTTTACCATCCTCTGCTTTCTCCTCCTCCTCAGCGCGATCCGTTTGGCACGGCTGCCTCTCTGTCCGGTGAGGATCGGAGCACAGCACAGAACCAGTCCATCCAAACACTGAGAGGCTTCCTGGAGCTCGCCTCCCAGCACAGGAAGCTGGTGATCTTTGATCTGTACCGCCCCCCCAGAGACCACCCTTACAGGGACTCCTGGATTAATCAGACCCTTGAAGTCATCCGCAGCAACTTCACCATCGATCCAAGTCTGGTATGTCATCTTGCCCATCTGGAGAAGCATTTCATTTCTGAAGCCCATAAAGGGTGTTATAGTGTAAAGTACTATTCTGCTTTTGAGAAGTGTAATTGGGTGGCTTTTTCTTCTTCTTTCATACATTTAATGATATTATATTGAAGTTATATAGTGCTTTCTGTTCTGAAGGAACCCAAAGTCCTTGACCCACTAGTGAAACACAGCACTTACCTGGGTATTGCATGTAAGCCATTTTGCACCCACAGCTCTGGTGCAGGGCAGATTCTTAGATTCCCCAGTTGAATTAGAGGAGGACACTAGATAGGCAATTTTATGCAAGGCCAGAATTGAATTTAACCTGGAACAACAAGATGAAAACCCTTACTTTTACGAACAGTGCCATGGGATGGGACCCAATATTGATCCAGCCAGTAGTCCAGACCTTGGTTTAATATCTTGTCTAATGTGAGAAAGAGAGTAGAGTTTATTGTCGTAATGCTTTCTCCAGTACATGGTCGCCAGTCACCATGATTAAATATTTGGACAATTTTGATCAGGGAAGAGTACCTACCAACTGCACATCCACCAGCCCCACTTGTAGCAGCAACCTAGTTTTCACATTCATTCTGGATTGGAAGAAATTGCATCCCTTCATAATAAGCAAGACTTGTTTTGCTGTAATGTATGTTGCAAGGCAGCCTGGTGAGTCAATGGTTTGTGTCCTGGTCTGCAGGTTCTGTGGCTTCCCAGTGAACAGAGGAACATGGTGCATGATGTGGATCCCTGGCTGCAGCAGACCTCTGGAGACAAGGCCTCCATTGAAGAGCTGCAGGAGAATAATATTGTGAAGCTGAACCTTCACTACAGTGCCATGTCAGCTGAGCAGATCAGGTACTGAACAGTCATATCCCTTCAGTACCACATTTGTGTTTTAATAATACAGGGGAGAAAGGTTCACACCTGTCTGAAAATACTTTGGACATAAACGTGGAAAAAATCAATTTGTAGATTTTAAACATACAACAGGTTTCAAAATCAATAAATCATAGACCCCAGAGAATGTATTTAAATTTTAAATACCCACTATATTTTTGTGAAAAGAAACTGGATATTATGGATATCAGAAAAAAAAACAAAATGATGAAGCGCGACGAGTGCCAGCACTTTCTGTTTCTCACTTCCATGTGTGATATCCTGTTAGCGGGAATTCAACACCCACAGGCCCAGAGAGCTCCACTAGGCACTTAGCAAAGCAGTGGGTTGCAGGCATGGGCGTAATAGATGGGTGAATGGGCACTGCAGATACTGGCACATCATGTACTCTCCAAACCCCACGTACGGAGGCATTGTGTCAGAGTTTATACAGGCAGTCAATTATGATAATCAAAGTTATTATGTCCCACATAGAATGATAATGCATTAACATCTTAGCAAAACAGGAAAGAGAGCGAACACAACAGGGCTCTAATATGTCCTCTTGAGTATTTAGCCACATCATCTGTGTTTTTCTAGACGCCCACAAAGGGATTTCTGCCCCTGCTGAACTCGGTAGCACAGCGCATTTATTATGCAGTGCTTCCTGGGCCAAGCTGTAGACTGTGGGAAAACAACAGGCACAATGAGTAGAAAAGTCCCTTGGCTGCACTTTACTGGAATTTATAGTTTGCAATTGACAGTCTGGTTTTGAAATCCTGATTGGAATGGATTTATAGAACCATAAAAAAGCATTTTTAAGTACAATATTTCCTGTTGTATTTATTTTTATGAGGTTATTAAAGATCCATTCTACTTAATGGATGATAATTGTAAGAATATTTGCCCATCGCACACGATATGTCTTCAAATGTGTCAAATGGAAATGACCCTGCTTGAGTGTTTTTGAATGGAAACTGAGGGCTTTTGCATCATTTGCCAGGCTTCTGATCTGAGCTCTTTCTCACCAATTCTGATGTCGGCCTGTTCTGTTGTCACTTGACAGTAAATATGCTTCTGTGAACATCAGCACCAACCTGTATGTGGTTAGCCAGCCCTGGCTCTATTCCCTGGCCTGGTGTGCGGGCGCCCAGTCTGTCACCACTAATGCAATCCACATCCTGAAGGCACTGCGCAGGCCGCTGTTTCTGATGGTGAGTGGCTCTTACACAGCTGGGTGCACTGCTTTATACAACATTGTAATTACTGACTAAGATGACAGATGGAAGCCCCTTGCTCCTGAATTGTGTTGGTACCATGTAAAACCATATTTTGCCCTCTAAAAATAAGATTTTATTGTCCCCTGAGGGAAATCTTTTATGGACACCCAGCACTCCTGTATATTTAAATAGAATGGAAAGAAAAAAAAGGAGAAAATAAAAACATTGCACATTATTCTATTACAAAAAATAAGAAAAACATTGCACATCACTCTATGGCACATGTACAGTAGAACACATAACAACATGTAACATTTATAACACATCACAAAACATATTGCACTCAAGTGGGTTGTAAGAGTCCAAATTGTGTTTATCCTTGACATTTGCGTTGAAAGCTTCAATGGATAGTGGAACAAAGGAATGTTTGTATCTGATTGTACAAAATACGATCTGATTGTCCTGTTCCCTGGATCCTTCCACGGAACATTAGCAGAATTTGCTTCCCCGCTATTCTTAGTAATGATTTACAGATATAGAGCTAATTGCAGCCTCCATAAACTGCCACTTTACTTGCATTTTTGAGAGGAGCCCATCTCTCTGTGTCTGATTCATAATTAATTCATTTTAACGTGCTGAAGGACAATGCTTACATCACGTGCTGTACAAGCAAATCAAGATCCTGACATTAAGCATTTCTCTGTGCAACCGGTTTAACGCTCAGCTAGTGCATCTGTTTCATGTCTGAGTCGTGATGGCCCAAGTATTGACTTTTTGTTCAACTGAGGGAAAAAACAAAATTCCACCTCCATATGGAAAAAACCCCTAGTATCATAGCTATTTTTTGACATTGTAGTCAATATTCTAATTCCAGTTTTTGAACATTCTTAACTCAGTCTATAACTTGCTGACTGCTGCTAACCAGGCATTTTGCAAAGATGTGCTTCTTTCATTTACACTTGCAGAATGATGAGACAAACTGGTTGATATGGGGTCTGATATTGTCACAAGGGACTGAGCAGATGCAGATGCTTGTCAGCATACCCATAGTCATTGAAACATTTCCACTCTTTTCATTTCAAGTCTTAAAAATGGAACTGCAGAGCATATAAGTCCTTCAGAAATCTCAGCAAAGGCTATTATATGAGGAGGACGTACAGTAAATGGCTGTGACTGTAATTCAGAACTAGCAGTGTCTGGCCTGCTCCTTGGCTGGTGTGTTTGAGCACACTGTCCAGGCCCCAGCCTGGAAATTAAAAAAAAAACTTCAGTCCTTATCTTTGTAGTTTACCTCAATGAGCAATTTTAATCTGGGCTGAATATCTTCATCCCCTTTTCTTGCTAGAAATTTCTAAATACATTTTTTAGGGGAAGGGTGCATGTTTTCATGTTGAGTGAGATAATCGTCTCAATTACATTATTTTATTTCTCCATAGGAGCATCCACATTCCCCATAATACCATAGTGTTGGCCATCAAATACTCATAGGATTTGTTTGGTGTAGAAGACAGGTTGCCATCTTTGACATTTCTTTGTTGATGATAATTATTTCTCATAATCTTTGTTGATGAGTTTCCATTGGCATTACTGCAAACATCATTGTGATATGATATTATAGTGTCCAAATAAGTATTGGGCTCCTCATCAGAATCTGCTGTATCTAGATGTAAGTTCTGAAGTCCCATAGGGGTCAAAAAAGCATTATGTTATGTATCTGAATGGGATTATAGCAACATGAGGTATTGCAATCAAGAGCACAATTTATGGTCCCAGCATTTCTTAAAGCATGTATTACTGACCTGTTTCATTAAATTGCATTCATCAAAGGTTTATCCTTTAACCCGTGCTCTATGATAGTGCTGCAGAGTTGCTTGTTGTCACTACAGCATTGTTTTCCGATTGTATTTGGATCCAAACACTGTTTTAATACAGTTCACTTGCATGTGTTTTTTTTACAGACACCAGAGGAATACAGCCTAATGTGGATTCTGTCAGATGTGCTCTCTGCTGTTCTCATTGCTGCTGTGTTCATATTCCATTGGTGAGCACTGCCTTAATTTTTAATCTAATTCACAGGCTAGTGTTTGTTCGTTGCAAATTTTGCAGGATTTGAAACCAAACAGAAGTTTTGCCATTTTTAATGCATTTTAATGCAAATCTGCAAACAGCTTTGCCTTTTTTTTTGCTTGTTGTGGCAAAGCAAAATTCTGCCCATTTGCAATAAAACAGCAATTTAATTTCCAAATGTTAGGTAAAGAATTAACAGTAATGACACATTAAGTGTTAAATACACAGGGCACTGTCTATATAGGGAAAGATAAATTCCACCCCACGCTTCGTATTTTGTCAACACGTTTCTCTTGTCCTTGTTTTGTATTTGAATGAGTAAGGGGTGGCACGAGAAAACATCTTTTCCCTGACCTGTGTTTTAGGTGGCGAGAGAGGGGTCTGCCCTGCTGTTCGGGCAGCAGACAGACGCATGAAAACGGTCCATACAGCAAGTTCAGGACTGGTAAGACCTTGTCCTCCGTGCAATCCGTACAGTATATTAACGATGCATGCAGGTTAGACTGCTTCTGTGCAGCTTAACTGCACGATGTTGAGACCTCATGCTGATTAGAATATTGCAGTTTAGTCAAACTGTTTACTGTTGTGGGATTTCAACTTATACATCACAACATATGAGGAAACTCTAAACGCGATTCTAAGTCATTGTTTAAATATTTCTCTCCAGACTTGGAAACATTCTCTACAGTCCCTGTTTAGGTTTCAGAAGTTGTCGGCTGCTGGCAATATCCTAATTTCATATCACAGCGGTTCATTTTTAAGGTCGCAGGTCAGATGTGCTCTTTCAAATGACTGTGTTTCTCGCGGGCCACGGCATTCCACTGAGGGCCTGAGCCGCTGCTCGGGCGGGCCCGTACCGTTATACGGCGGGAAGTGGTGTGCCCGGCCCGCGACGGTGCCCTCCTTGCTTTCCGGCAGAGCTCAGTGACGTGTGGTCCATCTCCGGCGTGAGCGTCCGTGGGGAGAGCAGGACCCCGCCAGCCGCCCCACACCTGCCCACCATCTCCGAGCTGCACGAGCCGCCCGTCTGACGCCCGCCGCTGGTCCGCTGCGGAGTGGTCAGCAGCTGACCGCTTGGGTTCAGCCCGCCCCCTTCCTCCCAGGCCCCGGAGAGGAAGACGCTGGCTTTCAGGAAGCCGTCTGGAGAAAGCTGGGACGTTCTTTCTTAATACAGCTGTTGTGGGGGGGGAAAAAAATACAACTATTTTTCTATAACCAGGATCACTGGTCGTCGCTGGAGCATCATTTGTAAGCTGCTTCAGCTCCTTTCTTTAACTGCGAAATAGGACAGAACATTCTCGTGAAAGAGGAATTTCATTGCCAATATAAGATTTTATATACACGTTTGTTCACGTGTGAATGGGATATCCACATCGGCAGTATAACGTGGCAACATGACGTTTTAACAGTCTTGTACGAATGGGGTTGTGTCCGGTGTGTAAATGAGCTTTATTATCACTATTTTAGAGTTTTGAATTCCGAATGTACTATAAAGCACAGGGCACTATTCTAGTCTAGTGCATGTGTCTGCATTTACCTCTAAAAAAGAACTAATCGCAGAATGTCTAAATATTTATATATTTACATATGACATGTATACTGTATGTAGCTTTCAGGGATATCCTTTCTCAATTAATAGAGAAAGATGAACTGCATATTCAGTAGAGTGCCATAGGATACAGTCCATGAAGTACGCAGAACACCACTTTAAGTGTCTCGTCTTAATGAAAGTTGTCCCAATAGCAAGGTACCCCTGACGGTACAGTAGCAACTGGCATATTGCATAACTTGTTCCCATGCAAATCCTGACTAAGCCAGTTTCATCTTGGCTTCTAAAAATCTGACAATCTTTAAAAATGGTGACAATGCTATGTTGTTTTAAAGTAATTGCAAACTTGTCCTCCTGATTGGGAAATAAAAAGCTTAAAATAGATGTTTTAGATGTTATGTCTTAGGCACTATATCGTATACCCCATGATGGAGGCAAAATATCCCTATTTCAGTTTTTTTTCTTTGCCTTATTCTGACTTTCAACACTTCATGTACTGTGTCCCTTGTAGCATATAATACACTTGCTAAAGTGGAGCAGAGAAACTTTTAGTTTTTTGGTGTTAATTTTTAAACAAGCAGATGAATGTGTGCATTTAAAATCTGATAAACATTAAAGCGTTGAACAGTGGAGTTAGAATGCAATATGGAATTGCATGGGATTCGAATTAGGAAAAAAAGGAACAAATATAACATTACATTACATTGCATTGCTTTATATTATAATATAAATATATTTTGAAATTGCAGCCAAAGAGCTACTATGCATATTTTTTTTATTATTAGATACACTCCCATAAATGCAGCAGATGTTCTTGATAAAAAATGAGCATTGCTATTGTAGCATTACTGGCTATGAACGTCTACCACCAGAGCTCTTTTTCTTTAGAGCAGGGCATCAAAAAGACGTCTTCATTTTAGACAAACTGCTGTATGGTAAAGTGTAACATTAGCTGCTTCTCTTTGTTAATTATGAATGACTGACATTACAAGGTTGAGATTTTTATTTTTGTTTCTTATCAAAGGACTGAAACTGTAGATATTTTATTATCTAAAAACAATACTGAATAGGCCCTTCTATAACGGCATTTTCTGCTTGATTCTACGATATAAAGGACTAAGGAGGGCATAGATTGTTTTTAACTACCGAGTTTCCATACAGATGACTTGGATTAACGTATTATTTTTATGCGAGGGCTGTAAATCATAACTTAAGATGACCATTTTTAATAAAATGCAAAAATGAGAATTGTTTTGCTTGGTCTTATTACAGAAACAATATTTTAAAGGGATTACATATGGGTTATCTAGCTAAAATAATTACCATCTGTCTCAAACACTTATTGTAAAAAACAAAATATCCAACAGTATAATAGCATACAGTACTAGTGCACTGTGTGAAACCCATTTTTGTGTTGTGGTCCCTTATACAGTACAAAATAGACTGATTAGACTTTCAGTAACCTAACGTGGTTATCCAATGTGAAAATAGACAGTCTAAAAGCTGCCACTGTGATGTATTACAGTATGTTATAAACACAAAAGGCCTGGGACTCAATGCAGATATCATTAAATAGCCTCAGTCCTTCTGTTGTGATTAAATGCAAAACTGGATGTTTCAACCAGAGTCAACTTCTGATGATTGAAGCTTTTCTTCAAATAATATGAATATTTCATCCTAATGAATTAATTTGTTAAAAAATCGAAAACCCCATCTATTCCGTAAATTGAAATGTCCTTAATTTTTTTATTTTACCAAAACGAAACTTGAGAAACTTTTTCTGTGTCATGTGGAAAGAGAACTTAGTATCTGACCATTAGCCTTTCCTGTTATGTTTGCTTTGAATAACCACAGACAAGACTTACTATTGTACCATCTGTGTCTCTTCCACTGCACATGAACAACGGAATAGAATTCCCAATTCTCTTTCTCAGGATCTGGAATCGAGCAAGATTTCTAATTCTCCTTAACATATAAATAACTCGTTTAAATGGACCTGTTTATCCCTTCAACACAGCCTTTGACTATTGACCCTGAACTGCAGAGCAAACACAAATATGATAGGACACAAATGTGAAACACCCTCTGTCACCTGGATTTGTGCTGTGGGCTTTTTGTATCAGTGTTCATACTGTATGTGTTTTTGCCCTCCCAAGACTACTGTAAATATCACAAATTCCTTACTATGAACCATTAAAGCACAGGTTGTTACAGGCTTGAACTCACCACCTGCTACCCGGACAAAATGACTGATTTGACAACATTATAAAAGCAGTTTTGAATCAATGTTCCCCATATGGATGAATCGGCATCTTTTGTGCAATCCGTACAATATGTGGACAGTGCATGACGAAGTCCATTTTGATGATTCAGCTTAAAAATGTAGTTCTGGTTAATGCGGAAAAATTATAAATACCCTGGTTTGGATCCCTCATAGCCCTCCTGTACATGACCCGTTAATTTTTCAAGGGCTGGTTTTCTTTCAATACACTGGTGTCTTCCAAATATGAAATTCATTGCTCAGCACCTGTTACGCTTTCCATTCAAGACTCAAGTTTCCCTGATAATGCACAGAGATATATCCTGTGACTTCGCTCAGACTATTTTTCAGTTATGCTGGCTATTTTTGTCTCTGGGTGTTATTCGGAATGGTTTCGGAAGGTAATGTCCCTGAACTCACCATTTTGATTTTGTTTTGCTGACTTTGTTGTGAAGTACAGACTGATATTTATTTCCAGGGGCGTGATAAGTATTCTGTCCACTGCAAAAACAGTAAACAGGGAAATGTGGGTTAGTTACACTTCAGCAAGAGCTTAAACAAGTGTGTCCTCTCTGTCACTCGCCCCACACCTTCTCTGAAGACTTATTTCTTTAATATGGTGGACTGCATTCTTTGCAAGAAAAAGCAGTGCAGTTACGCCATGAGAAAATTATAGTACATTTGGAGGTTTGTCTTTTATGGTTTAGGAATTAAAGGCGTGCAGTTTTATAAGGAAGGGATAAAGTTTGTTTTCATTTTTATTCATCTTAAATACTGTGGCAAAAAATAATAGAGCAGAGTATCAGTGCTTCAAAAGCTCTTTGTCATCTGATTTTAAAAATTAAATCTATTGACTGAGTATTGCTGGAAAAAATATGATTCCAAGTGATTTTTCTGACCAAAGAGAGAAATGTAATGAATGGAAATATTAAAGTGGAAGTTATGAACATTTTTACTATTTTACTTTGTATTAGTTTTAATTTATCAGCAATTTGTTCCTTTCTGTAAAATAACCGATGAGCTACAACCTCAGTAACAGAGTACATTACCTTAGTGGCTAGTATATTTGTCATGACCAATTAAAGGACAGGAAGCTGTGACAGTTTAGAAACCAAAATTGTTCAAGTGGAAGAACAATTTATTTTTTTCATTGTGCCGGACATGAGGCAATTCCTTAATTAAACATGATTAGATTTAGCTTGCAAAGCTGAACTATACAGTACATTATGACCGCCATCTCTGTAAACACAGGTCAAAATTTACAACTTCAGATATTCTTTCAGGCATGTGCTTTTATTAATTAAAAAACATCAACTTTTTTACAGCAAAATACACGTGATGGAGTTTGTGGTACAGAATCACTAACATTCTCTGAGTTATGAAATTTTCAGATGTGAAATCTTTTTAGCAGCCCTATGCAAAGTTTTACAATGCATATACCATTTAGGTTAAATACGTATTAAAAGTTAATGGAAAATGCATACAGTAACCCACAGAGATGGCATTAATTAACAACAAAAATGTCGTTTAGTGTTTTCAGGCATTGCATTATTCATCCTTACCAAACTCTTACTGTAAAATAAAGTGTAAAGGACAATTTTTTAGATTTCTTTGCCTACTTTGAACACAATGACACCTAGAAAGTGTACATTCAAAAGCTTGACTCCCCAAGTACCATGCACCGTCAATGAACTACAAAATGGTGTTACTTTCACAGATTAAATCCAATGGATGAATTGCATACTCAATTAAAAATGTCATGTAAAATTCACTGCTGTAACTGAATCTTTCAAATCTCTATTGGAAACAGACTATTTCACAGGATTCAGAAGCTTAGTTTGGTGAATTGACAAATTTATTGAACCTGTTTATCAACTGATAAACAAGACAATTGTATCTGCCGTTGAAGGTAATACAGCAGTTTTAAGTATAAAAGTGATTTGGTCCAAGCGCAATAATAATTTGTACTTGTTAGTAAAAAAAAATTCAGTACCACATATACAAAGTCACACTTCAAAAGACAAAAAATGCTTTTGTTACATTTGTTGTTTTTGTTTTTCTGTCTCCCAAGACCCTGGACTGCATTGTGAAATATTGTTTTAAAAATCTGTCATAACAGAAATGTGCTTTTTTGAAAGTGTTTCGGTGTTGGACAGAATTCAATCTTACAATTATCAGTTTTAAAGGAGGCAAAATTATATGACAAGTTCATTGTGGGTGACAAAGTTAGAACACAGTTTTACACTGAACTGTTATTACAAAGGCCATTAGTGAATTCAAACTTATATTTCTACAATACAGAAATTACTCTATATTTGCTACTATGCTCAGTGCCAGTTACTTGCTTTCATCCCAGTTTATTTTCATTTTTAAAAATAGCCTGTTGATTTAGAGTAAACATAAAATTTACTAATGTAAACCGATACAGCACTTGCTTTTGTAATACTGCTGAATAAGTGGGAGATATTGTAAGAAATAGTTTAGTCTAACAATATTAAAAACAGTATTCAGTAGTATAGTACTTACTGGTGGAAAATCTCTATCAATTGTTAAATTTCTCATTCAGGCGCTAAACATGAGCAGCCTCAGACAGGCATTGTAAGGCTATTTGTTCTTAATAGCGCATGTATAACAAAACAGTACACTCGTGCGAGGGCTAGCACTAGATTCTTGTTTGACAGAAAACAGTACTGAGAGACTGAAATATCAGTTATTCCAATGAAAAAAACTGTAGTAGCAATGAAGGAAACTGCTAAACAAACAACGGTGTACAAGGAACAAAAGTTGTGTTTTACTTAATGAACCTCCTAATACTGTTAAATGAAATGCAAAATTAAACAATTCGAAATATTTGTTCACACTTCTAATTATGCTGTTTTGTATTTTCATAATAAAAACATAGGGAGGGCCCAAACCTTTTCAGTTTACTTAGATTGGAAACCCAAAAAATTTGAAAAATACCAACCTCTCAAAGTTAAGGCTTTGCAGAAGTGACCTCAGTGACCAAGATATCTAACCAGGGCCCCTGCTCAGGTAAAAGCAAGAAAGAATATACTTTTGAACTTTCTAAAACCATTTCATACAGAAATCAGTGAGCAATTCTAATGTTGAATGAGGGGTTCTAACGAACTCTGATGTTTAAAGCAGTACAATTTTGAAAGTATCTTCCTGCTTCCTATACAGGGATTAAAAAATAATTTGTACCAGCGTCCCTAATGTCAGTCTGCATGGAAAACACTTCAAGGAATAGCTTTTTCCAGTCTTGAAAAAAAAGGCAAATTTTCTCTCTGCAGCCATTCAATCTGCAACTTGGAAGTTAAATACATTGGTGGCCCAGATCACCTTGCATGCGAGCTTTGTTTTCACATTTTCTGGATGTACAGGTTTGAAAACGCGTTTCAGTACCCTGAGGACGCCAAGGTGACGCACAGAGTGATGGCCAGTCTGCGCCAGCTTCCTGGGTGGGGCAGGGCCGGCGGAGGAAGGGCGGATCAGAGGTAGTCGTCCTCGCTGGACGGAGAGGTGGGGCTGTGCTCGTCAGGGTCCGTATCGGCGGAGCTCAGCGAGGAGCTGCGACTCGTGCTCCACAGCTGGGCGGAGAAAGTGCTGGCCCAGCTGCATGGGTTGCCCAGGGGCTGGAGCAGACGCAGCAGCTCAAAGGCCTGGCGCCAGCGCTCTCTCTCAGTTCACTTATTGCTGCCCCGAGCGCTCCGCTGTTTGGTCATGGTGGTCAACATCTGGCTGATGTATGAGGTCAGCAGGTCATCCATCTTGTAGCCCTGTGTCAGAAAGCAGCAGCAGCCTGAAGTAGCCTTCTACATCCCTGGCAATATTGCTTTCAACTAAGCCATGTTTCTTTTAAATATTTCCATTAACCTTTAAGCCTTTAATTGAGGTTCTTTGATTTCCACTCTGCACATCAGGCTAGAGAGAACAATCTTTTTGTCTCTGCAATGCTTCCTACCTGACTGTAAGTTTCTGCCCCCCCACCTTAACTCGTACATTCTTTTTTAACGAGAAGATAATAACAGTGACTTCGAAAAGTAGTTTCATGGGTCACAGGCAAAATACTTTGGCTCCGTTTGACGCGACATTCCACGCACAAGTCACGGTATGACTTACAGCCGCGACTACAAGACCGCTCTGAACCATTTGCTCGGAGAAGAGCATTATCGCCTCACCAGTGAGGTTTCGCACAGGAGCTTGCTTCCTCGCACCAGGTTTCCGATGGTTATGTGGAAGTACGTGTTGCCACTGCTCCAGTTGGAGATCTTGGTGAAAGGATGTGTTGTCAAGATATCCTGAAATCAGGTTGGAATTAGGTCAGATGTATAAATGCAATGGCACTGGTGTGATAAAAAAAAAAGACACGAGGAGCTTTTAACATTTATTAGATTTTTTTTTGCTTATTCCTTCTTACAATAACAAAATGGAAACTTCAGACTTACTTATACATTTATGTTTGTTGCTGAAATCATCTTGAATAACGTGATTTATTAGAGTTAATGTCCCATAAAAACTGCTGTACTGTAGATTCCCTTAAATTAATCCTTTGGAAAGCAGATTAATCCTTTGCATGCAGTGATTATATACAGTATATATACAGCAACATATGGTGCATAAAATACCATTGCCACTAGGCAGTGTTAAGGTCAAGGTAATTGAGATAATTCTGGAAACCCCAGTCTGCAATACTGACCACACAGCATAGCCCACCTTGTTCTTTGGGTCAATCAAGCTGACACCATGCTTGTTTATTGCGATTAGCAATATCTCTGGAAAGTTTGGCTCGGTGGTTTGCTGCGAAGCAAATAACAGCATTAAATGAAACTAAAAGAACACTTGGAAAAAGATGAAGCAATTTCTCAGGCAATAATAATAGCTTACTGCTGCTCTCTAATTGGTACATTTAGACCTGTAGAGCAGAGGAATATGGGGAGAGTGATGTAAGTAGCCAAGCTAAGATAAGTACTTTAAAACTTCTTCTGCAAAATGGTATCTGCCCCACAGGCGCATTGAAGATTCCCTCCCCCAGTCAGGAAAAACATCAAATTTTCCGAGAGTTGCTTATTCTTGGTAAAGACTGCAGTACACTAAACTCCACTACGTTTCGATCGTGTAGCTAATTATATGGTGGTTCTTTGTTTCATCCAGGTTTCTGTTTGCCATGTAATAATAAACAGCACATGATGACCAACCACACGATACATGAGAGATCTCATACAGCATAATGGCTTACCTTAACTTCAAAGAAGGCAGATCCAAAGGTAGGCCATTTGAAGATGATTTTTAAGAACATCAGCTTAGCCTCCTCTCTCGACTTCCCTGCGAACTTGTTGAAATAGGCTACGATGGACTGCAGAGAGACAGAGCAATCAGTGCACTCTAGCAAGCAATAGCAACAATATCACTGTAAGGCGTTTCAAAGCTGTAGCCTCAACTCCACCGTTTTTTCACTACCGACTGCTATGTAGTCAGACTGAAGAGAACCTTTCACATTTTTTATCTCACCGTCTGTCAAGACACTTGCAATTCCAGTTTGATATTCTGTAATATCCCTGCAATCGCTTTGCTTCCATTCAGAATCCTGAAATGACTGCTAGAGATAAACTCTCCGTTGTAGCGGATCGCCTTACTTACTTGACGGGGAACACTTCTGGAAGGGCACCTGCAGAAGGCTTACACATCCTGCTCTGCTGTAACGCATGCCAGTCTCGATGCTCACCCGTTTCCAGTCATCTGGGGAGAGCTGACGAATCAGATCTTGTGGCACCAGCTCTTTGAGCATCTTGGGAATGCTGGGAAAGTGGGACTTGTCGTCTTCAAATTTGACCCGGTAGATGAGTGCTGCCAGCTGGAACACCTCCTCCCGTGAGCACTTATGGTAGCCACGGAGGTACTTGGGCAGCTCCTGGCCAGGGGAGACATTTGACATTAATTCATCACTGGGCCCTGCTTAAGCCACCACTAAGGCATTGGTGCACAAGAACCACTACTCAACACTGAGAAGTCACATTCCAGCCAACGATCATCCATTGATCGCACAGACGCAGAAAGGTGCCATTTTTTTTGGAGCTGACCAATTCGATCGATTGATTGATTGAACAGGTGAGCAAAGTAGTAAAGTGCACAGATAAAAATGATTCGAATGTGTTCAAAACAGATGCATACGCAGGCAAGAGTGATGAAAGCACTATGGCGAAAAACCACCATTGGTGTTCATCTGTGGCCTAACGCTAAAAAAGAAAAGCACTATTAAAATATTAAAGTACACTGTCCGGTTCTGTTGAAAGAGTACGCATTTCAGCGAAGGGCAGAGCAGTGTGACAGTTTGAGCACAAAAGATGGAGGAGGAGGAGTAAGAATCTGTGAGCAAAAGTTTCCTACAGCCAGAGGTCACCTGATAATAGTGGAATATGGAATCTGCCATGGAGTCCTTCCCAGGGACTGTGCTTGTCCAGAGTTTTTTCATAAAGAACACCTGATATGTCAATGAAGGCACGATACCTGCAAGGCAGCGAAGGCACAAATGAAAAAGAGTCCTGGAACAAACACATCTTTTTTTCCATCACCCGGGACCCGTGTTCAAACCTTCACACGGTGTACCAAAATACTAAAGAATTGTAAGTTCTATGGTGACCTATCTCATACACCGCAGGGGGAATGGATCACAATACATAGTATGGAAATTGTTATTCCAGAAATAGCAGGAAACCAGGTTCTTTCCTCTGTATTCTGTTATGGGAAAGAAGACTTATGTCTGTTACCTCAAATGAGGAATCATTTTTGATGCCCCCAGTGTTTGGAGTGGAGTAGAGGGGGTTAGGTTTCTGACCAAAGGACTGTTAGCTGAAATATTGGGTGGGACGCTTGCTCTACCCTTGAGCAAGGTCATTCACTCAAATTGTTCCAGTCAGTGCCCTGTTGCACAAATAAGAAATACTAGAAAGAAGAATTAGTATACCGCTAGAAAATAAAAACAGCTTTACCATCTTTTGCAGGTCTGGCTTTCTTAATCCAGTCTGTAAGATGCCTCACAAAGTCAAAGAAGAAATCACCTTCTGGCACACTGATCACCTGATCAAAAGGAAATTATGCTATTCACAGAGCAGCTAGGGCATGAGAACGAAGCCTTAATACACAATGCTTTTACCTTGTATGAAGTATTCTGTTTACAGTATGTCTGTTATTCAAACATGTTATTCCAGGCTATGTAAAACGGGCTCTTTAATCCCAGGATTCTTCTGGCCTCCTGCCTTAGTACTGTATAAAAAATTAATCCCAATTCCTACCTTGTCAGAAATCTTTACAAACAAGCTGAAGCCCTCGGGTGATTTGAGCAGCAACCTGCTAGAGATGTTTTGACAGAAGTCCTTTGCTTTTGTGCTTGACTCCACTTCAAAAGCCTGCAAACACATTCAGGGGAGACTTGGTTTAATTCATGTGTCTTCCAGTGCAAATCATCACACCTGAGCTTTAGACTACGTGCACAAGCTACTGAGACTTGATAATATGAAATTAATCTGGAGAGGAAAATTTAATTTAGTTAAAGGGGCTACCAAATGAGAAACTAATTACAAACCAGTTGTTCTTTTAATTAATCATGTGAAACAGATTCTTGGAATTCATTAAATTCCACAGCCAAAGTTGCTTACTGCTGTTCTCACCGGCTCCATGCATTTTGAAATACATGCAAATGAGGTTAAGGAGAAAATAAGATGATGTTTTTCATTCTTCACCCATAAGCAAGACCAGAACCGTGAAATTTGTGTGATGGGGCTTGTAGGGAGAGTAGAATGTCTGGTTTTTATGTTGAACACATTTCTTTTGAGCCCACAAGATGGTTGCTTAGTTAAAGATCGTTAAACAAATAGATCTCTGAGTGTTATTTTAATGACACAGAAAATATGCCTTTTAATAAAAAAAACATTCTATGCCTTCCTGGAACACAGCATCCAATACACTAGATTATATTTTCTTTAAGAAATAAAATAATAGCAACTCTCTACAAAAAACAAACATTACAGTGGCAACATTATATATAGCGATCGTTCGATCCACCTATCCATGTTCAGATTGTTGTGAAAACAAATAACCAAAATGTTATTAAGAAAAGTAACATTTTATCATGTTTTAACTGAAAAATGGACGCAACAGTGCTGTGGGTATGACTCTTTGTGTTCTCACCTCATCAGTGTCATCTGGGAAGTACACTTTATGAAAGATCTGGGTAGTTTTGTGCTGAATGGCTTCAACCTCCACCAAATGAGGAGGGTATTTCCTTGATCCATTTCTAAGTTTCCAATAGGACAAAAGGAGCAGAAATGGAGAGAATTAAAAAAATCACAAAGAATAAAAAAATGAATATTCTGTACTTCATTAGACCTCTCTAAATTATTTTGTTCCAAAATATTATTTTCCATTTTTATCTATGTTTTATAAATATTTTTCTAAACTAATGCACAAACATTTACCAAGCCACTGTGTTTCAGTTCACCTGAAACTGATCTGCCTGATATCAGGGTTACAACACTTGTGACATTTTTATGTTTAGGTCAGATACAGAAGATAACCTACAGTAGGTAACTTATCAAACAAGAGCAACATCAATCTCCATGAAAGTCCATGATGTTTCTCCATGAAATAAATGAGTTACTGATAAGTTCTTGTAACTTTTAGTTTTTTTAGCCCCTTTGCCTACAGCTGCATATAAAAAAAAAAACTTACTGACAGCAATAACAAGAATGGTCACAATTGTTCTGACACGTAGCTGAGTTGTGTATTGCATTAAAGATGCGAACAAGAGTTTGTTTCTTAATAAACCAAACCCAATTTCGAGTTAATTTCATATTTCTGTATAATTATTTCATAAAAAGTAAAAAACTACTTAAGAGATTTTTATTAGCCATTAGTGTTGGCTTTTCTTCATATCTGACGTTTACTATAAGTAAAGCACTTCCCACTCATTAGGTCCACACAGAGATTTTTCAGGATATTAGCTCACACCCAAAGAAGGCTCCACAGTGATTCCTTTCTTCTCTTTTCAGCATGGAATAAACCTTTTACTTGTTCAATTTTTAGGTTGTTTTCTGAGACACTTACAGTACTTCACTCTGGTATCCTGCAAATTGTACTGAATGTATTTTTATTTAAATTCACAACAATGTTTGCAATATAGATTTTTTAAGTATTTAGTTGTAGTAAATTAAGAATATAAAAAGGATTAACATCCTAAAAGTGAATGGCTAACTAAGCTTATATAATTATAAGTTTTATTCCATGCTGAAATGAAAAGAAAAAAGACACAGCGTTTTAGCTGTGGAGCCTTCAGGTGTCTTTATCTGTTCCTTTACAGCCTACACATGCTGACGCAGCACCCTACTCAAACCTCTATGATTAAAGTCTCTATCTCAAACATTTCCATCACCTACTTGAAAGTATTTCTGGTCATTTTTTAAGACACTAAGTTTTAGGATGAAATAACATTCCATCCACTATCAGACAGCCTCTCATTGCAGGTAAGGGCGAAGGCATCTGAAAATCCCAGAAGGACAAGATGGAAGGGACTGCAATGGATGCCAGTCCATTGCAGTCCACTGACCTTACATACACCTACAGTACTAGCATACATTGACCAATTAACGTAGTCAGCATGTGTTCAGCAGGTGGGAGAAGCAACAGTTTGTTTGCTTATACGTTTTTTCCCAAGCACTGTTACCGAAGAGCCTTTTGGAGTCTCTGCATGCAGTCTGGAGCCAGTGGGTGGTATTTTCTGGACTGAAGGAACCTCTGTACATGGGGCAGAAGCATGTTGCTTGGAGGAAACAGACCTGTGCACAACCATAGCAACTCCCAGCCTTTCTCTTCACTGTATCTGGGAAAAACAGGCACAACACATACACAGTGATTAGACAGAACAGGCCTGCAGTATGAAAGAAGCACTGTTCTTCCTCAGCACTCTGACTTGACTTGACTTGACATGACTTTTTGCTGCCCCCTGTAGTTTCTTCACAAACACCTCAATTGCTATTTTCTCAGTTCTGCCCATCCCATACAGAGGTGGTATCTGCTAGGACTCTCAGTATTTGAGGACTCTCAAAAATGGAGCATTTTACAACAACAAATAAAGTACTGCGATTTCATGGAGGAAGGAGAGAGGATATTACAACACAGACAAGGGTAATATTAGTGACAGGGAAGGTTTGCTTTGAAAGAAACATACACTAATCTAAAAAGTGAAATCTACATACTTGACATGATTTTCAGTGAGCTGTTTGAGTATCTGGCAGAAGATCTCATCTTTGAGGGGTTCTGCTTTCAAGGCACCTTCAAAAATTTGGTCTGTTAGCTCATTCACGGAGCGTGTGCGCTTGGATGGGTAGTCACCCATGTACTTCATTATAGGTGGAGGACGAGCAGTTAAGGAAAAGTAATCAATCACCATTATTCTCTGAGCACCCAGTACCCACAGTGTAATCCTTAAAGATAGGTAGCCTAAGAATGATAGGGCAATAACTCCTCATTTGCATGATTTATCATACATACTGTAGTATGTACTGCATACGCAAGCAAGATCATCAGCTTCTAAAAGGAAACAGTCCATCTTGGCTTTTGGTCACTTTCAGCAATCCACAGCACAATGCTTCAGGGTTAAAGTGGCACAATGAAGGCTTAGTTTAACCAGTTTAACCATGCTGAAAAGGTCTGAAGCTACTAATGAATTAAGGAGACCTGGACTGTTGCCCTTGATTTGGAGAGCCCTGTCTTAGACCCACCATCCAGACACAGCATTGAAATCGCACACAGAAGGGCTTGGATTGACAAAGAATGGAAGCCAATATTTTTGTAAAAGTTGTGCTTTGTTTGAAACCCGCCACGGCGTCATGAAGACTGAAGGGTGAGTGAACCCCTTGAGCCCAGTGAGAGGATATCGATGAAGGCCATGCAGGCCTCTTGGGAGAGCTCCTCGTGGTTCAGAACCTTCTTCAGCAGTGGCTGTTTGATGGGCTCCCGGGTGCAACACCACAGCTTATCCTTCCCTCGGCTTTTGGTGATCATGACTCGACTCAGAGTGTGTTTAGGAGGCGGTCTGGAAACAAGGAAGAACACAGGGCAATCACCTTAATTCCAGCCTCCACAGAGAGTGGCAACACAGCCCGTTAGGGAGGGAGAGACAGTGGGTGATACAACATCACAGTATTAGTTTGAAAGTATTGTTTTGGAAAGGAAACTAGTTACCTGGTCACGGCTTTCAAAATGGTAAAAATACATATTCTAAAAATAGTGAAATAATGGCAGAAGGGGATCTGTAGGATTTAGACCTCGACAGGGTACCAATCTGACCAGTTAATTGGTCATCCTTCAGTAAGACCATAATTTCCTCTGGAAAGTGAAGTTTTATTATATATTCATCATTCACTATTTTGAAAATCTCAGCTCAAAACAAAATCTTACATATACATACATGGAATGATATATATTCCATTTGGGAAAGACAATTATCTGATACGTCCGGTGATGGACTGGCGTCCCACCATCTCAGATCTAAGTTTCTGCCAAGATCAGGCTCCAGTCTCCCTGCGACTCTGAATTGGATGAAGCTGTTAGAAAATTGACAGAATTTTCCAATACATTTATCACTTTTTCTTCGTCTGGCAAGTCTTTAGGGCATTGCATCTTTAACCGCAGGTAATTCTGCATGAAACCCTCTGGTACCTGAAGTAATCATAGGAGAATTCCTCTAGTGTATAGGGCTTGACTTTCTCCTCGCTGTCTACCAGAGCCAGCTGAGATGTCCTGATGGCATCCTGTCTCTGGTCAGGTGTCATGGTAACCAAGGCCTGGAAACACAGAGAGAGCTTAGCTAATGTGTGTGTATGTGAGTGTCAAAACCTCTGTGTCGCACTGGGAGTAACCTTCAGTTATGGAAGCTTTGCGTACTGGGGGATGATCAGCCAGCTTTGTACAAACGTTGGACGCTACGTAAAAAGAAAAAAATCTCTCTGGAAGATACGAACTGAGATAAACTGGAACGCTGTTTCTGTTAATTATGGAGGGATTTTGTCAAATTAAAAAAGATACAGTAGGCTAATTCCTAGTCAAACCTCATGATTTTGCACAAAGCCCTTTAATAATATTGAGGTTTTTATTTTATATTTTAAATCTGAACTTTTTGAACAGTGTACCAAATGTTGTGAAGCGTCACTCACCACAATCTCAGACGGTGGCCTGGTGACAGTGGGCAGCACGTAGACACAGTCTGCAGGGAAATCGCCCTTCTGCTTGGTCCTGTCGTTGATGCCATGAGCCCAGCCAGAGTTCATTACCTGCTCCCCAGTGTCCTGGTCCAACAGGATGAGATCTCCCTTCACAAAACTCAGGAATGTGGACTCATCTCCAGCTGCAATCATTAAAACAATATTATTAATTACATCAATATTATTATTATTTCTTCTGCCTTTTCGTCCCTACACTGGAATAGAAATGTACAAATTGTAATTCGTGTGCAGTAAATCTTTTCATCTTTATAATAAGGATATGGTATATGGTAATATCCTTAATTAGAAGGATATGTAAATTATTTCTGAGACAGCAATGGAAACTTCTAGACAATGAATGAGAAATAGCTGATATACTGATTGAGTATTTTATTCAAGTGTTTAAGTTTCAATTACTAGAAGTGCTCAAGATTAATAATCCCCCAGGGCCTTTGTATCTTGGTATCTCATTAATTACTAATTGCACTGAAGGAAACTAGAGATGTTATTCAGAAGCCATTGAAGCAACTTGCAGACTAGGAAATTGCCCTGTATTCCTTATTGATAAGACGGTTGACCTAAGTATTTATAGACCAATAATTCTGACTTCTGTTACATTGAAGGTTATGGAAACAATTATATGAACTTAACCAGAAAATCACATATATGAAAATAATATTCTAGGGAACAGCCAATAAGAATTTAGAAAAGCTAGGTCTCACCTGACCACCCTGTTGGAGCTCTCTAAACAAACAGCAACAGTCATGCAGACACATGGAGCATGTGGCATGGTGTATTTATATGTATTTGTATGTTCAGAAGGATTTTGATAATGTTCCTCATGAAATATTAATTCTCAAATTTCAGGCGACAGGCTTTAAAGAAACTTGAGTGCCTGGGGTGTTCAGACTAGGGTATTGGAATTTGTGGAGTACCACAATGATCTGTACTAGGATGCCTGCTCTTAATTAGTAGAATAATTAAAAAGTAATTAATAGAATTATAAAGGTATGTAATATAATTATAAAAGTATTTAATGTAGTTAAGAAATTGCTAAAGTTTGCAGATTATACAACAATAGGAGGATTAGGAAAACTGTTAAAGTAGCAAAATTAATTAAAAAGAATTACTGTAGATAGGATTTGAAACTTGGCAAAGACCTTACAGATTACATTTAATTTAGACAAGTGCAAGGTATAATATAAATATATAAATAAATATAAAATGGGAATACTGATCTAAATCTAGTGGCTACTTATGAAAAAGACAATGTTTGTTGACATATTTTTTCATTTTATAGACAGTATGGGAAATCAATATAAAAGAAAATAAAGTTAAGATATATCGTCAAAGGTGTTGTGTTACAATCAAGGCATGTTATGTTAAATGGTATAATGTTCAAGTAAGGAAGCATTTACAGTATTATATAAATTTTGGTCACCATGGTTCAAAAAAAGATATTGCTGTTCTGGAATCAGTCCAGAAACAGATGTGTTCCAGGGCTTATAGAAATATCTTACACTCACAGGCTGGAAGAACTTAATTCATTTAGCCTTTGAATGGAGAAAACAACCTTTTCTTGAACAGAAAAGGGAGATGGTTCATGTATTCAAAATCTTCAAAGGCTATGACCAAGCCCACACAGCAGACCTTTTAGAATGATAAGTAATGTAATGAAAATAGAGGTTTTGTGTCTGTGTTAACAGGCCCTGCCAAGCTTTAAATCAAATGAGAGGTTTGTTCCATCAATCATTCAAAAATTACAATCCTAGCTGCTGCTCAGCCTGTGGGTCTGAGGTTTGCAGTCAGAGAACAAATCTGTATTCCTTTGGTGTAATGCTCAGGATTTGGGAACACCTTAATAACTTGATTTCTTTGTGAACCGATAGCTTACCAGGATTGGGGTTGTCCTGCAGAGCCACCACAAACTTGGACCGGTTCCTCAGGCCTTCGAGGAAGGTGACGACGAGGTCTCGGATGTCTTCTGCATTGTTGGAGGTGAAGGTGTACTCATCTCCCTTGATGGTGGCGAGAGTGAAGCTTTGTCCTTGTAACTTGCCTCCTCTGTCATTGAAAGTTAGTAAACATGAGAAAAAAGCCATTTCAGTGCTCGCACTGTTTATTGCCTTCCCACATTTCATTAGGAATTATTGCTACAGATGCACATTAGCAACAGATGACCAGTTTTAAGACTTATACTGCTGATGTTCTCAGTTTCAACTAAGGGCTTGCCAATGAACTGTACACTGGAAAACAAGTGAAGTTTTTTCTGTAAAACATAATTCTTAGCACAGCAAATCATTACGATAAATAAATCTGTTCTCTTCAATGTGCACTGCACTAGTAGTCTGAATATATTTCTCCTCTGATGGACAGTGAGAAACTAGACCCGTAAGGTCAACTAATCAATCAGACAGATGTACCTGCTGCTGGAGACCGCTGTGATTTCAGGAAAGGAGAGTTCCAGGAGGACTTGCTCTTGTTCATCAACAAAATAAACCCCCGTCCAGTTCACGGCCACAATCACATCATTCTTTGGCAGACTGGGGCCTATTTAATGAAGCAACAAAATCTCTCAAAAATGAATTGCAGAATTAAGCATTTCAGAAACTAAATTGATGACAGTTGTAAAACCTGAAGATTAAATAAATAGATGACTCATCTTTTTAAAAAGGCAAAGATATTAATCTGTGATGAGCCAGGTCAGCAGCAGTAACAACTAAAGTTTGTGAAATGCGTGATGACAAGTTAACAAGTAAGGATGGCACACACAACTTTAGCACACCAGGACAATGTAAAGTATTCTATCAAACCTTCCCATTTTAGGCAGTGGGAAGAAACTGAAGTACCCTGAGAACACCTACCCAAACATGGAGAACAGACTTTACCAACCCTTTACCCACAGTCTCTCTCTGTATAGGGTAAACCAGCATCTTGAAGCTGTGACACAGTAGTGCCACCAAGCCTCCCTCCTCTAATCCATTAAAATATCTTAATCTTAAAATCTCAAAAAGTGATACACCAACCTGAAAATTTAAAGGCTTCATAAAATCGTGAGAAAAGTAAAGGCCACTTGAATCGAGCAAAATCTACCACTTCCTCCTTGACCTTCTGGGGGTCCATTCTTTTCTGGGTGTAAATTCCCTGCAGAACGAAACGGTTACCAAAACTCCACAGAACTTCTCACTTTTCCAAAAGCAATAACCGCATGGAAGGTTTAGTTGATATGCAGCTGCATTGCACGAGTGCAGTAGTTCTTTAATCTATTAACAAGTGATCAACGGACGATGAGGATGAAAAGACACATTGAAAATAACACAGTGACTTTCAATGCTTTCAATTTTACTTTGCTTAAATTATATTCTAGCCCACCTGAATGAGGTGAATGAGGACAGTCTTGAAACTCATTAATTAGCACAGGGTTCATACCACTTACAAATTACGCAAATTACATGGAGCTTTTAGAAAGCTGAAAACCAATTTAAAAATGATAAAAAATAGAAAATAGATGTGGAAATAGAAAATAGAAATAGAAAAAATGGAATGAACTCAGCTAGAGCAAAAACTTGAAGATACAGAGATTACTCAGAACTGACTAAGAACTAGGGTATTTGGGGAACCAGGGCCAAAAAGTGCAGAAAAAGGTCCAACAATCAAAGAGATCAATTACTGGCATCAATTATCTCAGGTGATTAAAGGCCCAACCAAAAATGAAACTGCAGACACAGTGGTATTTTAAGATCTGGATTGAGAGCCACTGCACTGAATTCCCAATGCCAATGTCTTTTTTAAGGATGTCCTCTGGGTGCACGTTTTTACCTTTTTATGTGCTGCCATGATGAATTGTGCCCACTTCTCCACAGTCTTGGAGGAGCTGATCTCTCGGTCAGGGATATAGGAAGGGATTAAGCTGAGCAGTCGTTCCAGGAGCACATCTGAGCCATAGTCCACATAGTACTGCTGGGAGGCCAGCTCTGCCAGGTCTTCTTCCTGAGCAAGGATGCAGAAGGCAGCGAAATCATGAAAGAGACTTGCAGGTTTAACACCAACACTTTCCAGTGTCTCACATGGACATTTACTGCAAAAAAGTGATTCAGTGAACAGAACGTTTATAAACCGAATATTATCTTTTTTTTTCATGCAAGGCGTCCTATGAGTATTCAACCCAGCTTCCATTTTATAATCTGATGCTCCAACTTCTGGCCTGAAGTTCAGAATCAGAACTCACCCGGTCACAGCGGTACTCCCCGAATTTCACCCCCCTGACAATCTGCTGGTAGATGAGGTTGGTGGCCACGTTGTCCTCACTGGGGCTGTGCCAGGGCGTGAAGATCTCCTTACGGAAGAAGAGCCTCCAAGGCGCATTGCGCTCTTGGGCTCCCTGCTCCTTGGCGTACTGTTCGCACTGGGACACTGCGTCCATCACGTGGTCGTTCCCGCTGCCCAGAGAAGACACCTACAGGGGGAAGACAGCCATAGCAGAGTGGAGATAAGGTCCTCCCGGGCTCAGCAATTACTCTGCACGATCTGCTCATCGAAATGGATTGCCCTACCTACATGGATAGCAGTGCACATTTCTGTGATGCCAATTGCTCACTAGGATACGGTACGTTGTCATCAAAACCAACTCACAACATGAAGTTAAAGAATGCAGATAAGTTCTAAATGGAAAAAAAAAGTATTTTCAGGCTGGGGGTCCACAACAATAAAGCTGTAGGAAAAATGACAAGAATTTACTTCCGCTCATTTACAAAGGAGTAAGAATCCTGGTCAAAGCCCTCTGATGCAAGACATAATATACCGATCCAAAGTGTGAAAGAATTACAGGCCTTAAAAGCCCAGGCTACATTAATCCCCAGGCAAAGCATTCAACAGTTACCTTATCAAATAAGGCAATGTAGAGGGAGAAGCCAAAGCGGTCCTTCAGGTTGATCTTATCTGCGAGAGCATTGCAGAGCTCTTTGGCGGTTGTGGCTGAGTCCGTCAGCAGAGTCTTAGTTGTGCCATCCATGAATGTTACAGGCAGCATGATGGGCTTCTTTGACTTTGTAGCCTGGGACAAAAGGAGCAAAGTTATTTGCTTATAGCTAGAGATTAAAAATGGATTTGGAAACCAATGTTTCAAATTAGAATTATGTCCACTGAGTCTCAGGTTGATCTTTTCTCATGATACACCTGCGTACTAATCCGGAAGATGCAACTCACACAAATGCCAAAACACATCTTCTTTGAGGTCTGGACAAAGAACGGCGGATGTAGAGAAAATTACGGTACCTGGAGCTCCAGCCAGGAGGGTGGCTGTGTTCTTGTCCCATTCACAAAGGTCCTCCTCAGCCTCTCCTCACAATACGGGGCATAGCCAGGTGGGCCGCCACTGATGAAGTTTCTTAAATACTGCAAGAGGAGATCAGGGGAGACCATGTGCTTGTGATCATGCATTTGGCAAAGATTGATTTCAAGAAATAAAAAGAAGGAAGGCAGTTCAACCCAGGGGGAAACAGACTATACCACAGACATCATTTCTGAAAAGAGCAGGGCCAAAAACAAAGCCTTACTTTGACAAATTTCTCGGAGGGGGCAAAGCAGCCCACACAGAGGGACACGAGGATCCATCCTCGGGCGTGGCTGCTTTTCGATGGGTTCTGAGTCAGCTGTTTGCAGATCTGACAGTAGATCTCATCTCTACCAACAGACAAGCATAAGCAAGCGATTTAAGATCCAGCAGATCCAACGAGGAAAGATATGATCAAGGCACTCGTGCACAGAGCAGTCTGTGTTGGGTCCTTCCTGGGGCTTAGAGCAGGAGGGACGGAGACAGACTTGCCTCAGGGCTGGCCGCAGGATACCATTGCCGATGATGAAGTGCAGCTTCTCCAGGTTGGAGGTGGGACGGTCCTCCAGCATGCTGTTGCCCTGTAGACTGTGCTCTCCATCGTTCAGCCTCTTCGTCACCTGAGGACACACATGGAACAGGTAACCAGGGCTTATGTGGGGAGAAGGTCACTTCCCGCCTCCACCACCAATACCATACTCATATCACAAGGATGTAGCCTCTCATTTTAAACATCCGGAGGACTCAGTGCTTGCTCTGGCTATGCCTCTTTTCAAAAAAAGAGAAAAGTGCAAAGTTATAGACAAATGTCCATTTTGCCTTGTCTTTCTAGGACAATGGAAAAATTGTTGACACAAAGTTAGGATCTCTAGCTGCATTGTATCGGAGATGGATGGTTTTGTTCTGGGCATGAAAGTGTTACAGCAGACTTAAATTCTTCTGCTGCCATCCTTATAGATTTATCTAAGGCTTTTGATATTTTTGTGGATCACACTGTTCTTCAGAAAATGTAATTTTTTTTTGCACGGTTTTAGAATGACTGTTCTTTTAAAGTTGTTTGTTTGTGAGATACTGTAGTGCTGCTCTTGGGGAATGTGATGTCATCTTACATTCTGCCTCAGAATTTACCACTGGTGCTCCCAGTCCCTCTCATTACTGTGATCTTTACCCTTCGATTGATCAGCCCAATCTACTAACTAGAAGAATACTTCATTGGTTTAAGTTAATTTATAGATCTCTAATTGGGAAAACACTTTCTTGTCTTTATAATTTAATGCAGTTCCCTCTGCTATCTTTCAAGACATAGTGCTTTTATGACAATGAATCTCCTGAAAGCAACAACTGACTGGGATATAGTTGCCTACAACAAACATCAGAGTGAGCTGAAACTATTTTGTATGTTATAGTGATTTCAGCTGTATAATTGTAGATTGTCACTTGCCCTTGTTGACACTGCAACATCCTGTTATATTATGCCCTGATATGCTGTGTAATTTATTTTTTATTGTTCGCTTTCAGTGCATTATTTTTTGCATGACAATGGTGTAATCCTACTGGCCAGGTTGTTTCTGCATATTTTAGAATTTGTTTGCAACTGATTTATCTGGTTAAATCAATTAGAATGATTAAATCATGGACTTACACATAAAAGACAGTACTTATCATATTAATTAGAAGTGAAAAACATGTTAATATGCATTATCAGAATACCTTTTTTTAGGTATGATTACAGATTTACAGATTATTTCCACTAAAACTGCCTTTTGTTCTCCAGCAAGATGAATACTCAACTGTAAAAATGGCTTTTTGGGGTCTAATTTCAGTCAGGTCACACACATGCAGAAGCTGTGGTTTCCAAATCAAGTCTCACCTCCTCTGTTAACTTTGATTTTTTCTTAAGCGTGAGAGACACTAGCTTGTGGCGCACACTGTTCTTCTTGTGGCTGTCAATGTGAGTGTTCTGGAAACAAAAAATAAAGAATTCTATACAGAGCAAATCAGAAATTGTAAAAATCCATGAATATTTGAGCAATGCAGTTGAATTTAGGAATTTAGTTACTTTGTTGTGCAAAAATCCATGTGCACCAATGATTTAAGTGTTTTTGCATCCTTAGGTATAACAAACTTTGGGTATTTAAATATAATAAAAACATATAAAACGCTTTACACATTTTCAGATCCTGTAGATACAATGGATTTTATATTGCTTAACACACACATTGGTTTATCCAGTGATTTGCTGGATGCCAGGTTTCTGTAATAGCACCACATTTTCTCTGTAAGGTCACCAGATGTATACAACTTGATTAATATTCTCCAATACTATTTATTTAACATACAAGAGTGTTTCATAATGCCAATACATGATAAACAGTGAACAGTGAACAGTCCATCTTGCAATGTTTGATAACACAGCTCCATACACTGCACTAGGTTTACTAAAGAGCATTTGTGTCACCTAAACTAGCACAAATCTTAAAAGGCTGACGTTGGTCAACTTCACAAACAGTATCTCATTATTGTCTGACATGGGAAAATGATGTCTTTCTGTGCTATCTCCATGATCTCACTGACAGCTGGGAGTTAATTACTTGAAGTGAATAAGCAACTATGTCCACAGCCCATTCTGCAGCTCCTTCCAGCTCCTCACCTCTCCTTCCCCCTGTAGGGCCTGCAGCTCCCTCTTGTAGGTCCTCTTCCCCAGGGTCTCGTAGATCTTGGTCATGACTGGGATCTTCTCGCTGCCATCGCTCATGGCTGTGTGATACTTCGGTTCAGGCAGATCTCCCATGAACCTCAGCACTGTGATCCACACGGCTAAGGCAGCCTGTAAACAAGAAGACACTTCCTCTAGCCCCAGTCATCACTCTAGAAGAGGTAGACGTTGGACATCCTTAGCTCTAGGATTCTATGTTTAAACCAGATTCTGTGTTCAATGGCGAGCCCATAAAGATATTAGTCCATCCCCAACAACTTTCAGATTAGTGTTTTTAATCTATAGTATAAACTCAAAAGAATTAATAAGGACATTGAACAAGTAAACTGTCCGTAGAAATCACCTTCAGAGATGTTCAGAACAGATGACGGGGCAGGGTCATTATTTTTGAAAATACAAACAGAACTGAGAATGTTCACTTAGTGAAACCAAGACCTACCAGCTGGTCTCCCTCGTCCTCGTGGAAAAGAAGAGGCTGCTTGAGTGGGCGCCGGATGTAGGTTTGTGTAGTGGTGCCCTGGAAGTAAGTGGCGGCGAACTTGGCAAACTTGTACTCGGAGAGATCTTCCTGCTCCTCCTCCGGCAGGGGCAGCGCCTCATCCAGGTCCTCCTCCTCCAGCTCCTTCCGAGCCCGTTCCAGGTCCTGGCACACAAATACACACCGCCTCGCTGACACTCACAATAGGCAACTGCTTGGATAACACAGATACTTCCTGTCTCCTTGAGGGACTAACTGTTTCATTTTATCTTGGTGTTTACTTTTGCATTGATACATTTACTGTACGTCCCGGTAAATGCGTTGCATTTCTTGACATCTCAGTCATTATTGAGCAGAGATTGAGTATAGTCATCTTTTTCATTATTGAAGGGAAATAGATCCCTCTTGAGCTGGGCTTAATTATAGGGTCTTAATTAAGACCTGTACACATGAGTTTGTGAAGTATGAGACCAGATGCTTTGCTCGTTTTCTGGAGACTGGATGATCCTTGTTCATTTCCCAGTCATTCTTTCATGTGTAAGCAAAGAGCGCTGATGTAAATTTAGAGCCGATACAATCACATGTGCTTCCACCTGTGGGGAGGGGTCTCTGGTTGTGACTGCATTCTGGGCGTGTCTCATGGTTACCTCAAATCCCGACGGCGCCTGTCCCTCCTGCCCTGGAAAGGAGTTGGTGGTGCCTAGGAAGCCGAACATCTTGTCCACCATTTCTGAGTCATTGACAGGCTCTTGTCGTGCTTTCTCCATCTGCTCTACCATCTCCTTCTTGCGTCTCGCCTCCTCCCGCTCCTTCTTCTCCCTCTCGGCGTCTTCGCGGGCCAGCTGAGCCAGACGCTCCTGCAACCCAGGGCAAGTGGGGCACTAGGTCACCAGCTATTCTCGTCTACACCCCGAGGTTCTTACACTCGGTTCTCATACTCAGATACTCAGATCAATCAAGAGGGCCAAGGGACATTGCTTAATTCACAGCAGGATGGTATTTAACGGCAGCAGAAAATGTAACCATTCTACCTGTATGAGGAAGTAGAATCAGTTGCGATATGCTATCAACAATATATCAACAATATCTCTAAAAAATCAAATCTGTTTTAGATTTTTCAAGATTACATATTTTTTGAGACATTCGATGTAAAAAACAATCTAGTCTTTTCTAAGATCTTGGCTGATTTGGGTAAAAGATGAATCTGTTGTTTATATGAAGCAGGACAAAGGGTGGTGATGCAAGGGGTGTGCTCCCATCTATAGCTCCCCCATTTCCCCACCTGGTGTTTCTTCTCAGCCTCTGCCTTGGCCTTCTTGGCACTCATCTGGTTCCTCAGCTTCTCCTCTTCTGCCAGGCGCATCTTCTCAGCCTCCAAGCGCCGACGGTACTGACCACAAAGCCACAGGTTACATTTTTTAGGGAATTCAAGTCTTCAACCTTTTAACTGAGCCTTTAACTTCCTATACAACTTTTTGTATGAAGAGGTAGGGTGTGAGGTACACATAAAGGTTAATTTCAGGCTGAAAAGTGACACCTCAAGAAGGCTTTGTGCCTTTTCTTTCTGCTTTACACTGTGGAATCAACCTCTACTTGTTTCATCTCCCACTCTAACTTCTGAGTGCTAGCAACACCACACAGGTGACACTCAGAGAAGGCTTAAGAGCTTAAAAGTTGCATCCTTCTTTCTGCTTTTCAGGGAGAAATTACTTGTTCTTCTTTGTACAGTACATAGACTGTATAGAGTCATTCGCTCATATAAAGTTTAATGGAGCAGCAGTTGGAAGTACAGTAAGTATACAAGGTTTTCAGTAGTAATCACAGTATGTTGTTTATCCTGTTCCCTTACAAGGACATTTGGTATGAATATATTTTTGAAAAAAATAAAATGAACAAGCATCAGAAAACTATAAATATACTATATACTGTAGTATAATATAAGGAATACAATACGTTTGGAAAAACCAAGGAACAATTAAATTCTCAGTGCCCCATTTTTACAAGAGGACGTATCTCTGCAGACAAATAGCTCTGTTGGCTGCGGTTGTGGTTTGCCAACTCACCTCTCCTTTAAGCCGCTTGTAGAGGCGCCGGGAGATCATGCCGCGGACGTAGGCCTGGATGGTGATGACAGCCCAGAGGCGGTGCCTGAAGGCCCGACGTACCAGGAAGCCGCGGCATCGGGCCTGGAAGCCCATAATGCGTTTCCTGGCCACATGATAGGTCTTATACAGCTTACGGGACCTGTAGAGCGCCTGAAGCCGCGAGAACCCGATGCGCATCTGGGAAAGAAACACATACTTGGCAGAGGGCTCTCTCGTCGACAGGCCGAACAGAGACGAAACAAAACAACAAGCTGCAAAACAGAGCTGGCAGTTGGCTTGTGCTTGTCCCTCAGCGGGGCCTGCATCTGCAAGATGCTCATCTAGGGTACAAATGTATGGCTGGAAAAATTTGCTATTTCTTTTATACAAGGTCACCCATTTTAACACAACAGAACTTCCCTCATATACTAGTGGTCCCTTAACTGGCTATGTAATATTCCGCACAGATCTTATATGCTATAGTATTGTTTTATATACTGTATTTCTACTGCCTTTATGGGCACCAGCAAAACAATTTTAGACACCAATTTGGCTGGCTGTCAGACTGATATTACTGGTGTGTACATTTTTACCATATGCTGTTCATAATACAAATGGTTTCACATTAAATGGGAAAGAGGCCTTACTGCGCTGTAGTTCTTCCGACAGTGGTACCCTCTCCAGTGTTTTTGTATCAGCATCACCGACTTTCTGATTTTCAGGAAATTGGACCTATAAAAAAGTTTGACAGCCACATTCACACACATTCAGGATCTGGGCATACTGAACGCACAATGGGAGAGGCCATGTCAAGTACACACACTCTGCATTACAGTTGGGGTTAGACTGGATTTCATCTGTAGGTTCAAACGCGCTCTTCTACAAGAAATCAAGTAGTGAAAACTGAGCTCTTCAATAAAATATACTTCCAGTTCATCTATCTGTGATGTGAACCTGCAAGGATTAAGCTCAGCAAGTTATGTGCTGTTTAAAACCAGAGCAGTACTTGAAAAGCTGAAAGTGTTAGGAGGGAGTTGCCAAATATAGCATGTCATAGAGTTCTCCCAGGCAGATAAGCTCCTGCTCTGTGGGCCTCACCTGTCTTTGAAGCCGCGGACAACCTTCTGGATGAGAATGACCTTATCGGTTATGGCCTTGTCCCGCTCAATCTCCAGCAGCATATCATGGTGGTCCTGTGGAAACAGATTTGAGCTCAAATCAGTTAACATGCATAAGATACACATGACAGTAGGGTCTCAGGTTTTGCATGGTATTTCAATGTTTACTCAAAAACAACTGCACCACACCATAGATAATGTTGTTTTTATTTTCTTAGAAATCTTGAAATGTCAGCCATACCAAAATGCTGTGAAGTAATCCTTCTCATTGGTGACCAAGTGCCATCAGCAGAAATCTGTGTTTTTTGCTGTCGCTTTCAAAAGAGACTAGATTTTGTCATCTAGTACAGAAAGCTCCCCTCTACAGACACTTCCTGTGTGGAAGTGTTGAGTTTGCCCTCTTTACCTCTGAAGTTAAGCACTTCCTGCTTCCACAGCTGTGGCCTTCAGATAGTGACTCTGGGACTGGAAAAATATTTGGCACTTCAGAATGATGGACATGCTTTCCAAGAACTTTTGACCTACTGTAAGTCTGATGTTGTCTTCTCTATTTAAGCTAAAATGTAACCACACAATCAAACACAAATTATTTTTACAGTACCAGCCCTGGTTTTGATGTTTCTACGCCATTTGTACAATAAGATGATGTTTAACAACCTCATAAAAGTGTATGTGTTTTTATCAGTAATGCTAGTACATATTGTTAGACATGACAAGTACAAAAATGTTTTTTTACAGTAACCATGATTTGATACCTTGTTTTCAAATATCTTAACTTTCAAATGTCATTGAAGCAGAACTTTTGCTTTATGATGTTATATTTCATTATAAGTTAAAAGACTGTATATTTGCATTCTCCTGAATAACAACAATGGGGATTTAGTGTTTTTAAGCTGCACGGTGAAAATATACTCCATATTTCACAAAGGACCTGTCAAGTGTCTAAAGACAGCTGAAGCAAAAATTAAATAAAAGGGTTGTTTCTGTGCACAAAACAATTATCAAATTAGTGTTGTACTTTTAAGGTCCAATGTAGATCGACAATCCTGAATCTTTAAATTTAGTGCATCAGTGCAGTGCAGGCAATTAGAAGTGAGAGTTATCCATTGTTCTGTTATGTCGAACCCTCCCGTCACTCTTTGAAGAGTGCATGCTACTTTACAGCCATAAAATAACAGCTTTCCAATAAAGGTCAATATTGCGGATATTTCCATTTAGCATTACCTTGAGGAAAATCTTTGTCTTTCCTATCTGCCAGTCATCATCTCTCCCTAGCACAGCTTCCGCTATTCTCTGACAAGTCCCTCGCAGATCTTCCTGTAAAAACAGCAAAACATGTGCACTGGTAACTAAAGGCAGCACCCGTGGGGGATAATATGTATCTTTACGAAACATCAGTATGACACTTAAACTCAGATTCTTGTAGTGTGCCCATGACCATCTACCTTCTACCATCTACCATCTATCAGGAAGGCGTACAGTACAATTAGCAAACCTGTGTCATTGTAGTTATTGTTTTCAAAGTGAACAGCCTTCATTTCCTCACTCATGGAATGACTGCAACACAGTAGTTAACCTAGATATAACATTATCCCTTTAAGAAAATTCGCTGGGATCTTCATTTTCTCCTATGGGCAAACAGCTCATAAAAGAAATCAAATGATCAGATGGTCTTCCTGCAAATGGAGATCAGGAACTTTTCCCTGCAGTCCCTTTGTGGAGCGAAGCTCTGGGATGTGGGTTACTGGCAGCCCACCTGTTTGTAGGCAGGCTTGACTCCAGGCATGAGGACCCGGTATCGATCCACAAACTCCACAAAGGTGTAGCGGATGGGGTATCCCGCACGGCGAATCCGGATCGTCTCCATCATCCCAGAGTACCTCAGCTGCCGCACACACAGTTCCCGGTCGAACAACTGCAGGGTCGGGAAACCACAGAGCCGTTCATGAGTGTTGAACAAGAACAGGTATATCAAAATAGCATATCAAAAATGAACAGAGGTGCTGTTTGGAATGTACTTGTTATTTGTATAAAGACAAGAGAAAAACATGAATTCTCCTTTGCTGATGGCAGTATATAAAACTTAAATTAAGAAATTGTAAAACTGGGAATCTTTATGCAGATTTTTTTGTTGTTGGCCAGAAATGCCAAAGCAGTAGTTGAAAACCCTTCTTTTGTGTGTTGAAGCGCATTTACGTTACCTCTCCTCCAGCTTAAGAACTGCCCCTCAGGTTCCCAGCATAACCTGACCTCTCCAGGCGGATTTGCTTACCATCGGTTTCTTGTATTCATTGGGTTTGATGCAGCGGACGAAGAAGGGCTGACACACACTGAGCGTTCTCATGAGCAGCTCCAGCGAGCGTTTGAACTGGCTGCTGAGCGTTGGGGAGCGTTTTCGGGTCTCTGCACCCTGCAATGCAGGAAATGAAGAATACTCTCCTCTCAGGAAAGAGTGACAGGGAAGAAAATGGCAAAGCTATCCCTCTTTCCCGTTCCCCCTCCCACCTCCTCTTTCTGACTCTCACTCACACTCGACCGAGCTGTTATGGTATCTTTTCTTGTTTTACAGGAAACTGCAAGGCACGGATTTCAGTTCAGACTGTTATCAGCCAACAGGGTTATTATTAGACTGAACACTCTCAGAGGAGGCTTTTCCATTTCTCTATAAAAGCCAGTGCTGTTTGAGAAAACAAACAAGACAAGTATCAGGTTGTGAGTTTTTTAAAGCACCCCAAATTTGATTTGATTAGAACCAAAAACATGGTGCATCAGCTATTAAGAAATGGATCAAATGCCCTGGAGCCATTAGGACTGACGTACTGTAGGGTAATAATTTTATTTGCCATTTATTGTTTAAATGAGAAAACCCTGAATTACATTTTTTGAATGTACAGTACTGTATGACCTAAAGCTCTGAAATCTAGAGTGAAATAATCTTGCTAACAAGATACATCCATATTATCAATATTATTATCAATATTTTACATATATTAATGGATGACTAATAAACAAGCGCTACTTTATTAATGCATCCTAATATAATATCCAATATTTCCAATGGCTTTGCATAAGGCCCGTGTACTAAAAGAAATACTTCAACGTTTTAACATATGTGTAATGGTTTATTAATACATTGTGAGTTCTTCAATTAACTATATATTAAATATGTATAATGCATTAGTAAGACCCCAATAAGCAGAACCTCAAGTATAAAGTATTAATGTTTGTCCAACCAGTTGCTTCCTCTCAGCATGTTTCAAGGTGATGTAGCTCATGATTTACAAGCAACATTTCAGTCAGACCACTGAAAAGAGATTTCCCTTCATCACTCTTGATGATATAAAATACACATCTTAACGTTCCATAAAAGAGATATATTGTTGTACTCAGAACATCAAGAAATCTTGAAAGTTTTTTTTCCACCAGAAACTTGTGACATTCACAGCATCCTCTTGATTGATTTCAACCAATGCTACACAGAAGAAGACAAATCTCTTAAACTCATCATAGTTATTATCAGTAAATTATAAACACTCTTGTGTCAGACTGTTACTTCTCTACAGTAACTATACTGAACACCAAAGAGTCTATGTGAGCAATTTCAACAAACTGCAAGGACTATAGGTTAGTACTACAAAACAGAACTAAATCCATTCCAGGGGACACTACAATATTTGGACAAAATCTAAAATCCTAAAAAGCAGAAATGGAGCTGCAGTGTGTTACAAGTACATCTCGCACACTCCATACAAGAAAAATGAATGCAAAACGGAAGGAATATATCTGAGATTAGAAATTTCACAGGGGGGAATGTGGTTGAGATATTTCTTGTTGAGAAGCTGTAATCATCATAAAGATTACCCACATGTTGGAATACAACAGCAGTAACAATATATTAAAACTTTGAATTTTGCACTCAGGTTTTAGCAAAACTAAAATGACTTTAGAAAGGAGTACATAAGTAAACTAATATTCATGAAATATTCTTGAAATCTTCTGATGGTGCCCAGAGAGAAACTTTGGCTGTATCACATTTAGAAAATACAGACAAAAGAGATCATGGTGACGTGAGGAGAGAAAGTGAAGGGAGGGGGCCAAGTGAAATGACTTGGGGGCAGTGCTATCAGCATAGCAGTCAAGACGCAGGGGAAGTGGGCGCTTTTACCTTTGGAGGAGGTGTTGAGGGCTGACCCAACACACCAGGCCCATAGCCACATAGAAACTGAGGTGGAATATCAGCCAGAAAGATAGGAGAAAGAGGTAATGTTAATCAGGCCAGCATCAGATACAAACCTGACAGCATTAGAGATATAAACCACAGAAAAATCAATCTGAGGCAAAAAGAAACCAAAGACTTCAGGTCTTTGAAATGGAACCACGAAAGCCTTCCAGAAAATGGGCATGAAAGTGTTTTGTGTTTCGTAATGAAATACGTGGTCGTTCTATAATGTTAAGTAAGGAATCCAGCAGTACCCAGTAAATATTACACACAATAAACCATGTCACTCCATATGATGTCCTTTCACTCCATCTCATAGCTCAGTTTTTTTCTCAATGTTGTTACATTAGCTCCTCCACATCTTATTAAGTGATTCCCTGCTAATTAAGGAAGTGAGTGAATTAAGTCCTGCAAAGGAACAGGCCTCAATGCCTGCAGATAGTGTTAGCTGTGGCCACGTCTTCTCTGTTAGAACATGGACACCTAGCAAATTACCCTCAGAGTGGCAAGTGAGACTCTGGGCAAACTTCAAGGATTTAGACATATTATAAAACCATAGTACCGCAGCTAGAGTGGAGAAATGTATCAATAAATAAATACAAGATCCTCCGAAAATATGATTGGGAATATTGTCCACATTCAAAGAATAGAGAATGTGCAAAAGGATATAAACGTCTTCATTAAATGAATCTGAGTGATACTTCAAGAAGGAGTAGTAAAAAAACAACATTCTGTACTCCCTTTCTCATAAATCACTGGTCCTGACAGTTGTGCTGAATATAGATCTTTTTTCCCATTAACCTAAATGAGCAGCTTGCTTCATTTTGCACCTAACCATCTATGTATTGGAGCCTCAGTGGGCATGTTAATTACAGGGAGAAACGTACTACGTGCTGAGTAGTACGTGCCATTTTTACATTAACTTAGAAATAATCAATCAGACAACAGGACAGTACCATTGCCACATCTGCCTGGAATATCTGCTTGATGAACTTGTTCTTGGAAGAGTGGACCAGCTGAATGATGTCACCATGGAGGGTATCTCTGTTCTTCTCTAGAAAGCCTGGAATTAAGGGAAAGGGCCTGTCAAGATTGTCTTTCCCTTCATTTGTTTCTGTTAAAAACATATTAAAGGATTTCAGAGGGGGTTTTGTCAAATTAGATGCCTCTTTAATTTAAGAAATTGCTTTACGTAGTTCATTTGTTCCTTATGGAATAGTAGAATGTATTGTCTTTTACAGCACAACAATACTTCATATTTATTGTTGGATTAATGTAAAGTTTGAAATATACTGTATGCCCCAAATTCTGCATTTTGTGTATATAAAGTCACGAATACCAGCCACAGACAGGGCTTTCACCCTCATTAGAGCTCAGCAGAAAAAGAAGCTGACCACTGAAACTTGTTTAATTACTTAAAACAACCAATCTTCAGGCCTGATGTTTCTTCTCCCAGATGGTCTAATTTGAGTTAGTTAATATTTGTACCATTAATATGTAAAAATAACCAGTGAAATTATCTTTACGGCAACAAGTAAAAGTGACAAAATTCCAAAGCGTGATTTAACCTTGATCCATGAGCAAATGTTCCCACAAAGCAAAGTAAAATGCAGTACCTTTGGTCTCATAGTAAACCACCCCAGCAAAGTGGCTGATCCCAAACTGGGTTTCGTAAGTATTCTTTGGGGGGATGTAGTTGGTGTTGAGCTTGTGCTGGGAATTCAGTTTGTAGAGCATAGTGGTGTCAGTACCCTGTGAGAGGAGATACAGTACAAAATGTTTACATGGAGCTAACATTGTAACCTGAGCATTTAATATCCATGGAAAATAATGTCAAACAAGAAACTATTCATACAGCTTTTATCTGCTCATAGATAAGTGGAATTTGTGATTTTATGTGTTCAATTGGCTTGTATATATGTAATATATACTTATTAGATTTAATAATATGGAAATCTTAAATAATTGGAAACCTGCTTAGGGAAATCTTAAGCAATGCGGGCAATACTACATGAGGGAGTCTATATCAAAGCCCTTCCAATAAGCAGCATGTGCAGGGATACCAAACACCAGAATTGAAATAACCACAAAAATGACAAGAAAACAGAAATCTGCAACACCAGATATTCTTTCATCAAAATATAGTAAAATCTTTGTCCCCGGGAGCAAGAAGGAAGCTGTGGGTGGAAAGCCCTCTTCTCCCATCTGACATTACCTTGGGGAACTTGCTTTCCTCGTCAATGAGCGAGATGATGTTCATGGGCTTGATGGCGATCATGTCCAGAGCATCTTGGTTGTCAGTGAACTCGATGTGCTGCCAGTTGATGTTCTCCAGGTTGTACTCCTCCTGCTCCAGCTTGAAGACGTGGCGCACAAAGAACTGTTGCAAGTTCTCATTGGCAAAGTTTATGCACAGCTGCTCAAAACTGGGGAAGCCAACAACACAAAACAGAACAGAACTGAATCAAGTTGAGAGTGGAAAGAGTGGAAGCCAAGCTTTTCAAGGTCTTTGAAGAATTCCTCTGCCCATGCAGGGACAAAGCTATTAAGCTTTGGACCCTCTTTTTTGTCCTGGGAATATGTGTCAAAATCCCATGATAACTACACAAAATTAAACTTTCCAAGCACATTTGCAGACATAGATACTGTTGGACATGAGGCAAAAGATTTGAATGCAAGATATACAGTAAATCATGCACGGAATGTTTAGCACAATTTGATGTAAAAAAATATAGAATGTTTTTGATTTTAGAATCATGTTTAAATATGAACAGCTTGAGTGGTTTAATGAATACTTTTGCAGGATAGCACAGCAGACCTAGGGAAACAGCCTCACCTGTTTACAGTAAAGTTCTCAAACCCAAAGATGTCCAGCAAACCAATGGATCTTCTCACCGATTTAGGTTCAGAGGGCGGGGGTTTGTAAATAGCAGCATTAATCTTCTCCACTATCCACACAAACAACCTTCCGTAGATTCCCTGCATCACCAGCAATGACACCACAAAGGTTAGAAATGTTTTGTTTCTTTTTCACAAACGTGTTTCCAACGATACTTAAGACAGATGAGCGCCTAAGGGAAGAAAATGCAGAGGATGAAATGTTATGTCTGGCTGACCTGGCTTTCATTACCTTTACGAAGGCATCCCTGACATCGATAGCCTGCATTATGCTGAGTGGAGTGGAGACAGTCTCTCCGCGAGTGATCAGGGTCCGACTGGTCAGACAATTCATCACGTCCTGACGATCCACCTGGTCGCACAGAGAAGCGCAAGAAAGGCAACAAAAATGATCTGAAATTGATATTTCTGAACTCTCTGCTTGCTAAATGCTAAATACAGCAGCATATGTAATTGTCAATCTAAGGCTGATGCCTAGTTCTGTGCCAATTCTTTCTAGCATTAATTGCTTTACCATTGTTGACAGAAAGAATACTCCTCCCTTTTCTGAGGCACATCACATCCAATCATAGCAATCATGGTCTGGACAAGCACTAACAGAAGTCACAGCTATACACAACAACCTTGACCTGTTATTTTGTAAAATTGTGCCACTAGAGGGCTCTGATGCACATCGAACCAGGATGAGTCTAAACCTAAAGCAATTCCCAGTTCAGTTTACATTAAACTGTATTTGTTTGTATTCTTTAATCTATAATCCTCACCAGTTCTTCAATTTAACTATCTTGCAAAGCTGTAATAAAACCTCTTTATACCGTACAGATCATTCAATTTTCGATTGTTAATTTCACAAGGGTGATAGTCAATACTGCAACACCTCCGGGCAAAAGCATCCAAATCAAAGCTGCTGCACAACTCACAGTTCAGTCACAGTTTTCGTGAAGAAGGCTAACAAAAGCTGTCTCTAGAGTTGCAATAGAGAAAAGGCAAAAAAAAAAAAACAACAACAAACAAGTTTGGTATAAGAATAGCAAGGTGACTGTCAGAATCTGACTGCTGAGAAATCTGAAAGCGAATGATGTGCATGAATAGAACTGCAACTGCTGGTACAGTTGGTGGATACGTACCTCCAGCAGCGATGACGCCGTCGTGAGATCAGGGCAACGCACCACCTCACATGCATCCAGATTATCATACATCCGTGCTGGAGAGAAGGACATACTCAGACATGGTTTCAGATTTCTTGACAGAACAGTAACATCATTTATGTAGAGAAGATGCTAGGACACCCCTAAAGATGAGCTATTCTTCACTGCCAGAATCCCAGGCCAGGGACTTCTCATACTGTAGCTCACCTTCATAGCGCAGGTTGCCCAAGTGCAGGATGGCAGCCAGCAGCTTTGATATTTCCCAGTTCTCTGTGTCTGTGAACATCAGGACCTTCATGGCCGATCGGATGTTGGAGTATTCCTTCGTATCATCGCGGCCGTCACAAACCGTGCAGTTTCCCTAGTGACATCACAGGGTTCCGAAACAAACTTGGATATCACCGTTTTTGGTTGATTTTTGGGGTATTACAACGAAAAGACAAAATTTCATTAGGAAACAAAGAACCCCTGTGATGCTGTTAGAATGATGAATCAGATTATTTGCATTTATTGAGAGGACAGCAGAACTTGCAGAGGCCGTAAACTGCAAACATTACCAGAACACCAAAGGTTAATCTGATCATGTTAATCTAACCTCAAGGTATTCCAAGAAATGCTTACTTAAAAGGGACAATCAGAATGTAAAACTGGTCATTATTATGTACTCCAAAGGAATGCATTTCAGGTTTTTTGTTTCACTGCAAAACACGTTCCCAACATGATCCAGGGAGGTGTCCTAGAAATATGGGACTGAGAAGACTGGCACTCACCATGGTGAGGTAGGTGTAATCTGTGGCTTTACCCAGACCCAGCTTCTTTTTCTGATCTGGGGTCATTCCTTTCAGCATGCAGTAAAATATATGGTAGTTCCTCTCATCACGAGCCTGAAGATGTAATATAGGCAGCTGTTTCCTAACAATTTGCATCACAAAATACTATATAATATTTTCATAGCTAGAAACTGTACATTACTGTATGTGTAGGAGATTTGTTTTAGTCAGGGTATGTATAATGCATTTCGATATCCTGGAGACAAACAGGCCATGCCGTTATTTTAATATGAAGATAACTATTAAATGGTACAGTATCTAAAAATGTGTACTGGGCAGTTTTATTTTTTAAATAAAAATTTTGAATTAAAAAAAAAGATCTAAAGCATTGAGCACCGTGTACAAGACAAGAATGTCGTTCTCAATAATTTGTTGCAACTCAAAAGGGAAGGCGCACTATACTTCTTAACAAGAGAAAAGGTAAAAACGAATGTATAGAGACATGGTTTTCGCGACTTTCGATATCATGTTGAGGGACAGTTTCTTCACCTGTCTACACACTCGGGATTTCTCCAGCAGATACTGCTCAATTTTGGCTCCTTCTATGGCTCCTCTCTTGTTGAAGTGAATATCAATGTACTTTCCGAAACGGCTGGAGTTATCGTTGCGGATTGTCTTGGCATTGCCAAAAGCTGAAGGAAGAGACAGATATCAATCGTACAGGAAAACAAAAATGGTAGAATAAAAACTACAGAAGCCTTCCTCGTTTTTGACCTAAAAAAAAAACATTTTGTTAGCAAATAGTTGGTTGAATGAAAAGGAACCTCCTTCATACACATTGCTAATATTTCTGACCTTCCAGGATGGGGTTGGCCTCCAGGACCTGCTGTTCTATCCAGGAGTGCTGGCCGCTGATGGCAGCCAGGAACTGAAGGATCAGCTTGGTACTCTCAGTCTTCCCAGCCCCAGACTCCCCACTGGGCAACATAAAAATGAACATTGCTAGTCATCTATTCTCACTTACATCAAATGCCTCAGTGACCAGCTAATTGAGTCTTGTCACAAATCTTATTTTTGTACTACAAAAGTGGGAAAATCAGACAAACTACAGTCACTTTCAAACAAATCCAAAATCCGAACTCCAAATAACCACATGAGAGTATAAAAATTAAGATGTCCTCTTATAAAAAGATTTGGTATCATTCGATATTGTCCGATGTTACCACAGGGACTAACTGCACCTGTAGGTATGAAAATACCCCCAAAAGAAGAAGCTTATTAATGAAATACTTGTTAATAGCCTTGAAATTCTGCGTCCAATTGTATTTTTACACCTGTAGTGAATGCAGAAATGGGTCGGCAGTGTTTGTACATTTGCTTAACATAAATTATATTATGTTTGTTTTTATTTTAGTTTTTCAAAACAGCAAATATCAAGGATGGACCCACACACCTGATGATGCAGCACTGGTCCTTGTTGTTACGCTGCATGTTGAAGTAGCAGTTGTCTGCGATGGCAAAGATGTGAGGTGGCATCTCTCCAATTTTCTTGTTGGTGTACAGACGGATCTGATCCGCAGTGTAGATGGGCAGCAGCTGATAAGGGTTCACAGCCACTAGTATGGAACCTGTGTAGGTCTGGGATTGAAAACCAGCGGGTAAGTCATTACTTATAATAGTTCCTTGCATTTATGCAGCGCATTTCACTTAAAGCACTTCACATACAGGTATAGGAAGGGACTAATTTCCCACTGAAGTGTGGCACTCATCTGGGAGTGCTAGGGGCCAGCTACTCAGTGCCTTGGATTTCTAAATCAGGATCTCTGTTTAATGTTTCACTTGAAGGGTGACATCTCATGCAACACAGGGTCCCTGAATACTGTCCTGGGACATTGTTTTGGAAATTCAATTAGAATTAAAATGAAATACACATTTTGTTTTTCAAATTCACCTACACACCAGCACCAATTTCTTTTTTCCAAGTCAGATCTAGCACATGTAAGGGAAACTCCCTAAAAAAGCTCCCACAAAAAAAGAAGCCTTTTAATTTAAAAGAAAGAATAAAAAAAAATAATCAAAATTATATTGTCACCTCTTGTTAAATTTATATTTATTGAACGATGTTCATTTATTTTTTATTTATGTTTCAGAACAATTTTTATTTAATTAATATCTGATTATATTCCTGGTGAAAGGTCTATTTGGGTGGGTTTAATTCACCCATTTATAGGACTTTTGGCTTCTGAATTCCAGTAATTAAAGTAAGAAGCTCTTTATAATTGAAGACAAAGCTGTCGACGGTCTCATGCTTTTTGCTGCTATTGTCCACTTTGCCTCTCAGCCATGTTAAGGGATCAGACTGCTTTGTTTTTACACTGGGCTTTTTGTTTGATAGCTCTACATTTCAGGCTTATGTCTCCAGCTAAGTATTTATACAAAGATGGTCAACAGCCCCAGTGAGACCTTAAAGCACTTTATATAAGTGATTGTTAAAATGTGGGCACACACCCCACTCCACACAACACCTGCTCTGTGCTTACACAACAGCATCAAGTTGCATTCCAGTGAGCTCATTACTATCACATGAATTAATAATGCAGGACATTAAAGAAATTGAATTACCAGTATATTTAAGTTGTTTAAAAAACTATTTATGGAAGTTTCCAATTGCTTTAACAATCATTTGAATTGCAGCATATTTTTATATTACATGTCTTATCAAAAAGTCTATTTATTCAAAAATAGACTGTGCTGCTTTAGCATCATTTGTTATTGAACCAAGATCATATTCCAATGAACATACAGTACAATGAACAGTGATGATGTTCATTATGATGATGTTGTGATTATGTTTTTTACAATGTGTGCATTATAGTATATTTCAGGTGTAGATACCGTAAACATTTGTACAGCAAACAGCCGGACAAGACAAATATGCTTGACATGAGAAAAAAAGCCTTCCTTATGAGTGCAACAAAAAAGAAATGTTAATATAAAAAATAACAAAAAACAGAATAACTTTCTAGCCAATGGTTTGCATATCCTTGACTTGCACCGCAGTTGCACAGTTGTGAGTCACACAGCTTGTTAACTGGAGGAATGACATGAGATGAACAGCAGAGGCAGGCGGTCTGTGTATCAGATATTAGTAGGACAATGGCTGGTGTATCAGTGTCAGTTAGGTGATCCACTCATCTTGTAATGGTGTACCCTTCACAGAATTTGATGGATGGCTACCCATGCAGAATATTTTGATACTTACCCTTCCTCCACAGTTAGTCTTCAGACAGAAAAGAATAGAACACAAGGTTGAATCGGAAGAAAAGAGGAAAGATATGCAAGTACTGTATCTGTATTTCAGTTTACAGGATCATTTATTTGTGGAACCCCACCAAAACAATGCTGCTTTTGATAAAGGTGATCCATAAACAGAGGTTCTCTGGGGAACATTTTGTAACTACAAAGGACCTATTTGAATTTTTCAGAGAGCATATTAGAAGTAAACATTAAAACTCTTAAGCTTTTGGAATTTTTATGTTCAGTACGTAGTGTAAAACAAAATATTGAAAGGTTTGACTATGGTAAAGGAGATGGTATTGACATTTTTTTTTCCTACCTCTTGAGCCACCCGGGCGACCAGAATGGTCACACAAGTGACCGCATGTGCATAATATGACTGAATATCACATACATTGTGGGAAGAAATAGCACAACAGTTAACGCAGTACTCTGCAAATTCAATTTATTAATCTAGATTACAATTCTTGAGAAAGTTTCTGACATTTCAGTCATGATTGTCATCAAGGATCTCAACAGAGATAAAAAGAGTATATTTTTTATATGATGGGCGAGTACAGCACTACTTTCCTTTCTCTGCATGGAAATTTAACATAAATTATAATGGACATTCGGTGGTAGGATTAGATCCTAATTTCACACACTTCCCCTTGCCTATGCATATAAGCCTCGCACTCAGGACTTCCTTTTGCATATCTCTCTTTCATTCCCCCTCACCTCCCCATCTACATCCTTACAGAAAACTCCCCAGCTCAAGCCTCATACTAGTGAGCGGGTTTAGGCAGTCTGTCCAGACTCATTCCCTTAGTTAGATGAGTCACGCCAAACATTTTATACTGTACATATTCATCTTCTCTTGCACTTGTTAGGATCTAACCAGACTATTGAAGTTTGCAGTCAAACTGTTATAACAGCACACAGAATCTAAAACATTGCAAAGTCACCCTGATACTTTTATACAGAGGCTAATCAGTCTGTTAGCTCTCAGACGCCAGAATGGGTTAAAGTTAAGCTCCACTCCTGAAGCTGTATTAAGGGACTCACATAGATGAGGTGATCTCTGTACCGGATGAGCAGGTTGCGGAGTATCCCAGCCTCATTGAGGTCCCCCAGTCGGATCATGTCCTCCACGCCATGGATAGAAGTGGGGTGCATGGGCTTAATGTTGGTGGCATTCTGAGGTGAAATCCAGTGCTCCTGAGAGTCAATAAAAAATCAGTCCACACTTTTAGCACATTGCTTCAGTTGGGAATTTATTAATCATTAATTCATCTGCACATTACTCTTATAGATGACAAGTTATTTCAGGTGATAACAATAAATATCAACACTGAATTAAAAGTGTTTTCTGAAAAGATTTTCAGATATTTTTATTATAATACTGTTATTAGTATTGTATTAATTATTGATAGAAATGTACATACTGTAATAAGTAAACATTTAATTTTCATCACTCTCTCTTCATTCGCAATTAGGCTTTTATATTATAAATGATTCATCACATTTAGGATCAAACAAAATTAACTTAATACTTTTTTACTGCCCAGAGTTTTGGATTCAGTTTAGTCTGTACAACTTTCATCTGGCATCAAGAACAGACTTATACTGTAGGTTCTCAGTATGTCCTTACAGAGAAGAGCTGAGGTCCTGCAGTATTTTCTGTGCAATACTCACATTGCCTTCATCATCCAGCACTTGTATCTGGCCAGAGTCACACAACTTGACCACAGCTCCAACAGGAACATCAAATTCCCGCCCAGTTTTGAGGTCCAGCCACACATAATCCCCCTGAAATGAAACAGTCTGTCATCTACTCTGCCTTATAAAGAATCTGATGCAGTCTTTAAAATGGTTTACCAATAAGAACATAACAAAGGTTACCGATGAGAGAAGGCCATTGCCCCATCTAGCCCATTTGGTAGTTAGTAGTTAGTTGATCCAAGAACTGAAACATTTGTCTCAACAACATGGCTGATAGCTTGTCTCACAACCCTTTGAGTAAAAAAAAGTGCCTCCTGTTCTCCAGTTTAAAAATATTTACACAAAGCTTCTACTTCTGTTGTCTTTTTGATGTTGCACTTTTTGTTCTGAAGAAATCCACTGGGTTAAATTTATCAATGCATTTGAGGATTCAGTACTTGTATTTAGGTCCTCGTGGAATGTTCTCTGTTCAAGACTAAAAATGTCCAATTCCTTCAGAGTCTTTACATTTAAAGTCAGCTGGCAGGTATTTGTCCAGTCATTAATTTTATTTTGCTGCTTCAACCAGCTAATTCTCCTATTTTGGTATCATCATCTAGTTTACCAAGTATACCAGAATTTTCATTTTTATAAATTAGTAAGAGCAGGGGTACTATTACAGATCCCTGTTCTCCACTAATTACATCACCTCAGAGAGCCCCTTATCTCTATTCTCTGTTTTTTAATTTCTTAATCAGATCTCAGTCCAAGCACTCACATTTCCGTGAATGCCTACTTCTTGCAATTTGAGAATCAATTGTTCGGGTGGAACTTAAATAAAAGCCTTCTGAAAAGGATAAGCTTGCCACCATACAACTGTGAACTTGATTTAACGTCCCCTTAAGAATCAACCATCAGCCTAAACTATTAATGCTCTCTATTTCTTTGCTGGGCTAAGAAAATTGCGTTCCTGGCAAAAATGAGTCAATTCAGAAACAGTCCACACTCATTAAACCTCCACTGTGACTCTAGCGTGGTATTCAAACAGCATTCCCTGCAAAAATCCTGTCTTCCTTTTTTTTCAGAAACGTTCTGATCCTGTAAATCCCGCTGACCTTTCTCTTCTTTGGAATGGGACAACATTAGGAATCGTAATCACTACATAAAACCACTTTCACTACTAAATTTTGTTTTAAATCCTGATGCTAAATTTTGAAAACAGCATTTTTGGTAAATCACTTATAAGGTAGCAAATACTTTTCCAGCCAGCGTTATTCCTAGTAAAACCTTGTTAAAATTAAATATTGTTCTTCATATTGACTGACAGCAATCTACTAATAAAGTAATGAGAGGATGGTGACAATTAGAAGGCACTGCCAAGTTTATTTAAGTTGGATTCGAAGAAGCATGAATGAAGTAATCCTGGGATCATTTGATCATCGGTTACAAAAGGACAGTTTAACGATCACATTACTCATCCAGGTCATACTGAAGGCAAGTTTTCTAAAGGACAGAGTAGTGCTTTCTATGTCCTATACTCATTGTCTGTGTGGGGAAGGGTATAGTTCATCTGAGTAAGTTTAACTGAGCTCTAACTCTCGTGCAGCAGTATTAAATAGTGATCATTTCACTGTAAGTAAAATCTTCAGTTTCTGTGCGAGAAACTCATTCTGTTCAGACTCACATATGTGTAACCAGTGGGTAATAGCACATCTCTCTCAGTTGTTCATTGTAATCCAGCAAAGACTTTCTAGAAACCATGCACAGTCTAGACCTTATATTTCCAAAGCAGTCATGCACAAATGCAGATTTAATTCACTTAAGAAAATACATTTTATAGTCTTGTGATACCATATCATAAATTAAGCCAAGTAACGTAATTTTTCTATACCCTTCTCTTCATGACTGTTGCATTTACAGTACAGATGTTTTCTAATTGAACTGAATTTTTGTTTGATTTAAAGCCCGTGAACAAGAAGATGTATAGAGATATGATATATACAGTATGCAAATAAATTAATCTTAGTTGAAGTATTGTTAAAAAAACAAAACTACTAAAGCTGATTTCAGCATGGACATATGCACTATGAAAAACTAATAATAATAATAACTAATAATATTTTATTACCGTATTGGTGTTTGCTTTGTAAGTACTGTAGGTTGAAATACTGTATGTGGTTAGCAGGGTCATAATTTGCATTTAACTCAAGCACTACAATGAAACTGGACCCCTGTCAAAATAAGAATCGAATTGGAATAATTAAATCCACATTACACTCCAGTGAACAGCCAAATCTGCATTTCAGTATTACTTCCAATAATCCAGAGAAATCACTCCTACCGGTAACAGAGTGCTCTGTTTGAACACTGTGTTGACATTCCGAAAGAGCGCCCATTTTCCTTGGTCTTTCTCATATACGTTCCCTTGGTTACACTGGTTGTACATCCTTAAATCCCAGCTTTGCTTCCATTAAAACTCCAGGAAAAAAAAAAACAACGCCTTGCTTGAGAGCTGTCCCCAGCAGAGCAGTTTCCCTCTAATCACAGAAGATGCGCTACTTGAACTATCCTTTGAAAAACAGTCCAGGGTTCTACAGGAGCTCCAAAAATATCCTACTTATTTTTAAATAAATGCAACAAATACAGCGAAAAAAAATCCCCAGACCCCAAAGGCAGAAAAAGAAATTAAGCTACTGTTTGAATTGCGGTCTTCAAAGGTCAAATACCACAGATCATCGGAACAGACTTGCAGAAGGTGAATCACCCTAGACCAGCTCCTCAGTGGTGTGAGAAGAAACAGAATCTGGGCACAGGTCTGGTTTCTGGCTGGAGCTCACTGTCTGGCCTTGAACAATCATCCCCCAGGAAAGCTTAGATGGGAGCCTTAAGCACACCCACACAGACAAACCCTTTATGGGTTACCTACAGCTTGACAAAAGCAGGGTGGGCATTCCCTTGAAATATACAGCTTTTTAATTAACTTAATATCCCCATCAGCAAATCAATACAGCAGCAATGAGAATCCTACACCAAAGCACAGCTGCCATTCCTTAAAGCAGCACACTATCCCTAGCAACAGTAATTAAATAATTTATTGTATTTTGTTTCTTTAAAGTCTTTGTTTCAACAGCAGGAAGAAAATAGGGAGTGTAGCACAGGAGATTCCACATTCGATTTGTCGTTTAATTCATGAACTTCAGGATCTCATACTGTATGTGCAGCTGCAGCTACCAGACTTAACTACAGTACTGTATGTGCCCTGAGGGGTGTATAATCATTGGTCCATATTCTGTTATCTTTACCTACAGTACCTCTGAGACATGCATTTCAGAGCAGATGCTAATGTAGGAATAAAACTAATTCCAGATCATATTTTTTTAAGATGCCCAAAACAGGCTTAGCCAAGCTGGTTTTAATTAACAACCTCTGGACTCAAGTCAGTCTTTACTATGTTTCATTTGCAGCTTTCCTACCTTCTGCATTCTCGTTAAACTCAAAACAGAGTCCCATCTCTTAGCTTTTCCTATGCATTTGAATTCAAATTTACAGTTTAGGCATATAAGTAAATTATGTGACATTTCAATTTAAAATAATTTCTCATTTTTGGATTATAAATACCTAATTTCACAATCACTGCATAGTGTTTTTAAAAGAAATGTAACTGGAAAGTAATACTTGCTGTCTGTACCTTTTCATTCGTAGTGTCATTGTGAACACATCTCTCATAATAGTATCTTACTGACAAAGCAAAAGTGGCTACAATTAATTCTCAATTCCTTACTTCCCAGTGTCAGCCACTCATGAAATGCAGCCATTTGTATGCAATTGAGCTTGGATTTATGGCTATGCTTCAGGCACTGAAGGCCCAAGCCCTCAGCAGTAAATTGTGTGTCCTGACAGAATAAAACAAGCAATCCAAAGGATCAATAAAGTTGCATTGTTAGTGTCAGCCAGCATAAATTCTAAACTGCTGTGGTCTGACATAAAAGGACAATAACATATTTTTAACTTAATTCCCCTCAGCCTCAATACTTAAAATAAATCCTACAGTGTTTTAATTCTTTAGATTGCAAAAAATCCTAGAAATGACCTCAGTTCAAATAGTCCATATAAGGAGCACTTTTTTTAAACGAATCCTGATTTGAATCCATGGTTTTTTGGATATAAGTTTTTATTCTAATCAAAGGCTGGGAATTTGCTGGAAACACAATACCTCACAAAGAAACACAATGGTTAAAAGGCAGTGTTCTACGTGTTTGGGAACTGGAAACAATAGTTCATACTAAACCATTTTAAGAAAAATACGGGTACAATTATTTAATTGAGAGCCAATTGTGGAACACAAACCAGGAGATACTTGGATCCCCAGGACTAGGTTTGGGAAACAATGTACTAGAACACTATATTTACTGCAGGACAATTAGCTAAATACTCCTCTGCTTAAGGAAGCAGTTCAGGTCATTTGCTTTACGACTGATACAACAGTATTTACATTTTTGTATTAGAGAACCATTACAAGACAGTAATATTTAATGGAAGGACAGAAATAGCTTTATTTGTAATGTATTGGCAAGTTACAAAAAAGTATTAAATGACCTTAGATTAAAGCTTATCTACAGTATCTTTAGGTCTTGTCTAGTGAGGGTGAAGGTCTGTGTTGCCAGTTCATGTGTCATCTCAGAGCTGGGGCTTGTTGAAGGACCAGTGTAACTATGGGGGATGTGATGCACAGGTGTCAGACAGAAAACCAATCCCTCCAGGAAAGACTCAAGACTATCAGGTGAAGCATGAGCAAGGGCTCTCACAATCAGCCATTAAATAATTGAGAAAGTGCCTCGTTGATACCTCAGCGACAGGGCTGCATGTGTGGCTTATGTTTGTCTGCATGTTTTCATGTTGTCGGGTTTTAAGAAACACCATAAGATAATATTCTGAATGACACTTTCTCACAAATGAACAAGGACTTAATTATAGAACATCTTTCTGACGGGAAAGATGAGTGCATTGTTTTTATTTTGCCTAATGAAAAGGACAGGGATAAATGTTTTTTCTCAGAGAACACAACTGTAAAATACTGCTGTGTAAATGAACAATATGCAATACTGTAA